GAGTGAGACTCTTGAAAGTGGTCGGAAGTGTGGTTAAGTGATTAAAGTAAAATGGAAAATTTAGTCACTTACAACTAGATATCACCAACTTCAAGCTTGCTTTTCGACTTAGAGCATCTACTATGACGTTGCTTTTCCCAGGTTTATACAGAATCTCTCAATTTTACTCAGCCAAAGCATTGGCTCACCAACCCTGTTTCCCTCTTAGGTCGGGTTGTGATAAAAAATGTTTTGTTGCCACATTATCTTTATAAACTTTAAAATGCCTCCCAAGGTAATGTCACCACTTCTTGAGCGCTTTGACCACCATAAACAATTCTTTTTCGTAGGCAAGCCACTTTTGCTAAGTTTTATCTAACTTTTTTAAGAAGAATGCCACTGAGTGGTTATGTTACTTCAAAACTGTGCCCAACGCAAAGTCTGAAGCGTCTATTTCTACCTCCAAATTTTTACTAAAGTTTAGTAACACTAATATGGGAATCTTCCTCAACTTCCTTTTAAGGTGGACAAATGCTACCTTACATTCCACTATTCATACCATTTTTCTTTTTCCAATTTGATCTATTACAAATACGATTACTTTTGAATAGTGTTTAATAAACTTTCGATAGTAGTTGCATAACCCCAAAAATGCCTTTAACTCGTGTACATTCAATGGTCGTTCTTCTTGGATTGCTTGGATCTTCTCAAGGTCCACCTTGAGCCCGTCCTTGCCCACCATATACCCAAGAAACTTTACCTTTTATTAAGCAAAGTTACATGTGCTTTCTTTAGCATACAATTTGTGTTCCTTTAGTTTTACAAACACTTTTGTCAAGTGTTTGGCATGCTTCTTTAGCATTTTGTTATAGATTAGGATGTCATCAATATAGACAATTACAAAGTGATTCAAATAGGGTACAAAAATATGGTTCATCAGCGCCAAGAACATTGCCAGTGCATTACAGGGTATCACTAAAAACTCAAACCTTCTATACCTTGTCCAATAGGTTATCTTCTTGACATTTTCCTATGCTACCTTGATCTGATAGTATTTTGATTTTAAGTCAATCCTCGAGAAATATTTCAACTTTCTCAACTTATCGAATAGGTCCTCAATCCTTGGTAAAGGATACTGTAAGCTCCTGAATTTGGACTTCTCGAAAGGTTACTTAGCCCAATACTATTCAAACCCAAGGCTGCTTAATCCCAAGTATCCCAAGACACTTAACCTTTATATTTGAACCTCTATATATCGCCTCTTGAGTTGTTCTTTTTAGTTACTTACAGGTACTTATTCTTTTTTGTATACTTGTTGAACAATCGGTAGTATATACACATACACATAAATTCATCTTTCTTTTTCACCAATAACACAAGTGTCCTATACAATAACTTGCTCAACTTAACATACCCTTTATCCACCAACTCCTTAAATTGGCATTTGAGCTTCTCGAATTCCTTTGCATTCAATTGATAGAGGGGACAAACCACTGTCTTGGCACCCTTGACTAGCTCAATTTTATGTTCTATCAATTGTGCGGGGGGTAACCCCGCCAGTAATTCCTTCGACATGGTATCTCAAAATTGGTCTAACATTTGCTAGATCATTAAAGGTACTTCTATTCTTGTCTTTTCCTCACTCCCCATTGAAAGCAAGCACAAAAATGCTACTTTAGTTCCTTTAGTGAGTTATCCTCTTGTAGACACTATGTTCAAGCAGGAGTCTTTGGTCTTACATTGCTCTATTTTTAGATTTTAAATCCCTAAATTGTTCTCCTTAAGCATTTGCCAGTACCACCAGGTTTTTACCTTGCATGCAGGGTTACCACAAACTGATTTAACCAATCCATCCCGAAAATCACGTCAAATCTCACAATATCTAACACAGTGAAATCCATATTTCCTTTCCATATCCTTACTTTGACTTTTACTTGTCGAAGTACCTCATCGGTGCTTTGGCTATCTTGAATAAACTCTATAGTTTTTAAGCCACTTCACCATTAGTCGGATTATGCTTATAACCACAAAATTATCTAAAGCACCCATGTTGATAAAGATCTTAACAAAGTTATATTTTAGCTTCCATTGGAGGGCTAGTAGATGTCATGAATGACTTTTTACAAAATTGCTCATGTTATGAGGAATTTTGAGTTAGGGATTGGATATGTACCTTAATTTAGATTTTATTAAACCATATTAACTTTGGCTTTCTTCGGGTAGAAACATTTTTTTGAAAAGTATCCCACTTCATTGCACTTGAAGTATATATTATTTCTCACACTACTAACAAACTTAATCTATTAGTTGAACAGGTTGTCCCTTTTGATTTGACTCCCACGTAACTTTTTTGACAATAAATATTTCCTTTTACAAAATTAATTTACTATATCGCAATATAAAAGGTTTATCCCCTAAGGGATATATTTAACTTCCTTATCCCAACAAACAAAAAATCTTATATCATGAAATGCTATGCTAGCAGCATATGCCCAATGCATGTATCTTAACAAATATTTGATACAATGCCAAGCACAAGATCATCTAGTAGAATTCAATTCTATCTGCAACAGTTCAAAACAATAGTCTCCATGATGTAAAAGATTTGCTTGCCAAATTGCCATATCAAACGCTGCTGTATTGGAACACAATGATTGCTGCGAATACCCAACTTGGGCATCTTTCCGAAATAATGAAAATGTTTGACGAAATGTGGGTGGACAACAGTGTTGACTGCTCACTTCCACCAGGCCAATCAAACGAAGCTCTCTTTGTGTTTGACCCCATAAAAATCAATGACGTAGTACCAGACGAGATATGCTTTGTGCTCGTCTTGCTCGCTTGTAGCCACGCAGGGAAAGTCTTCCTTGGGCAATGTACTTCCAGTCGATGATGATGGCGGATTTTACAATCCAGCCCAAGAAGTAAAACTACTGCTGCGTTCTAGACATGCTTTCGCGATCCGGGCATTTGAGCGAGGCTAGAGATCTCATCAAAGCCATGCCTTTCAAGGCGGATGCCTCGGACTGGAGGTGCTTTTGCTAGGAGCTAGCAGGTCGCCGAGAACGATTCAGCCCAAGTAGACGTTCCTCAGCAGGACGTACCCGACTGAGCTCTCGGCCTCAATCTCGAGAACCAACTGTGACGCTCGAGCAGCTCCACGATCCATGACTTTGCTCTCCCGGCACGCTTGGAGGAAGCTCGTCCACACGGACGCGTCCGGGACGAAAGGCATGCTCGCGATGAGCTCCTCCGAGTCTCGCAACCGGCCGGACCGAGCGAGCGCGTCCACCATGCAGCTGTAGTGCTGCTTGGTCCCTCGCAGCCCAAAGTCACCGATCATCGAAACGAGGCAGCATCGCCCATCCTCGGCTTTTCCTCGACGACTGCAAGCGATCAAGGCCGAGACGAAGCACACCTCGTCCACCATATCCAGCAGCTTCATCTCTCCAAACACGTCGATGGCTTCGCGGTAGCGGCCATTGTGAGCGTTGGCCGCAAGAACAGCGGCCCAGGCCACCATTTCTCGATCTGGCAGAGTCTCAAAGATGAGGTTGGCGCTGCCGGGATCACAGTTGTGAGCGTAAGCCGTGAGCATTGCGTTCCAGGAGACGCTGTCCCGCTCCGGCATGTTGGAAAAGAGGAGCCTGGCTTCGGTGACATGCCCGTTCTGAGCATACGCCGATAGCATCGAGTTGGAGCACACAAGATCGTGCTCCGGGAGAGCATCAAACATTCTCTTCGCGTCATGCAATCGTCCAGCGCGAGAGAATGCGGCCATCATCGCGGTAGAGAGCACAAGATCATGCTCGGGAATGGACTGGAACACCCCCGCGGCTTCTTCAAGTTGGTGGAGCTTTGCTCCTGGGATTTGGGAATAGGCTGTGAGAATCGTGGTCGCCGAGACGATGTTCCTCTCGGGCATTCGATAGAACAGCTCCCCGGCTTCGTGTAGGCGATTGCTGTCGACGTAGCCCGAGAGGAGAGCGTTCCATGAGATTAGATCCCTCTGCCGCATTCGATCGAACAAGAGCTTGCTATCGTCCACTCGGCCGTTTTGTCCGAACAGTCCCAACATCGAGTTCGACACCACCAGATTCCACTCGGGCATGGACTCGTAGAGTGACAGAGCTTCTCTCAGACAGCCCCTGTTTACAAGAGCGCTCACCATGGCTGCCCATGCAAAGAGATTTCTTTGTGGCATACCATCGAACAGTAGCTTTGCGTCCTCAAAATGCCCATTTTGGGCATAAGCTCCGATCATAGCCACGGTGGTGACAAGATTGTGCTGATCCATCCGATCAAACACAGCCTTTGCTTCCTCTAGTTTTCCATTTCTTGCAAATGCTCCCAGAATTGCCGTGAACGTCACCACATTCCACTCCGGCATTCGATCAAACAACTCTACGGAATGTCGGGTTTGGGCAAATACTGCTAGCATGGCGTTCCACGTTACCAAGTTTCGCTGTGGCAGCAAATCGAAAAAATATTTAGCCTCGGTAACGCAACCATTTTGAGCGTAGGCTGTTAGCATGGCATTGATGACCACCTGATCCCACTCAGGCATCCGGTCATATACATCCTGAGCTTTATCAAGATGCCCGTGTCGGGCATATGCAGCGAGCATGGCAGTCCAGGCCACAACGTTCCGGTCGGGCATGGAATCGAAGAGATCTTTGGCGCGAACAAGATCTCCGTGCCTCGAGTACGCAGAGAGCATGAGCACCCATGAGCAGCAATCCGCGCCGCCGCTGCCCACGATCGTGTCGAAAGCCTCCCGAGCGTGGTCGAGGCTGCCACACGCAATGTAAGTCTCGATCACCTTGTTGGCGATGAAGGCGCTGGAGCGAAGGAGCTCCGGCGAGACAATGGCGCGGAGCTCCTTGGCGCTCTTGCAAGATTCCATGAGCGCCAGATCCATGGCGCAAAAGTCTACATTTTCGAGCTAAGTCAAGCTTAGTCCGTGAGGAAGAAGACAATGTGGAAACGGCCTATCGGATCCCGACAAACGCTGGAAGAGATCCCGAAATACAAGTTTGAATACAATTGAAAGAAAAATCCTAGTCCACTTTCTCAATTGCCGAGCTATGGATGAGATCACGGCACTGTGATTGCGCACGGCGACAAACCAAGACACCTCTCTCTAGAGTATGGCTCCAAAACGCTCGCTCGCCATAGCTTTCGATCGATCCAAACGAGAGTTTGTTATGAGGCACAGAAACAGGCTCGGTCACGAGAGGAGGAGATTTGTACAAGAAAAGAGCTAAAACAACACTAGACATTGATGGTCGAGGCTGCCCAGCTCGTCCCTTTTCCAAAGCTGCTCGATCCCCGCGGCGAGTACTTCTTGGCCAATTGATCCACCTTGAAGGTGGCACCGCAAATCTGGCCCTGGCTGTCCACGCGGGGCATCGGCTTCATCTCGTTGAGGGGGTGCTCGTAGCTGTTCAGGCCCACCACGCTCGCGAAGAAACATCCTGGAGTTTTGGCTGATCAGATCATCGTTCTCTAGAGAAAATCGTGCAAACCTTGCGGGAAGGGAGCGAACGATTGACCGCAGCCTTCCTTGAGAAGCGTCGCATTGTCCGAGAAGCAGAGCGATCCATCGGCGGCAGTGCCCCAGAAGAACGGGACCTTGCCATGGGAATCCTGATCAAGGCGAAAGAAAGGGGGAGTTCTTAGCTCGAGGATCGATCGATCGAGGGAGAGCTTGCTTACGCTGGCAGTGAAGACTCCTCGGGCCTCACGATCATACAAGACAAAGGCGAACTGGCCACGCAAATCTCGCACGACTTGGTGCGCCGGATATGGTTCTCTGTCGCGCAGAGCCCTGTAGGCTTCGATCACGAACAGCACCTCGCTGATCGATTTGGGGAGGCCATACGATTGGCGCAGCGTGGGGAGATTCTCCAGCATGCCCTCGAAGAGGCAGAAGATGTTATCCACAGCCGCGAAGCTCCTGTAGCATGGTTAGCTAAGCTTCCAAGAACACCGGAAGAACTTACCTGGGCCTCAGGAGAGCTTGCTGCGAGTGAGAGTAGATCATCTTGCAATTCTTGTCTGCTTGGATCTGGACGGCCTGAGGGAACGCCCTGACGAATCCCTCCGCGACCTCCACCGCGCTGCTGCCATTGGAGCTGTCCTTCGGATTAAGCTCCTGTGGAGCTTCCGCCACGGATTTGTGAAACACTGCCAACATGATTACCGCTCGATCGAACCCCTTTCCCTGATCTTGCCCACGCAAATCACGAGAAGTTTACTCCCACGCACCCCTCGGATCACCGAAACCTTGCGGGGCTATATGGTGACCGCACAAACGTACGAAGATTCCCTCTCTCCCCCAATGCTCTGGAGCCCTCTTTTAAAAGAGGGGAGATTCGGCCAGAGATTCTTACCAGGCTTTACCTTCACATCTCTTGATAAAGTTTATAGAGGAAGTTACCACGGCATTTTCTCTGTTCCGGTTGCCCCTTACCGGCAAATGCCAGTAAGCTGGAGCATTTGGGGGTGGGTGGCAGGGCCAGTGGAGAGAGGGACCACGGCGGCCAGCAGCCAGGCGGCCGGCGAGGAGAAGCCGTGCCGGGATCGATTCTCGTTGTGGCTACGGCCGCATTGCCTTGACCTTATCCAGCATGATTGTACATAAGGTGAAACGTGATGTTGACAAAAAATTTCAGTGTCACGATCTCGATCCAAATGTGGGACCCAGGGATAAAAAAATCTCTTCCTTTGCTTGTTCTAGCTACGTCCAACCATCGCTATAGTGTTGGGTGATCAACTATCTCGCTAACAAGCCACTGCTTTCACTGAGAGTTGAACTCAGGACCTCCCGCTTACTAAACGGGTGCTCTGACCAACTGAGCTATGAAAGCTTATCGAGATGGCCTTTGCTGGCAGCTCGAGAGCTCAAAGCCCAATAAGATCATTCCTATTTTCCTAGATCTTGAAGCTTATGCAGAGAATGAGCAATCCACCAATGCAACCATGCCTATTTGCAACATTTTCTCCTGGTCTGTGCTGCTCAGGTCTTATTAGCGATCCCGGCAGATTGAGAGGCTAAGCAATTGCACGAGCGGAATGTGCTTATCTGAAGCACCATGCTTGTAGCATATGCTCAAACCGGGAATATTCGCAGGCAATGACGAGATTATGATAAACGCATATTCTCCAAACGGATATCTCTCCCTCGCGGTGTCGACGTTCCATGGCAATGCCAGAATATGCGCAGGTGACTTGGAATTCCATTCTCCAAGTGTATCCCAAACGGTGAAAGTTGCTGCTGATGGAAGTTTTTGACGGAATGCCTGATCACATATGCTGACGGTATATGCCCGTGCCGGGCATGTGGATCGTGCACAGGGCATGTTCCAGTCAATGCCGGAGCAAAACGAGGTGTCCTGACGCGATATGCCGAGAATCTTGAGGTGTCAAATACTGCTTGACGAGATTCCAGAGCCAAACAGGACGATCATGATATATGCGGAGTCCGGGCATCTCCGAGATGCCGAGAGAACGTTCAAGCACGTCCCTTCGCACGATGCCGTCGCGCTAAACGCAATGCTTCAGGCTTACGTCCTCAACGGGAGAGACGACATGGTTTGACAAAATGGGATTTGCTTCGAGCGGGCATTTGCACAAAGCGAGAGACCTGTTCATCACGATGCCACGGAGGGCCTTCCTCGACCCTGCTACAGGCTTTTGCTCAAGCAGGGCAGATCAGATTCGCGAGAAAAACCTTAGATTTTATGCCTGCTGCTCTTCCGCGAGATGATTCTGCCCGGCATGAGCACCGACGAGGACATTCAAGCCCATCGAGATCTCCGACGCGCCTGCTTCCACGTCTAGACATCCAGCGGCAACACTACCAATGCATCGCCCAGCCCATCTCGTCGGCATGGCGATCGAGGCGGCGCCTTCTAGACCCGAGAGCCCTAAAGTCGATCTAGGGCTACAGCTGTTTCGTTGGCGCGGCGGCGGAAAGGCGCGCTTCGAGGATCTGGGAGCTCCGATCGGCTGCAATGGCGGCGCGCCATCAGGCAGTGGTGCCATCGCGATCATCGTCGGGTGACGACAGCCTGTGGGCACGGGTGAGCAACAAGGTCGTGCAATCGTCGCTGTACCACAAGTCGAAGCGCGCGTTGTCCAGCGCCTCGTACGCCAGCAAGAAGCTCATGTTTAGCACCGGCAAGGCCGCCTGGATCGCGGGGACGACGCTGCTGGTTTTCGTGGTGCCGCTCATCATCGAGGTGGACAAGGAGCAGCAGCTCGCGGAGCTCGAGTCGCAACAGGCAACGCTGCTCGGTGGCGCTCCCCAGCAGCCCGGACCACCGTGAATGAGGCACGTAAGTTCTTCGTTCCCTTGTTCTTCTTGTTCTTCTCTCGAGGATGATCTCTGGATCTTTGCTCGTTCCTTGTTCTTCTCGAGGATGACCATTTGATCTTTGCTTTCTTCCACAGGAAATGCGAGAGAGTTTTCAGTTTTCGCTGTAAAGAAAGGAGAGAAAGTGACTTGGCAAAGGTTTGTAGTGCGCAGGTCTTCCCGAGGCATAGTAGAAGTCTAGAGCATCCGAGGTGTAGTTTGTCCCTGTGCTTTTCTCATACAGCTCTTCCGTGTGATTGATTCAGTGTGCACTGGACTCCGCATTTCCTGCGGGGTGGTCCTTTCCTTTTGACAAGTTCAACGCAATAGTGTTAATCTCTAGTGGCCGGCAGCAGCAATCGCATCTCCAAAACATGCGAAGTTCTTCCTGCCGTTTGCGCAACTTGCCTGGTAGGCTGGTACACCAATATTCCCAATTTGCTCTTTCGGGCCGGAAAAGTATGGAAAAGTACCACATACACAGAACAATAAGAGTGATGGACCAAACGAGCAGAAAGAAGAGAAAGCAAGAGATTCCAAAGAACCATTATACCTTGGAAATAGCATCTCGTTTATCCCTCATGGCTCAAGTCGGGATTAGGTCAAAAGGCCAAGGCTAAAAACATAACGCCCGACGGCATTAATTACGCCCCTAGGCGGTGACGTGCCGGAGAAGGCCGACACGTGTCGCCCGTGCCGACGCGGCGGCCTGCTATTTGCGGCGCATGATCACGAGCGCGGCGGGCCAATCACAGGCCGCCGACGTCCGGACCTCGTACGGAGAGAGGTTAGGTCTGTACGGCCCGGTAGTCCCTGCCAGGCTGGCACATATTCCGGGCAATTCCCAGCCGCCATCGCCAAAGGGGGGTTTCCAAAGAGTTGGACATGGCTCCCTATATAACTACCTCGCCCTGTCGCCCAGTGCTATCGTCAGTGATTGGGAATTTTTCTTTTGTGCGTGAGTGGCTTCTTCTTCTTCCTCTCCTCTGGGATACATTCCCATAGTGGGTGATTCTTTGGGCGATTCTTTCTCCGCTTCTTTTGATTCGTGGCTATGGAGGAGAAGAGGGCGAGGGATGGGGACGGGGAGGATGAAGATCCCCGGGACTGTCTCAAGAAGCTGTGTAGAGGGCTGGGGATCGTGGAAGAGGAGCACCATGGCCTCGCGTTGGATGAAGAGGGCAACCGCGAGGTGGCGCTGGAGGAATCCAGCCTCGCGCGCGAGGAGCTCCTCTCGGGCGTGATCAAGAGCCTGGAGGAGGAGATCAATCTCTCGTCTGGGTCGTCGTCGCCGGCGCCGGTGGAGCAGCAGCAAGAGGAATCCTGCCAGGAGATCTTCGCGACGAGCAGCCGGCTGAGCTATCTCCTGGAGGCGTCGGACGACGAGCTGGGCATCGCGAGCCCGGCGCTGTCGGAGGCGGATCTCTCGTGCTCGTTGAGCGAGCAGCAGATCCGCGCCAACGCCGTGCTGGATCTGCTCGAGGGCGAGGTGATCAGCCTGGGCTTCCCCGAGTTTGAGGAGGAGTGGATCCGCAGGGCCGTCGCGACCATGGAGATGGTGATGGAGTCTTCTTCAGTGGAGTTGGATGGCTCTTCCACGGTCGCGGGGATTGAGTCGCCATGTCAGCCACTCCTGGTCGAATCGTCGGGCTCGTTGTGATCTCTCGCTTCCTCGCAAAGAAGAGGAATTGGATCGGCCCTTGTGAATAGTAGGAAATTTTTTTACTTTGCTTTGTATTGACTTTTAACTGCGGCACTGACAATAGAATGCATCAATCAAATATGAGGTGGAGTGGAGAGTGGATCATCAAAACAGGTCACACACTCTCTCTAGCTGAAAGAAGAAAATTTTACTCCAGATGTCGTGTCGTGCGATTGGCCAATCCTGTCGTACGGTTACTTGTGTGGTGTGCGTGGAAATTGATTAGCGGTTATGCGTCCTCAACTTTACTTAGCGCCAAGATCGAGTTATGGAGACGCGACGATCTGGAGGATTTTCATTAGAGAGCTATCACTATCACTCACCATAGAAACGAGAGAGATCAAATCTGGGCGTCCACGACACGGAAAAGTTGGAGAGTCTCGCGAGAAGGAAACTCTCGATTTTCGTCGCTTTGACTGGGAATCTTGAAATCCTCGCCTCGCCTGAGGTACAAACACGCGTAAGTCAGTAACACAGAAAAAAAAAAAAAGAGTAAAACATGAAATCGAGGATTCACTCACACAGTAAGATTCGCTGGATTGATTCGCCTGTGAGTAAGGTGGCCCACGCATGCTGCATTGGAAGACGGCGCGACGAGCGATTTTGGGTCCTTGTTGCTGACCGCCCGAAACACCTGCGAGATGGAAAACGCAGTGATGACAACTACAAACGACGAGGAAGACTGGAAAAAAGAGATTAGAAAACTTAGATGGGAATGGGAATCGAATACCTCGTGGGAAGAAGCTACACATGGTGCTTGGCCCAAGTCGCACGCCTTGGAGCCTCCATGGAAAGTGCGTGCGTCGTCCACCACCAACACCAACGCTCCCTTCCCTGGAATGAAAAAAATGCGGACTATCCATTTGACAAATCCTGTCACCCCGGTTCCTGAAAGCTTTGCTGCTCTTCTGCCTGTTCCACCAACCAGTCGGCCCGTTTTGCGTGGGTGCTGGCCAATGAAAGTCCAAAACCGGTGCGTATCAATCCTGTGTGCCTCTGTCTCTGTCCCTTTCTCTGGCGGTGGCGATCATTCTGTCTCGTGAAAGGCGGGCGGGCGGGCGGGCGGAGCCAAAGGTTTGCAGTCCAGACACGCACTCTGCATGGGCGCATCCTGCACAAAAGCCGTTCGAGAGAGCGTCAAATCTCTAAGTTTGCATGAAGTCTTACCTCCCGGGGAAAGCTTTGGACATGTTGAACAAGCAATTACATTCTCAGGCAGCGCTTGACGTGCTGTCGTTACGCAACATTTTCGTGGCTCGTTATCACCCGCTCCATCCATTCTGTTGAGCCGGGGGACCAGACAACGGGCTTACTTCCAGATTCCCACTTTCCGGACGCTGCCAAACAGGAGCACTAGATAAGCCTCTGCTGCGTCGTTGTCGATAACCAGGGACTTACTGAAAATTCTTCATCGAGCTGTCACGGTCCGGAAGTAACCTGGTTTCCGGCATCAAATCGGGTACCGCCTGTGAAGAAGATTCGAAGAACAGAAACGTGGTCACGCTTGTTGTACGTTTCTGGTTTCCTGGCCAGCCTGGTTCACCAGCTTGCGCAGCCCGTAGTCCCTCAACTTCTGAGAATTCAGCTTCTTGATGGCGGACAGGTACTGAGCAGCACCAGACGGCATCTGATCTTTGTTGGTCTTGGTTATCGGTTTTGACCCTTCTTTACGCTTCAAGACTTCGAGAGCTTCTGCTTGGACCTCTTCAAAACAAATATTTATGCGTCAGTAACTACTAAGAAGCAAATAAAGAAATCACGCAGACCGGATGTTCCTCTCGCAGCACTAACTGCGAATTCTCGCTCCGTGATTGCTTGAGGCCAGTCCTCAACGCATGTCATGTGTTTCATGGCCATCTCGTAAGCCTTTGAAAAGATCGAAACAGTCAGGGACAAGGAAAGCTAGCTAATAAATAGAGTGCCTTACTTTCACAGCGTTGGAGAAGAAAAAACTCCTCGAGCAGGCCCTCGCAAAGTCCATCCATTCTTCCGCAGATACAACCAGCTCTGGATATTCCACGCAAAAGGTCTCTCGCAGTATCAAGGTCTCGTAACGAAGAACAAATTGCTCCTTTCACACGAACAAATTTTCGGCTTTAGATATGAAAATCAAAGAAGCTACCTCAATGTCACAGGCTAGATCGAAGCAGCCTTGGAGGAAGTCGAGCAGCTCCAGCTTCTCTTCGATAGGGATCTGCGCGGCGGATCTCAAGCAGGCGCTGGAAGCCTCTCGGAGCATTTCTTTCACGGTGGAGTCGAGACCAGGGTCCAGCATGACACGCAGCTTCTGAAACGCAAGATCATACCTGCGAATCCAGACGCTGCATTGGCTCCCGCAAGAGCGATCAAGACCTTACCTCCTCGACATTACGAGCGACGCGAACCTTTGCATTTCCATCGCAAGCAAGCGCCTTGAATCCGCCATTGCCGCCAAGAAACAAGAACTAGGGTTTATACCCCATCAAATTCCTCGTTTTAAAATCCCTCTCTCAATTCTCTCGCGTGCTTGGGAACATCGTCAAGGAACGAATTCGATCTCTCCTCTCTGCAATCCCTTGAACACATTCAATCCCCCCGCGGCGCCAGCGCTGAAGCTCCCATCGATCACGAGGCTATGGCCGCTGATATACTTCGAATCATCGCTGGCCAGGAAGAGCGCGGCCTTGGCCACGTCCTCGGGCGCCAGCATCGTCCTCAAATCCTCGCAATTCTCAGCGCCAGGGCAGGATTTCCCATCCCGGATCTCCAGATGCCTGAGATGCCGCCCCACAGAGCACAGCAAATCCGTCAAGACCCCATTGGGCGTGATGCAATTCACGCGGATGCCATAGTGGGCGAGCTCCAGCGCGCACGTCTTGACGAGCCCTAGAATGGCGTGCTTGGTGATGGTGTAGGGGTGGAGTGCGAGGCCGGCCACCATAGCCGAGACGCTGGCGGTGCACAGAATCGACCCCTGGACGTGCTGCTCAATCATGACGCGCGACGCGTGCTTGATGCCCAGCGCCGCCCCTCTCACGTTCACAGCGTAGAGGAAATCCAGCTCGGCCGCCTCCATGGAGGAGATCGACGGTGATGGATGCCGCCCATTGAGCACGCCGGCGTTGTTGTGCATCACATCCAGCCGTCCAAACTCGGACACCGCGGTGCGTACCGCGCGGACTATGTCGGCCTCGCTGCCCACGTCGCAGTGCACGTAGCGGCATACCGCCGGGCCGCCGACCTCAGCCTCGAGCCGGGCGCCCGACTCGTCGTCAATGTCGGCGATGACCAGCCTTGCGCCGTTGGATGCGAAGAGCCGCGCCGTGGCGGCGCCGATGCCGTTGGCTCCGCCGGTGATCACCGCGACCTTGTCCCGGAGGAGCTCTTGCCTGGAAGAAAGAAATAAAATCGCTCCAGCATGAATTCCTGGCCTGATTCACCTGGTGTGCTGTTGTTGGTCGTGATTGATTTTCGTGGAGAAGAAGAAGCGCCCTCCTCTCTTGGATTGCTGCCTAATTCACAGGGATTGGATTCAGATAGATGGTTGCGTACTTTTGTTCCAATCCAAGTACCTCAAGAGCCTCCTCCCAGACAATATCATACTCGCGTCTTCACTCCAATTCGTATCGCTCCTCTCCAGAGAAGAGAGCTGTGGTCACTCGCGCTTATTGCTCGATCGCTGCGAGATATCTGTCGACTAAAAACCCGAATCACTCCAAAGTCTGTTGCTGCTGCTAGCGCTGCCGCGGCTGTAAGAGCGGCCATTATCAAAGCTCTCGCAACATGCTCCCCATTAATACGAGAAGTAGAAGAAGAAAGACTAGTAAAAGAAAAGGAGATGGAAAGACACAAAAGGGCTCTCTGTTCCTCGACGATAGAGACTCGGAGCTCTCTCTCAGGCTTAACAAAATGCCTGACACACAGCCCGACAAGGACCGAGAGAAAAGCCCACAAACTCGAGAGCTTTGCTTGGATCGAGAAGGAAAACTTCGCACAAATCATGCCCGACAAAGCCTCTCTTCCAAGCTCGCTCACGCTTTCGGCGTCCTTGTGTGTGTCTGATGCGCACAAGTCTTCGTTTTCCTGCCGCACTGTTTTGCCAGACGTGTGTAAGTTGACAGTGCATTAGAACTAAAACAATCGGATTCATGGACATCAAATGCTCGGCTTTGCTACAATCAAATCGAAAGCCATGGACGATAACTCTTGTACAACACAACCAAATCAAAAGCTTCTAGAGAGTTAAAAGGTGGTACATCTTTCGTCAAAAGAAGCTCGACCCTTTCACCACCATGTAGAAACCCTGGTTCATCACAAAGTCCGTGATCTTCTGGTAGAACTTCTCCGTGAAATGAACTCCATCCCAGTTCATGTGCTTCGACAGGGATTTGCACACCGTGGAGGTGCTGCAGCCGCATCCGGGCTTGCTCGCGTCGCAGTTGTAAGTCCCCGACCCCGACCCACAGCACGCCTGCAGCTTGCTGGCCGGATCAAAGCCGTAATCCTCCGGGCTCTTGTACATGGCCAGCGCCGCCGCGAACACATCCCCATACACGATGTTCTCACCGGCATCGATCCCCTCGAGCATCGCCATCAGCGCCTTGTTGAATTCCATGCTCACCTTGCTGATCTCCTCGAGGCAGCCGAATCCATCGTACTTGGGACTGGATCCCACACTTTGCTGCAGGTAGAGCGGCAGGCACCCCTGCGGCGGGAGATTCATCACCAGGAAGCTCTTGATCCCCTCCTTGGCGAGACGGTTGATCCCGTCCTCGATGGAGCCGATCACGTCGGGGATCTTGGCGACGATGGCGCTCGGAGAGGAGCCGCCGATGATCATGTAGTTGATGTCGTTGCCGCCGATGAGTATGATCGCGACGCCGGATTCCACCGTGCTAATCGAGGGGAAGTGCGAGGTGGCGTGCGAGGAGGAGCAGTCCTTCTTGAAGTTGACGAAGCTGTCGATCTGGCGATCCAGGCTGATGCCGCTGGGGAGCGTTGGGCTCGCGAAGTCCTCGTTCGCGGTGGCGCCGGCGATGGCGAAGTTGACGCCCTTGGTATAGTCTAGATTCTTGTTGCTCCCGCCGTCGTAGGGTGGCAAGAAGTGCGTGCCAAAGTTGTCCATGGCGAAATCTAGCCATAGCCTCCCGTCCGAGAACCTCCCCGTGGCCTTTTTGAAGTACGTCATGCCATACGGGAGCTTCACCACCCCGCCCGACATGCTCTGCAAGTTTCCCGTGTCGGACAGCGAATCTCCAAACGCCATGAAGTATTTGGTGGCGTAAGTGGTCTGAACGCAAAGTATCAGCGACAAAAAAACCAAGATCTTCCACTCCATTGCCACTGCCCCAAGGATTACTATCAAGTTTATTTTTAGTGTTTTTCAAAAGTAACACGATCTCTTTGAACGGCTGTGATTTGCCAGAAATATTCTATTTTCTCGTCTAATTTATAACTTTGTGATTTAAAGGTAAACACAATGCTTTGAACTATGTTTTAAAGTTGAGGTCTTGGCCAAGAAAGGGGAGCCCCGCTCCTCACAGGAACCTCTTGAGATAGGAGCTTGCGCTCATGTAATCGATGTGAGGGTAAAGGTGGGACGCGCTCACGTCGTCACTGATGTCGAAGTTGGAGCACTCGCCCTTGTAGAAGACGTGATAGAAGATGGAGAGCGCCTCGTTTTTCGGTGACGGTGGTCCTGGAAAGAGCGCTCGCGATTAAACAAAAGAGAGAACGACAACAACACGTCAAACCCACCTTGAAGATCTCTGAGAAAGTCCTCCTCGGGAATGTGACACTTTACCAGCGTCACACCGCTCATCTCCTCCCACATTTCGACGACTTCCTTCTGCGACAGGACGTTGGCTGGAGGGCGAATGTAGATCGTCTTGTTTACCGCCCTGGGATCGTCCACAGTGCTCAACGCGTATCGCCCAACATCCGCTTCCACGACCCAGACCACTGCCGAAAGAAAAAGAAAAGAGAGAGCTCAGTCTAAAAGCACTGCAAGCCATGAATGCATTTGGCAGACCTTTGGCTGTCCCGTCTCCATAGATGAAAACTTTCTCCTTGGGAGGCATGAACTGAGCGAACTGCGCGAGTGAAGACAAGAAGTAACCAGCGAAACAGTTTGCCGACACGAAAGTATGGGGGATCCCGGCTGCCTCCACTGCACGCCTCACCTCTCGCTTCGACTCAAAGACGTGGTTTCCCGGCTTGAGAGCGTGATGCATCCGGTCGGGATCCATTCCAAACTCCGAAGGTAAAAATCTCTGCGGCACGCACCAAACTTCAGATGGATACCAATAAATTGGCACGGACCTTTATGTTCCCCGCCTGCTTGATGGCCTCCACCAGCTTGAGTTGAGAGAGCAGCCGATTCTCTGCCATCGCCGAGACCACCACGTCTACTTGCTTCAGAGCGGCCAACAAACTCTCGTTGTCATCAAGAGATCCCTGCTAGCCAGAGAGAAACGAACAGTCAGAAAAGAAAAATTGCAAGCCAATTGTTTACCTCCAAGAGCTTGGCCCCTTGTGCCTTGAATCCTAATACTATTTCCACCCGCCTTATGTCGTGAACAACGTCCGGCCGCACGAGGAGGTACGTTGGATGATTTAAATCCAGCGAAGCTTGAGCCATGAGCCTGCCGATATATCCTGTACATCCAACAACTAGAACTCGACTCTTAATTGGCTCCATACCGACGCTTCTCAGCTAAAATCTATCTATCTATATGGTCTTTTGATCACAGGAAATGGACGAGCTATAAAAAAAAGGGCGCAAAGAGTCAGGCCAACCCAGCACGACCAAAAAGGCTTACAATGCAAAGAAAAAAAAAAGTAGAAACATGACTATTATGCACGCAAGTTTCTAGTAGAATCTTCTCTTTGTTCAAAGTTTCTACTTAGTCCTTCGAAGCTTCTACTTTAGTTCTTCGAAGAACTTCTTTGATTTTCTCGTTGCTCAGAGCTTTCTTGGAACTTCTTTGATCTTCTATGGCGGATTGTCATTTCGAGCGAGTAGCAATGGTGGATTTGGAGCGGAGAATTGGAAGAGTTTGCTCGACGATCGAAACATATCGGCCAGCAGCACATTATACATACGGAGTGGCTTTCCTCCTGAGCACCCGTTTCGTCACTCGAGCTCCCCCATCTCGGTGTGTCCCCGGAAAGCTCCCAGCAACTCCAGCTGTCGGGCATCGCTCGGCATGGCCGAGACGAGCACCTCGGCCTTACCTAGCCCGTCCGAGAAGATCCACCACGCAGCAAAAGTGCTGCTTGAGAGGAACCAACTTCCAGTCTCTCGTCATAGCAAGGCCGGATCGAAGCTTTCCTGCGCCAGGAGAATCCAAACCAAGCCTTCTTCTCCTGGAGTTTGAGTGAGAGCCATGGTGTGGAAGAGCTCCAGCGTCGAGTCCGTCCGGCCATTGTAAGCATACGTCTCAAGCATCGTGTTCTAGGCCACAGCCACTGCAGTCACTGTGTCAAGGCCATAGTCCAGGCCATCATATCCCTCTGCGGCATCTCCTCAAAGACCGACTGGCCCAGATAGTCAGTCTGGGTATAAGCGGCCAGTAGCGACGTCCACGATACTAGATTGGAGCCGGGTATGGGCGGAAAGACCCGCTTGGCCTCCTCGACATGCCCGCTCCGGGCATACGTCGCCGAGAGCAACGCAACCATGTCCCTGCTTGGCATGCCCTCGAAGAAAAGCCTGGCTTCCTCCACACACCCGCCCGGGCCTACGTTGATGTTCATGATGTTCCACGAGCAAGGTGATACTGTCAAACACGATTTGTGCCTGCTGGACGTTTCCCTGCTTGCTGTAGTGCTGGAGCAATTGGAATGCCATTCTTAAGAACCTGAGAGCGCGAAGTATGTCGAGCTGGGAAGAGCAAGTTTCCATCCAGAGCTCGGACCATCTGAAACAAAGAGTGAATCCAGTAAATCCAGAAACCAAAACCACCTCGTTTTCTTTGCTTCTGCTGCTACATTGTAGACAACATGGAAGATACAGGATCAGTTAGGAAAACCAAACTTCCCCGGGGATAAAAGAGCCGCGCCATCGTCGTACGTACACTTACAAAATGATAACCGAGAGCCTACCAATGAACAAGACAGCGATGGTAAGCACTAAATAATTTACTCTGTTGCAGGGGCAGCTCGGGCCGTGAGCAAAGGTTGGAGCGCTTTCACCACGATGCCCATGTTTGGCCTAAAGTCCGCCTCGTATTGCACGCACAGAGCGGCAACAGCGGCCATCTATGCAAGAAGAACGCAGTTGGAAGAACAGAAAAAAGAAAAGAAAAGAACTTACCTTGGCAGCTGCTTTTACAGGATACTCTCCTTTCAGCTTTGGATCCACACATTGGTCGACTTTGTCTTCGCTAAGTCTGGGTGTGGCCTGTGATCGGATCAAACAACACGTTGAAGTACCAGATACCGCCACTGAGCTTGACAGCCTACTTACCCACGTTAAAAGGCTCTGCTGTTCACGAGGCTTTGAGTGATCCACTGGCTTTCTCCCAGTGAGGAGCTCCAACAAAACCACACCAAAGCTATAGACATCGCTCTTTTGTGTGAGCTGACCTGTCATAGCATATCTAAGCCCAAAAGCGTTAGACTGAGACTTGGAAGTTATAACGGCTTACTCTGGAGCGTGGTAGCCGAAAGCTCCAAGTACACGAGTCGAGTGAAGCCTTGCGGCCGTGTCCGGTGCTTTATTGGAGAGATTGAAGTCGGCTATCTTTGCTGTGCAGTCGTCGAACAGGAGAACGTTACTGGACTTGATGTTACGGTGAATTAGTAGTGGAGAGACTTTTTCATGCAAATATTTGAGCCCCTTCGCAGCCCCTACTACGATCTTCACACGCTGGGTCCAATCCAACACCGGACCAGGCAAAGCACCTTTAACACCTTTTCTCCCTGGTGGGACATGACTCGTAAGATTCGAACATCTTGAAAAGGCTCAAAACGTACCATGGAGTATGTCATGCAAAGAGCCCATCGTTGCAAACTCATACGCCAAAACACGGAGTGGTCCGTCAACACAGTATCCAATGAGCTCAACAACGTTCTCATTCTTTAATCTCGATACCATGGAAATCTGAAGCACCACACGAATGAATAAAAAAGTAGAACGCTTGAAAAGCATACCTCAGCAAGAAACTCCTGATCAGGCTGTGAATTCTGGTCGAGCTTCTTTATCGCAGCTTGACCACTTCGCAACTCCGCAAGGTAAACTCGGCCATAGGATTCCTCACCGATGAGTGACTTGGGACCAAAATTCTCCGTGGCTTCTTTTAGCTCGTCAATGCCAAGCATTGGAACAGCAATCGGTTGGACTCTGGCAGCTTGTCCAGCTCTATTTGCTCCTTCATTTGCTTTAGCAGCACCAGGATTGCCTGAAAACCAAGCAAAGAACAATTGTTTTTCACACAGGAAAGGATGAAGAACTTACCATTTGTCACAGTAGTAAACGGAGTATAACGCTCCCGACTGGCTGTGTGCCGTCTCCCAAGACAATCGGCTCGTGCTCGCTCTGATGCGGCACAAGAAGAGAAAGCGCATCCCATTGCTTCGCTACTTTGCCCCAGATCAAAATATTTTACCCTACACCTGGAAGAATCGTGTCGATGTTAAGACGCCAGCTTTGACCGTGGTCAACGTGCGGCGGGTTTGAAGTAAAGTAAGCTTTTTTATTTAGCATTTGGTATTATGCATTGGAATCTTCATATTGATGATAGCAGTGGTGTTGATGAGGTGTTTGAGGTGAGGTTTGAACTATATGAACTACAAGCTCTGAATAAGAATTAACAAGATGTAAGAGGCATGGTACAATTACTATGATATGTGGGTGTGTCAAACCACTTGAGGTTGGATATGATAATGTTTTATACAAAGCTAGATTGACTCAAAATTTTAACTTTTTCTTGTGTGTGGAAAAGTGTTTGGTATGGTTAGCCAATTTAGAAAATGCCAAAGAACTCTAAATGTTTTGCATGATATAAGTCTTTGATGGTAGAATTAACTTAAGAAACCTTGTGTTGTGAACAAGAAACCATTAGTGTCTATTATAAATGAGTTTAAAGCTGTTTTTCATCTATACTTTTTTACAAACTCCTTCCTCGTTTTTTTTTATGTCATCTTGAGTTCATGTTTAAGGGCTCACTCAAATTCCAAACATAATTGAATGCTTGGAACTTGAATTCAAACCCTCCAATCCCTAAACACTCCCTAAAAATGCTAAAATGTTTGAAATACTAGAATGCATCTAAAAATTTAACAGGAGCATGACTCTCTACTGTTGTGCTCCACCACCATACCCAACTCCATTGCCACGCTATCCATAGCCACACTTGGGATCCGCTGCTCATCACACTTAACTTAATGATTTAACCAAGTGCTGTAAATGTAAATGATATGTATTTATGTATATTCATATACAAAACACTTTTACCTAACTTAAAATTAAATGTAAATCTAAATTACATAAAATATGGGTATAAATAGAAGGTCTATTTATGTCTTTTGTTCTTAGAGTTGCTTATATCTTACACTTACTTGTTCTTGTAAGACATTTTTAGGTGGTGACCATGTTTTTTCATTTTGATCAATTCTAGCATGCAATTGCTAAATGTAATTCATAAATTTTCCATTACTAATTTGTTAGTTTACCTCTTTTATCCTAGCTATAGTTAAGTTCTCATGCCAAGGTTTTTTTATTATTATATTATCTTTTATTTAGTTTTATTTAGCTTCAACTACTCATTGCAAAAGTAAGGAAGTGTTAGCCTTCTCTTCATAGAGTTTTAGACTCTCTCTCTCCCAATCTCTACTCCTAGAATAGACCAAATTTAATACTCTCTATAAGCATAAACAACTAAACACACTAAGCCTCTAAAACTTTAACATCCTTTAGTATAACAAAACTATAAGCAACTAAAGAGAAAAATTCAAAAGATGATTTATAAGGGTTTAAATATAAAAAATATTCCCTTTTCTTCAATTGATTAAAGATTTTAAGTTATTTGGAGTTAAATGTCCTCAAGGTGACTTCTCAGGAAATTTAAATTTAAAAACTTACAAAAGCTTATATTTGGTATGAAAAAAGTCTCGCATTTTAGCTTTTATTCACAAGGGTGTAAAGTTGCAAGAAAGTGAATTATAATTTTTACTTTACATTTGCAAAGTGTTCACAACAACTTCCATTCACGAGAGCGTGAATTTACAAGAAAGTGAGCTATAATTTTTACCTTCTATATGTAAATGAAGGCATGGATTTATAGCAAAGTATGGTAAATTGTAAACACCCACCCATAACTTCTAACCCTCAGTTTTAACTAATTTAGGGTTTGGGACCCAAGGCAAGAATTTCATTTTCTTGACCACATGACATATATTCTTCTTATTTAGACATGTTTTGGGCTTTGAGCACACAATATATATTAGTATTTATACTTACACTTGAGAGCACAAGAGAGCAAATTCATCATAGCTGAGGTTCTTCCTTGGAATAGCCAAGATCAAAATATAATTAAAGAACTCCTATTTGGGTAAGAATAATTATAGCTCTTTTTTAATTAAATATATTATTTGAATCACCTATTTATTTGTAGAAATTGGATAGATCACCAAGGCAACAGCCAACCACAATACTTTTGATTGCTCATCCACAATACACTCCTCAATTGAGATATAAGGTAGGTGAGTGATCAAACTAGTTATTTCCATACAATGTTTAGCTTTTCTTTTTGCAAACAAAGCGTCCTAAACAATGATCCTTCTATCATCGAAATCAAACAAAAGATTCTACTGCCAATTGCATGCTTTGATAAATAGTGTGTGAATAAACCATGCTTACATATAAGCTCTAGAAAATATACCACAAAGACACTTTAATATAATACCAGATTGATTATTGGCCACGTTCTTTAAAAAAGTTACTTTAAAACTATGAAGAATCTTCTCGCTCTTTATATTTATAATTTTACTTTTTGAATGCCATACCATGTACCACGTGCCAACACTTGTGCTCCCCACCCACCCCACACCCCCAACCCAACACTTATGCCCCCCACCCCACGTACTCAAACAGGGGATTTGTCGCCCAGGCGCCACACATTGCATCGCCAGGCATTTGGATTGTAATGGCAAAACAATGCGGGGATTTCACACTATATTACGCAAACCATGCACGAACAGTGGAAGCTATTGTGCTGGCGAGAGACATTTCTCTAGTGCGATTACGGAGAAAGGCAAAACCCTTGTGTCGAGATCTCTCGGCCTTCTCTCCTGACGCAATGAACAATCATCAATTCCCTGTTCTATCGTGGAGCATTATCTCGCCGAACTTACCGTCTAGAAAAGAGGGTGCCTGTTTCACGCAAGCATAATCAGTAGAGACTGCTGTTTGAGAGAAATTACGTCATTTTCTCGTTACCTTGGATAGAATACAGATTCATCAATCATCCGGCTCTAAACTACGGTTTTCATCTGTTGAGCTCAGCGGGTAGCGGCCGGTTGAATCCTCCTGCAAGCAAGGAGCGGCAATAGATTCACAGAAAATCGAGAAACCATAAAAAGAAAAACAATGCCCACCTCTTCTGTTCATGTACTGCCGCGGCTGGCGCTTGGAAGCCAGCTTCACCGCACTCTGGTTTGCATCAGGCACGCATTTTCCCTGCAAGGAAGAAAAAAAAAAGAAAAGTTTCAGACCTCGACCAGATAGAATGAATGAACCAACCTTGGTGGAGTCGAAGTTGAGAGGAATGCCAAAGCTCTTCATCATGTCTTCTTCGTCCGCTAGAGGCTCCAAAGCCACGGGCTGTGGTGGCTGCTCCTGCGGCTTCTCTGTGGCGCTGGGCTTCACCTGTGCCTCTTTCTTTCGTTTTCCATCGTGCTTTTCGGGTGTCACGGACTTGGACCGTGCCCTCTTCCTGTAATCCCTGTGATTCCTGTCAACGGGCTCCCTATCCCGGCGATCCCTGTCCCAGTCCCGATTATCTCTGTCGCGCTCGCGATAATCCTTGTCACGCTCGCGATCGCGATCGCGCTCGCGTTCGCGGCCTCGGTCTCGATCTCTTTCGCGCTCCCTGGCGTTTCTGTAGCTGTGACCGCCGCTCTTGTTATCCTTCTCTTTACTATGGTGATACTCACCGTCGCGGGGGTGCCGCTTCCTCTCTTCCCGCTCCCCCATCTCCTCCAAGCCCTAAACCCTAACCTGGTAATGAGAGATCTGACCGTTAAATTCTAACGCACTGGATTAAGCTGTAAAACCAATGTTTATTTATAATCGCCTCTCTCGTGGTAAACAATTTCTTTTCTTTCCCACTCGAGCTGCTAAGAATGAATGTACAAATCTGCATGCCACAAGAAATGTTGGAAGCGCTGAGAAATCTCCAAGAAAAAAAAAAGAAGAATCCCTCCAAGAGTAGGAAAAAATAAAGCTCTCACCTACAAACTCGTGCTCTGCTGCAAAAACTCTTCTCGCGCTCTCTCCGGTGGTCACAACAAGAGAAGATCTTTCGTGTCCTCCGAGTTGAGCCTGGATGCTAGAACGTTCGACCTTTGGAGCCGGAACTTTGGCTCCCGGTCTTGACTTCCCTGCCCGACTGAAGGACTAGAAACAGCAACTTGGTACCTCTTGCACGAGCTCGAGAGTGATCCTTTGTAGGAGAAGACCAAGTTCACAGCTTTGCCGCGGTTGTCCAGGCCAAACGCCGGGCCTCCACCTTCCATGAACTCGTCCGGCAAAACGTTCATAAACTTGAGATTGATTTCCATGCTTCCTTTCGGTGGTATCATCCCTGAAGCGGGCGTAACCTGGAAGAACAGAAAAGTTTTCATAAACACACTCGGAGAAGTGTGTTACCTGTAACCAAGGTGGGAGCCCGAATCCAGCTCTAACCGTTACTCTAGCCGCTGCGCTTACAGTGGCTTCTGCTGGATCGCCTTCGCAGCGCAGCTCAAAAACTACGCACTGCCTGCTGCTCTCGTTGATTGCTTTGAGAATAGAAGGCACGCCGTCCTCGAGGATGATCTTGTTAGTGCTGACAACCGTCTCCGGTATAGAGTTGAGCTGATCCATCCACTTCTGGACGTGAGGATTGTTCAACATTAGCTCGCAAAATGCTCTCCTCCTTGCTGCTTCGTTGATCACAGCAATATCAACGTTAAGTAGACACCTCACAGGTTTGTGGTCACTGTCTAGTGCATCCATACACGCGTCGTAGCTGCGGCCACATTCAACAATGAGTATAAAAACCATATGGAAAGATGAGACGGAGAGACACTAGCTTACGATATTACTGATGCTGACACTGGGTGCGAAAGATTAAATTTCTTCTTGGCTTCTGTCCCATCGTAGCTATCTCTAAAAATTACACGATCACACCAAGCTGGTATCCGTTTCTTCTCACTTGAATCATAGCCTGGAGCGGAACAAAGACATCAACCTAAAGTCACCAATAGAACGAGGCTTACCGAGAGGGTTACTGTATCCCTTGTCAAACTTGTAAGTTGGCTGGAATCGTAGGGGGCCCTCTCGCATTCCCTGGAAAACTCTTCCACCGGTCATCTCTATACGTAGTTGATCCTTTGGAAGTAAAACTTCCCATTGTCTGGACGATATCAAGTCTATTGCGTCTTCATACGCAAGATCATCTATCCTGTAGTTGAAGTCTCCAACCCAAACAATCATGTCCGCATCCGCTAGATCGGGCATCATTGCTTCTATGACCGTTTCCGACTCCTGGAAGCCACACAGCTTTCAGTTTCCATCTTTAGACCAAAAACAAATCACGAATTCTTACCACTACCTCCTTTCCCACTTCCTGTGCGTCAGGAGACGCAGTTTTACGCACGGTTGCCCCACGGAATGCTGTAGAGAGCGCATTTGGATTGACACAATTGCTCCACAATGTTAGCTAGATCCCAAGATGAGGACCTATTGGATTCAGTCAAACAGAACTCCAATAAGGTTTAGGTAAGACATGCAAGCAGCTCGGTAAAATTATAACGACTTAAGCAAGTACCTGATCCACCGGAAGAACGACCAAATTTCATCTGATGGTAAATGTGCTCAAAATCCGCGTTTCGTCGACCAACGGCATCCATGTGTGCAGCCAAGTGACTGCTTAAAAAACAAAAAGTTCTTCTGTAAAGGAGGATTTTAACTCCTACTCCTCCCTAAACAAGACAAGCGTTTGAGAAAAATGCCACAAAAGTTGAAACACTCACTTTGTTACCAAGAGCACGGCCAAACCCACAGGGAACAGCTGCAGCATCGATCTCTCCAACAAAAGGAATAAGTTCGTTTCGGACCCTGCCCAAGAAAAATGAAAAGAAAAAAGTTCAGAACAGAACACAAGATAGCACTTGGCGGACTTAGTCATTTACCAGACACCAATAAGAATCCCAGCAAGTTGACGCGAACCAACACGAACAAAGTCCTGGTTCTCACCCAGAGCTGCACCGAGATTATCCAGCCACCATTGTCCATTCGCACTGCTCTTCTCTTGCAATCCTACCTGTAAAGAAACCATGTCGACGCAAATAAACAAGTTTTCCCATACCGTTTCTTTTGCTGCTGCCATGGCAATAGCTCCGGCACTCATCTCGGTCTCCTGCAGTCCTACAAACACAACGCCAGCGTGTGTCGCAGATGCTAGCCACATCTGCATGGATTTCAAGCTCGCCTTCTCCTCTGCTACATTCCAAGTTCCTGCTAGAATTTTAAAAGTTCTTTCTTGCGTGTATGTTTCTGCCTTGGACTGCATCTCGATCTGAAGTATCCCATCAATTGGACAAGGCGATCCGATATTCCAACCGCGAATGCCACCGTGAAGAGCCATTGTGAACACGAAACTCCCACACTTTTCCATATGGACGATAGCGGCACTGTGAGCTATCCACACCCCGAGGACCTTGCCTGTATCTGCAAGCACTTGAATTCGACCGTCCGCATAGCCCACCCAGATTCTAGTGCCCACCGCACACAAGCTGCGAACCGGAACCGGTATGAAGATGGTTGCCTGTAACCTATTGCCCAGTCCATCCCATTGAATGATCATTCCACTTGGATATCCTCCCCATACTGTTCCATCAACTGCGGCCACCAATGCGTCCACCTTCTTACTATCGTCGCCACCTTGACCACCGCTGGCAGCCCGTCGAACAGCATCAGCAGCTCCAATAACGCGCTGGAAAAAGCTTAACGTACCAGCTTTTTCTTTCTTTGATGCTTTCGACATCGAGGACCTGACATCATCGTCCCACATACTGTCCCGAACAGGAGAAATATCTGGGCTGGAGAATTCGGACTGAACACTCGGCCCAAAAACTTTTAACACGTCCCTTGTTCTCGCATCCCTGCCAGAGAATCTACTCATTAGTCAAAAACCAATAAAAAGTTTCCACAACTTTTTACCATATCGCAAGAGCGAGCGGTCCGCCGCTCCAAACTCTCCCATTCGCGTGCTCCGACAGCAGAAAGTAAACATCCGTATTGGCAAGGCTGGTCGCACCAGCAGCAGTTCCGCGGGCTCTGAGGTCCACATAGGAGCGTGCCATCAGTGACGCCGCAGACATAGTTTCTTCTTCTGCCCGGCAAAGAGCATGAGACGTTGTCTCCCATGGCCAAGCTCTGATAGCACCACCGTCAGAGCCAGTCCATAACTCCCCTGACAAGCAAACACAAACTTAGCTCAAGCACAGCTCATGCACACAAAAATAAGCTCCCTTACCATACGTGGTGATGACCATGGACAACACCGGAGAGCGGTGAGCAATCCAGCACAAGCTCGGCTCCGTTCTTCGCCTGGACCTCACAAGTTCCTCGGTGCTCCAAGCTCTGACTTTGCCATCCCTGTGTCCACTCCACACAAGCTTGTTGGCAGCGTCAGCGACGAGGCATAGAGTCATGCCTTCCACACCCATATACGTGAAAGCCGCGGCATCGATATCGTCGGGAGGATTTCCATCGCCACCACTTCCGTGAGACATGGCATTCGCGACGTCCCAGACTTTGAGAGCGCCATCGCAAGCCAGCCACACGGAAGAGCCCGTGCAAGTGAGAGCTCTGGCTGGCTGGTTGGTTCTCATGGGCGATGGTCTTAGATCGAAGGGGACGGGCCTGTCCGGATCCACGGGGCCCCGCAGAGGAGGCTTGTAAACACCTTTGCCACCACCGGCGATGAATTCGCTCGAGCGCTTCATGACTGTGGCTGGCGGCAATGCCTGTGGACTTAGCTTGTTGAGACTCCCGCGCAAGGGGATCACTCCCTCGGAAGCTGATGGCCCATGCAAAGCTCCGGCGTGGGCCTTTGGTGGCGACGACGATGGAACGGCGGGCTTGAGCTCTGGAGTGCTTTGGGAATGTCGGAAGTTCTTGGTGGAAGGAGCTTTACTACTGCTGCTGTTGGCAACGGTCTTGTTTGCTGGCGACGATGAGACGGAAGGAGGCGAGTAGCGATCGTTGGTGTTCCTGGCGACGAACGGGCCATCCGAGGGGCTGTCGAATGGATTGGATGAATTGGAGGAGCTGGATGAGGCTGGGAAGGGAGGAGGGACTCCCGGAATCGTTGTTGGAGGCGTCACTGGAAAATCGCCAGTAAGAAGGTCCGGCTGGGGAGAAGGCGTTTGCTGCTGCTGCGTGAACTTGCGATGCTGCTGGGATGGTTTGTAGGGCGTGGAGAAGGAATCCGATGAGCGGAAGTCCGTGCCGCCATTGCTTGCTGCCGCTCCTCCTCCCGCCCACCCGAAAGGATCCGACATCGACGAACTGGTCGCTGGATCATTGTCATCGCCGAAATCAATCAATGAGGGTAGAGCGCGCTGCCGCTGCTGCTGTTGCTGCTGCTGCTGCTCGCGCCGGCTGGGCGACGCCATAGGCACTGCCGCTCATGAAGAAAAATGCAAGCGCTGGCACTGACCTAGACGATCCCCCGGCGATCGATCCTGGAAACCCTGATCCAACCTAAATCCACACCGATCGATATGCTCCAGATCCTCTCCCAGCGTTAGCTACTTTCTCTGCGATTCTTGCGCTCCGCGCGAGCGATTGGAGCGTTGGAATCTGGGCCTCCGTCGTCTCTCCCACGAAGAACAGCCACGATCCAGGGGTCGTGCCGGAATCCCTCCCCCCTCTCGTGTGAACGTGTGTTTTAAGCCCAAGAGGATATCCCCTGGCACAAATCCCGCCCATATCGTGGCCGTCCATCGCCGCCCTCCGCCGGTTGCCACGTGTCCGCCCGCCTCTAGATCTAGAGCTGCCTGTTTTTCTTCCAGCTCCAGCGACTATATATGTTGATCGAGTCTCTTATAATTTGAAACACGATTTCGGCGCGAGAATAGTCCCGCGGAGCTCGCTGACAAAAGAATCCACCACGCAACGCGATTGAACCTCCCTCTGAAAGGAAAGTTTACACGCAATGTCCGGATCGTACCGCCGACCAAGTGATCGACCGATTGATCGCGAATTTCTTTTGATCGTTGTCACGGAGCTGTTCTCTCTTGTCCAAGAAAAAAAGAGCCCTAGCTATGAAATCTTGGCCTTTGTGTGTGGTGATCCAGATCTCACGGGGTTCCAAACACTTGTCGCGCGGCCACTCCAGCCACATTTTCTTTGACAATGGGAAGATTGGAATCCCACATATCTATCGAGATACCTATGATTGCGGGGGACGAATGATGTGTTGGCCCCGCCCAATCCATCACTGTCGTTAGTTCGTCCCTACCAATGGACGAGAACAGGGTTTAGGGTTTATCCCAAGCCCTATCCGGGAGCCCTTCTCCTTCTAGGGCCATGGCCGCGCTTCTGGCCGACGGCATTGCCGCGGCGCGCGTCCTCTCGAGCTGCCTGGATCGCGGCGCCAGGGATCAGAATGTCGCATCGGCGCGATTTGTTTGCGGGAGCGTCAAGAGTCCGCATTTGCTTCACCGGTAGGCGCTGCTTGTGGTCGCACTGGCTGATTTTCTGTGGCAGATCGAAGCAGCAACGAGGATTGAAGCGAGCTGCTAGCATTCATATCGCTGCTTCTACTACAGGTACTCTTTTTAGTTTTTAGATGACACCCGCATGAAAGGATGTGTTCTAGATTTGATCGCGCCCGAGGAGAGCAAGACGGTGCATAGCTTGCCGCAAGGGGAATCGTGGTCCGTGCACAAATTTGGTGGGACGTGCGTGGGAACTTGCGAGAGGATACAAAATGTGGCTGACATCGTCGTCTCCGATCCATCGCAACGCAAAGTCGTCGTTGTCTCGGCGATGTCCAAGGTCACGGACGTGCTCTATCATCTTGTGGAGGCTGCGGGCTCTCGGAAAGAATCCTACATTGAGTCGCTCAATCTTCTCCTACAAAAGCACAAGGAAACTGCGAGAGCGCTGCTAGTTGAAGGAGCGGACCTGGAGAAGTTTCTAGCCAAGCTTGAAGACGACATTCGGAACCTCCAAGCCATGCTTCGTGCTATATACATTGGTCCGGTTTGTGATCCCTGTCCGTGAATTTTTCCTTCTGACGTGTGTTGTGTGCTTTGGCAGCCGGACATGCTACGGAGTCTTTCACAGATTTTGTTGTCGGACATGGTGAACTATGGTCTGCTCAAATGCTCTGTGCTGCTGTGAATAAGGTACACTTGATTGTGGAGATCACTTCATCTGTTTATCTTTTAACAGAGGGGTCTCTCTGCTGCATGGATGGATGCAAGAGAAGTGCTTGTTGTTACTCCAACCAGTACAAACCAAGTTGATCCCGATTTTGCATCGTCCGAGACGAGGCTATTCGATTGGTATGCACGCAATCCAGCTGACACCATTATAGTGACAGGCTTCATAGCTAACACACCCGACAACGTCCCAACCACGTTGAAACGAGATGGGAGCGATTTTTCTGCCGCCATAATGGGGTCTTTATTCCGTGCGGCCAACGTGACGATTTGGACTGATGTAGATGGGGTTTACAGTGCTGATCCACGAAAAGGTATGGCTAAGAATTTGACGAAAAGAGGAAATGGTGTCTTAAAGGCTGAAGATGTCTCCAGTAAGCGAAGCCGTTGTGCTGAGCACCCTGTCTTACCAAGAAGCTTGGGAGATGGTAAGAGCAATCTCCTTTTCGTTGAAGCTCTGACAACACGGTGTTGCAGTCCTACTTTGGAGCAAACGTGTTACACCCACGAACAACTTTACCTGTGATGAAGTATAACATTCCGATTACAATACGGAATGTCTTCAATCTCTCTGCTTCTGGGACGAAGATATGTCGCACTTATGAAAGCACCGATGACGAATTTCGGGCAGCAAATTCAGTGGTCAAAGGTTTTGCAACAGTCGACAACTTGGCACTGGTGAATGTGGAAGGGTAAGAAGCTTTATTAATACCTGCTGGCTACTAGACATGTGCTTTTGCTTTCAGCACTGGAATGGCTGGTGTGCCCGGAACCGCGAGTACCATATTTGAAGCGGTCAAGGAGGTTGGCGCAAACGTTGTTATGATCTCTCAGGTTAGCATTTGACTTGTTGGACCTTGTGGTGATACTTCGTATGACAGGGCAGTAGCGAACATTCCGTCTGCTTTGCGGTTCCAGAAAAAGAAGTGAAGGCAGTGTCTAAAGCACTCGAGAAAAAGTTCAAAAGGGCCTTGGACGCCGGAAGACTGTCTAAGGTATCTCCTCGTGCTTGACTCTTTCTTTTCTAATTTAATTATGTTACGTGCTTTCAGATAGAGATCGTGCCGAACTGTAGCATTTTGGCGGCAGTTGGACAGAAAATGGCTAGCACTCCTGGAGTCAGTGCGACATTATTTGACGCCCTTGCGAAAGTAAGAATCTTGAGTTCTTGCAGTCTTGTTTCAACCTGTCGATGCAGGCAAATATTAACGTTCGGGCCATCGCTCAAGGTTGTTCGGAATATAATATTACAGTGGTGGTGAATCAAGACAACTCTGCGAAAGCTCTTAAGGCGGCACACTCTCGCTTTTATCTTTCGAGGACTCCCTTGGCCGTGGGCATTGTCGGCCCGGGCCTTATTGGAGGAACACTTCTTGACCAATTGAAAGATCAGGTATGAGTTTGAACCTTCGAACTGCTTTGAAAATATTTTATGTTCAGGCAGCACCCCTGAAGGAGGATTTTAATATCGATTTGCGGGTGCTAGGTGTTATTGGATCGAAGAAAATGGCGCTTAGTCATTCGTAAGTGCATGGAAAACTTCTGCTGTGTATTATACTGAGCTTCCAAATTCTTCTAGGGGCTTGAACCTTTCAAATTGGAGGTCTACTTTGAAAGAGGAAGGTGAAGAAGCAGATCTCGAAAAGTTTACGGCACATTTATGTTGCAGTCATCCGATCCCCAATATCGTCGTTGTAGACTGCACAGCAAGTTCTGATATACCAGATTGGTACTATCCATGGATGCGAAAAGGCATGCATATAGTTACGCCAAACAAGAAGGCTAACTCAGGCTCACTCGACAAGGTAATCGTCAGTATTTTTTCTGCTCTGCTCTAATTGCTCAAGCGTTCATTTTACAGTACTTGCGTTTGAAGGAGCTTCAGAGAAAATCGTACACGCACTATTTTTACGAAGGGACTGTCGGGGCAGGACTGCCAATCCTAAGCACACTGCAGGGGCTACTTGAAACTGGCGATAAAATCCACACAGTCGAAGGAATTTTCAGGTGCGGATTTCTTATGCGTGACGGCGTTACCTTGTTAACGATTCTAAAACGCAGTGGCACATTGAGCTATATATTCAACAACTTCCATGGTCAAAAGACATTCAGTGAAATTGTCAAGGAGGCAAAGGCTGCGGGCTACACGGAGCCTGATCCCCGTGACGATCTCTCTGGGATGGATGTTGCAAGAAAGGTAAGTTGTCCCTTTGATTGACAGAGATCATAAAAAATTTTTTTGTCTGTTCAGGTTATTATTCTAGCTCGGGAATGTGGCTTGAAGCTGGAGTTGGACGATATATGCCTGGAAAACCTCGTTCCAGAGCCTCTGCGAGTAAGTTAACTCGGTGCCTTTCCTTCAACACACATGATCGGCATCTTTTTTCCAGGGATGTGAAAATGTGGATGAGTTTATGGACAAGCTTCCCGAGTACGATCAGGCGATTGCAGCCAGGAGAGAGCAAGCTGAAGAATCAGACGAGGTTTTCCATTCTCTGCTTTGTTTCCAGACTAAAAGCGGTCCTTTTTTCTTCTATCACACCAGGTGCTGTGTTACGTGGGTGTAGTCGACGTACTCGCGAGCCAAGGCCGAGTTGAGCTGCGGAGATATCCAAAGTCACACGCATTCGCGCAGCTCTCCGGGAGCGACAACATAATCGCCTTCACGACTGCGAGATACAAAAAGCAGCCATTGATCGTGAGAGGACCCGGAGCTGGGGCCGAAGTCACAGCTGCGGGCGTTTTTAGCGACATTCTCAGGCTCGCATCCTACTTGGGAGCACCTTCCTAGACAATCTCGAGCACCAAAAGCTAGAGAAAGAAGAACGAGGTATGACATTTTGAGAAGAAAGATCTATGTTTTATTGATCTCTGGCTTTCTACGTTTCCTTTCAGCTAGAAGAACCTGTGAAGTTCATTCCATAAGTCGTTCCAGCCATCAATAAAACAGTGGTCATTTGCGAGACGACGCGAGCTCTCATCCAGTACTGGCTGTGCTTGACGTTGCCCTTTTTGAAGCTCCACAGGCCACTCGCGAGAATTGCCGCTGTAGCGAAGCACCCTGTTCTTCGTGAAATTAGAAATGTCCGCCCAGAGGATGGCGCAAATGCGAGAAGAGATGGAGCGTACCTATGGGTACCAAAATGCTGCGCGGCCTTTTGTTCGCAAACAAATCTTGCGTCGCGTCCGAGTCGGTCCAATCGCTCTCGTTCTTGTTTACAACCTCCCCCATCCCGAAAAACCCTAAAACTCGACGAAGTAGCGAATATTCTTTACCGCTGCCACGTGTTTGTGAGAGATGTCCACGTGTCACAATGAATCTCCGCCACATGTCACCGATATCAAGAGTTTAGGGTTCTATGCGAAAAACTCGAGAGAGAGGCCTGTGCACAGCTAGGGATCGCATTTTTGGGGCGGATTCGAGCTCTCAGGGAGGTAAATACGATAGAAGTTGCTCCAGCGGCGCCAGGAAGGAGCTAGATCAGGCGGTAGCAAGGCTCGAGTCGGAGAGATCTGCGGCTAGCCGCGACAGCTACGAGCAGCTCTTGAGGCAATGCGGCAGCTCCAAATCCCTGCTCCATGGGAGGCGTGTCCACTCCCACATTGCCACTGTGGGGAAATCCCTTCTCGGCCCTTGTCTCCAGAACGCGCTGGTCCAAATGTATGGCAAATGCGGCAGCATGAAGGAGGCGCTCGCGGTTTTTTCCACCATAGCCAGGAAGAACACGTACTCGTACAACATTCTCATCTCCGCGGCTGCCAGGAACGGCCTCTACAGGGAAGCTCTCGACGCATTCGAGCGCATGAAAAGAGAAGGGATTCCTCGCGACAAGTTCACGTACGCGGATGTGATCACCGCCTGCTGCTCCCTCAAGGATCTGGCTAGAGGCCGAGCTGTTCACGCTGGCCTCCTCGTCTCCGGCATCCAGCCGGATGATTTCCTCCGCGTGGCTTTGCTCAACATGTACGCCAAGCTCGGGAGCTTGGGCGAGGCCACCCGGATCTTCCACTCCATGCCAACGGACAACGTCGTCGCCTGGAACGTGATGATCGCGGCATTCTCACAGAGCGATCAGCCATCCTTGGCGCTCGAGTTCTACTGGAAGATGCTGGCCGGGGGCACAAGGCCGGACTTTTGCACGCTCATCAGCACCCTGAGCGCCGTGTCGTGCTTGAGGCGTCTCTCGCATGGCCGCGCGATCCACGACTCGATCCAGGCGCACGGCTATTGCTCGGACGTGATCCTGGACACCGCGCTCGTCGACATGTATGGAAAATGTGGCAGCCTCGACGACGCGAGGATGGTTTTCGACAAGATGCCCGCGAGAGACATCGTCACCTGGAATGCGATGATCGCAGCTTACTCCCAGCACGGCCAAGGGGACAAAGCTTTCGAGCTGTACGCGGAGATGGAGCCGCAGGGATTCAAGCCGGAGCTCGTCACACTCGTCAACCTCCTCACCGCGAGCTGCTGCTTGGGCGATTTGAGCCGGGGGAAAGCAATCCATTCCCGGATAATCGATGACAAGCTGGAGCTCACGCTCGTTGCCGAGAACGCCATCGTCAACATGTACGCCAAGTGTGGAAGCCTCGCGCAGGCGAAGCTCGCGTTCGATGGGATGATCCACCCGAGGGACGTGATCAGCTGGAACGCGATCATAGCTGGGAATGCCGAGAACGGTGGCACCGAGACCTCGCTCCAGCTCGCCAAGGACATGGTTCACGACGGCGTGGCGCCCGACGCGACGACTTTCACCTGCGTGCTGCTGTGCTGCAGCCATGGAGGGCAGCTGGACCAAGGTAGGAGCTACTTCCTCTCCATGGTTTCGGATTTCCAGCTCTCACCATCGTCTGCGCATTACCAGAGCCTGATCGATCTGCTGGGACGGGCCGGGCGGCTCGAGGAAGCGGAGGAGCTTATGAGCGTGATGCCATACCAGCCAGGAGTTGCGGGAGTGCGAGCTTACCTGGGGGCCTGCCGGACGCACTTTGACGAGGAGAGAGGATCGTCTGCTGGAGAGCTCGCCTGGGAGATGTACCCCGACGATCCCTCCAGCTACGTCCTCACGTCAAACATCGTTCGCCACACCGCGGTATGATCCTCTCAAAGATCTTTCTTTTCTTTATTGATGGAAGCCTTTGCCTCAATCCTGGCAGAAGTAAAACTCTGGATATCATCTCGACAGCTCTTCCTGGTGGCGATGAAAGTGGTCATCGACTATGGCATCAAGTAGCGGTTCCACAAGCCCTCCGGAATCGCTATCTAGCAAAGCGCTCATTGCCACAGACTTGTGGGGAGCCGTGTCATACATCTCCTTGGCATGCGTTGCCCAGCCATGGCTAACCAGAGCTCCTATCCAAACAACGTACGCCGCATTGCCGTGGAGAGGCATCAGCCGAAACGCATCGCTCGCTTCGTCCACAAGTCCATTGCGAGCGTAGCCACGCAGCAGCACTATCCACAAGATCGAGTTTCGCTCACGGGTGCTGTCAAAGACCATCTTTGCCTGTTCCATGGCGCCCGCCTTCGCATAAGTATCAACCATAGCCGCCAACTTTGCAGTAGCGTGTGTCCGCGGTATGTTTTCCAGGACGCTAGTGTCCCACTCGGGCATCTTGGCGAAAACGTTTCGGGCATCTTCGTCCTGCCCGGCTCTCGCCAGAGCCGCGAGGATCGTGTTCCAGGACACCACATCCCTCTTCCCTTCCATCCTCTCGAAGCAATCCATGGCTTCCCGGACGCGGCCACACTTGGAGTAGCAACTCAGGAGCGCGTTCCACGCGACAGTGTTGACTTCTCGCGATGGGATCCGATCGAACGCCGCCTTTGCATCCTCGGGCTTGCACTGCTCGGCATAGCTTCCAATCATAGCTAATCCCTCTTCCTTGGTGTTCTTGAGCGAAATATTTATGCCAGAGCCATAGAGAATTTTACTTACCAGATTCATTAGTTTATTCATCAACTTGCCTCGCCGCCCTGAGGTACGATCACGCTCAAACGACCTGGATTAATAGCAACCGTCAAGTATGCAATGAACGGCCTGGATTGATCGTAAGCGACTGACGGTGTAGATCAATTTCAATTCATCTTTCTCCTGCGCGGAGCCAAATTTCCTGTCTTTCTTCTACCGCCATGGAAGTTTGTGATCGAATTTGGGAAGCACAAGGGCCAGAAGCTCGGAGAAATTCCTCTTGGCTATCTTCGCTGGGTATCGACTAAAATGGCGAACGAGAAGATCGGGAAGATCGCAATGGAAGTTCTCCGGCAGCGGCAGATCTCGACCCCATCGCGGGTGCCAGTAGAGCAACAATCGCCAGCGCCAGGTGATCTCTTGATCTCGATCCCAGGTGATCAAGATCACGAAATCCAGCTGCGCCGCGGGCGTCATGTCCAAGAACGCACAGGGGTCGTCGAATTCGCGAGCGTGGATCTGTGCGTCTCTGCACTGCGAGGCTTCAGCGGCGGGATCGTCGAAGCCCGGGCTCTGGAGGAGCGCGTCGTCTCCAGCGCCAGAGTGTTCGCAGCAAATCGCCGCTACTTGTCCAACCTCCTGCTGCTCGCCTATGGCAAATGCGGCGGGGGCGTGAGCGACGCAGTCCGGATCTTCACGGCGATGAGCAGCAAGGATCACTACTCCTGGAACACCATGCTCAAGGTCTTTCTCGACAACCATCTCTGGCTGGAAGCGGAGAGGCTCTTCAACGAGATGGCACCTGGTGTGGCCAACTGCATCGCTTGCACCGAGATGATCTCTCTGTATTCTTCGCAGGGGAGAGTGGCGGACGCTTGCGCAGCCTTCGATCGCATTCTTTCGCCGGACACAACCGCATGGAACGCCTTGATGGCGTGCTTCATGAGGAACGAGGTCTCCACTGATGCCCTCACTGCGTGTTTCGAGCGAATTCCCCACAAGGATCAAGTATCATGGAACCTTCTCCTTGCAGGGCTGGGGAGAGCTGGGCATCTCGCATTCCAGAAGATGCCCGTGTGGGATTTGGTTGCCCTCAACACGTTGGTCGAGAAGAGGGGAGCTGCCGGCGAGAGGGCGAGAGAAGAATCGTGTGATCTGCGTGCCAGCGAGAAGGACATCGTCTCCTGGGCTCTCCTCCTGCGCGAGTATGCCCACAATGGGCAGCTCGAGGAGCTCGGCACCTGCTTTTTCAAGATGCCGTGCCACAACGAGGTGGTGGCAACGCTGGTGGCATCCGCCTTTGGCAAGCAGGGGTACGTGGAAGCGACAAAGGCCGTGTTTGATCGAGTGCATGGCATTGGATCGTGGACCGCGCTCGTCACGGCAAATTCCCGCGCTGGAGAGCTTGCCGAGGCGGAAAAGCTTTTCTACCTCATGCCAATGTGGGGCATTGAATCGTCTACTGCGATTATGTCCGTGTATGCAAGAAACGACCTGGTGGACAAGTGCGACTGGGTGTTTTCCGATCTCATGCAACACCGTGACGCCACCACCTGGACTGTGCTCATTGCCGCATATGCTCACTCAGGATACTCACTCTGCGCGCGTTCCGTTTTGGAGAGGATGCCGATGACGGAGCTCACGAGCTGGAATGCAATGCTCAACTCGGAAAGAATCCCTTCCGAGGATCATCTAATGGATCTGTTCAACGAAATGCCGGAGCGCGACATAAACTCCTGGACTCTCATGGTGTCCGCATTTGCCAAGCGCAGGGACATGTCTACCGCGCTGAAGCTTCTGGATCTGTGCCCGGCGTGGGCAGCCAGCGTCTGGAACGCGGTGATTTCTGGATATGGACGCCATGCTTGCGTTGAAGAGGCAGTGGGGGCGTTTTTCAAGATGCTACTTGACGATGTGGAGCCCGATTCCGTCACCTTCGTCTGTCTGTTGGGAGCGATGAGCCTTGCCGGAGATGTGGAGAAGGTGAGGGCATGGTTCCTGGTTCTGCGGGACTTTGATATTGGAGAGGAGAGGTGCGCTTGCTTGAGCAGGCAAGGTGAGCGAAGCTGAAGAACTCCAGGCAACCATGCCCTTCACTGCCGATACGGGCACCATGTTTGCTCTACTAAATGCGAGCAACCTCGAGGGAGACCATAAGGGTGCTTCGAAGGCAGCTCGGGAAGTGATGTGCCTGAAATCAAGTAACACTGAAGTTGTCATGGCCAACATCTTGCTCAGTCACGCCAACAAAGGGGCGTGACGCTCAGTTTTCGTGCTGGATGATTAGGGGAGGCACTAAAAATTCTGATAAGTTGAGTATATGATGCAAATTTTGCGTCGTTGAGAGTGTCGGGGGTCAAAATTTTGCGAGAGTCCAGTGTCAAAAATGATGCTGCTGTGAAACTTGGGGTGCCATTCTTGGCTGTCTATTCCCTGCTGAGAATTGAGATGCTGGTACCAATTTGGTGAACTAGCGTCAATGCCTTCAAAAGCTGTTGCAAAAATTGTGCAGCTTCGACCTGGCTGTGTCTTTGTGAAGAATGGAGCTAAGCTGGAGTTAGGAGCTGGGTTTCAAGCTACAAAATGCTATCTCGGTTGTCAGGAAAGTCGTGGAAAAATTCGTTAAGTGGGGCTGAGAACCTGCTGTGTTGTCGCCAACTTCGTAGAATATTATCCCGCATTACTAAAATGTTGCATACAACTTCTTGGAATAAGAAAAATAAAGAGACTGGTCGTATTTCCACCGGATGACGAGTTGCAAGACATAAGTTCCGTCCTTGCGATTTGCAAGCACTTGTCGAGCTTCTGCTGATGGCACCACTGGGATTCTTCTCAGGAAGTACAGGGAGATAGCTAGAAAGCACTGCCTCTGACCAAGAACGCGAGAACCATGATCTACCTCTTGACCCACTGGAATCCCCTGCGAGCCTTAGCTCGTCCCGGCTTCTTTCTCTCCACGATTCTTGGATCCCTGGTAAGATAGCCACCTGCGATTGCCGGAAAGATCAACACATTCGCAACTAAAAGCAAAAGACTTTTACCTCGTCGTAGGGGAAGCCGGAGAGACGGATCAAAAAGCTGGATTGCTCGGCTGATGCCATGCCTCACAGCTCCTGCCTGCCCTGAATTCCAAGAAGAGAAGCAAATCAGTTCTTGCGAAGAATGTGACACGAAGAAACCAAGAGAAAATCCAGACCTGAGAGACCACCACCTCTCACGAGTGCTTTCACGTCAAACTTTCCCAGCGTGTTCGTCACGCAGAATGGCTCCAGTATGTGGACGCGATGATCCAGCTGCCTGAAGTAGAGATCGTGGCTCATCTTGTTCACCATGATGTTACCACTCCCCTCCGAGAGCCACACACTGGCCTGGCTCGTCTTCCTCCCGCCTCGAGCATACGATCGCCCTTGATCGTCCACCACTCTCACCCTCGAGTCGGCCAACTTCTTGAGTCTCTGCATCTCAGCCACTCGCCGCTTCTCCTTGAGGCGCATCTTGATCTCGTCCGGTGACAGCTCCTCCAGGATCGGTCGCTGCTCCTCGGGGAAATCCTCCGACTTGAACCAGCTGCTTAGCTCCGCGTCGGTCAGAGACAGCGCCCCAAAGAGCTCTCCAAATGTGGGCTCTTTCTTCCCTGCACGATTGCATCCACTATCGATAAGAAATTCGATTAAAACAAACAAAAGAGAAATTCGACTCCCCAGAAGAAAGAAGAACGAACCCTTTCTAGGCTAGGAGACTCACCTCGCTTGGATTCCTGGGCCCTCCGGACGGTGTCCGTCTTGACATCCTGGATGATATCATCCAGCATCTCAATCTGCGCGTCGCGCTCCTCTTTCCCAGCATTGGCATCACTAGGTCGATCGCAGAAGTGCCGACATCCAGAGGGAAGCCGCCAGCGTCCATGCCTCCTCAGTGCCAGTCGCAGCATTAAACCCTAGAGTTGCCTCAGCAATGTAAGCATCTATTAGTCGAGGTAAAAGAGGATCGTGCCCCGTCCACAACCTCGCTTTTTGTAAATTCCTGTAGAGCAAGTAGAATCGGTTAAAGTTTTCTTTTTTCCTGACGTGGAGATCCAAACTTCCTGATTTTGTGAAACTCTTGCGGAAGAACCCTTAAAAAGTTGACAAACGATGGGGTTGGAGCTTGCAAAATTATCCACCTTTAGAATGATTCGCCATCGAAGGCGAGCAAAACGTCGACCTTCTGTCAGAGGGTACATCTTGCTCACAAGAACACTGGTTTTTTCGAATCATCTTCAAGCTGCTTGTTTTCGGTTGTTTAGGCTTTTCATCTTTGTCTTGCAGAGACATTATTCCCGTGCCACTCATCAAGCATTTTTTGAGCGACGTATGGTGTGCTAAACAATTTCAGCTTCTTTACTTCAGCGTTGGAAAAGCCGAAGCACTGTTTCTTGGATTAACAGCAGCTGTAAGATGAAATCCACCATGGACTCGACTCGCCGAATATTATTGTCACCTAGAACGAGTTATATCTATATAAAGATTTATACTTTTATTGACCATATTAATTGATAAGAATGGCAGATATGAATGTTCCAAATGATTTTCTTGCGCCATACTCCTGCTGGCCGTCGGATGCGCTCCTCCCATCGTGGCCGCCCACATCGTCACAATAAAATTAGTGTGGGTTCCGATCAGGGAGGACAAAAATAAAATAGTCTTATTAACAATTGATATCAAACAAAAATTCGTTTAACCAACGCAAAGATTTGAGAATACAACATACGAGGCAGGATTATCATCGTGCTCTTGTTCCAGTGAAACCCTTATCATCTCCCCTTGAACTCTACAAGCGCCAGCCACACTTCTCCAGCTCACAGCATCGGGCTCAAATGGCATGGCGTGGAAGAGCTCCTCGGCACGCTCCAGCTGCCCGGCCCGAGCCAGTACATCGATCACGATCATGTAGAGCTCGGGAGTGAGAAAGATTCCATCGTAGTCACTAGCTATGGTCGCAAAACAGTGACATGCTACTTCCACCATGCCTGCGTGACTACACGCACAGAGAACACTGACAAAGGTCGAATCTATGGGAGAAATCCCGTCGAGGATCATCAGCGCAAACAGCCACAGCGTGTCGAGAGCTCCACCGCTTGCGGCATGAGCAGCGATCAGGGCATTCCACGAGACGGCATCACGATGGAGATCGTGGACGAAGAAGAGATCTCTTGCCACCTCCAGCTTCCCACATTTCGCATACATATCAAGAACGGCGGTTCTCATCGACATATCGGTGTCGAGTTTCTGTTCCACGATCTCTTCGTGGATGATTCTTCCCACGGATAGCGATGGAATGCTCGCGCAGGAGCTGAGAGCTGCGAGAATCGCTATGTGGTCGATCCTAAGACCCTCGAGATCCATCGCGAGAAACAGCCCGAGAGCTCGCTCGTGATGCCCGTTCCGGGCATAAGCGTGGATCATTGCAGTCCAGCCCACTGGATCATTGGATTCAAATGAGCAAAAGAACTCCCGCGCTTTCTTAAGATTTCCGTTGTCGGAGTAGCCTCCCAGCATAACAGTGCACGAAACATCGTCTTGCTCGGGCATTCTATCGAATATCTTCCTCGCCATAGCCACATTTCCGTTCCTGGCGTAGGCTTGGAGCATCCCAGTCCAGGACACGATATCTCTCCGCGGGATCTCATCGAAAAGAGCTTTCGATTCCTCGATCCGGCCCTGGCGTCCCAGTTCCTGGAACAAATCTATCCATGCCAGTGCATCCCTTTGGGGGATTCTGCGGAAGAGCTCCTTCGCTTGCTCGAGCTTACCCTCTTTGGTCAACCCAGCCAGCACTGTGTTCCACGACACGAAATCTCGCCCCGCCATCTCGCCAAGCAGCAAATCCATTGCGATCGAGGCGTGGCCGTGCTGCGCATACGCCGAGATAACAGTATTGAGAGAAATCACATCAGGCTTTTCGATCCTCGCGAAGATCTTTGCCGCGCTCTCGACATGCCCTCGCTGGGCATACGCAGCGAGCATGATATTCCAAGAAACGTTGTCGCGGTCCGGGATCTGGTCGAAGCAGTGCCTGGCTTGGACGAGATCGTTGCTTTGGACAAATGCCCGGATCATCGTGTTCCACGAAACCACATTTCGATGTGGCATTCGATCAAAGGCCTCCTCTGCTCTGCGACAGTGCCCTCTCTGGGCATTTGCCGTGACCATAATATTCCAGGAGTAAATATTTCGCTGGGAGATGCGATCGAAGGCGAGTCGAGCTTGATCCAGGCACCCGCACTGCGCATACATGGCGACGAGGAGATTCCCAATGAGAGTATCGCGATCGGCGCCATCTCTCTTAAGCTGCGAGTGGAGGCGCTTGCCCTCGAGCAGTGCCCTGCTAGCAGCATACTGGCGAAGAAGAGAGGCGGCATTCATTAATCGCCATTAGGGTTTAGGGTTTATTCGTTCTTGCCATGGCGATCTAGCGAGATCACAATGGCGCTGTTTAGATCGCTAGGTAGAGTCTCTCGGGCAGCGGCTGCGCGGTTCTCCAAAAACAGCGTTAGATCGTGTAGCTCGCAGGCTCCTCCCCTGATTTTAGGAAGTAGGAGATTTTGCGATGCTCTGGGGCGGCCGAGCGGCAGCCGGCATTCGTGCCGGCATTTTTGTAGCGCGGTGCCGCCGATTTTTCTGGAGGACTTGGATGTTGAGAGGAGAGATCCCCAGGGTGGATTGGACGCTGCCCTCAACAGTGTCGTCAAGATTTTCACGGTGTCGAGCAGCCCGAACTACGTCTTGCCTTGGCAGAAGAAGCCACTCCGCGAACTCACTGGCTCCGGTATGATTTTCTTCTTCTCTTTCGATTTTTCCTGGAGTGAACTCTTTTGCTTTTCCAGGATTTGCGATCTCTGACAGGAGAATTCTTACGAATGCACACGTCGTTGCGGATCATAGCTATGTCATGGTCCGCAAGCATGGATCGGCTGTCAAGTTTCGTGCCAAAGTTCAAGCTGTTGGACACGAGTGTGATCTAGCGCTGCTCCGGGTTGACGATGATGATTTTTGGGAAGGGATTGAGCCGCTTGAGCTGGGTGATATCCCATTCTTGCAAGACTCAGTCGCTACCGTGGGCTATCCTCAAGGTGAAAGAAAAGTTTTTCTCTACCCGTGTTGTAGTTTAAGCTGACTCCTCCTTGTTTTCAGGTGGCGATAATATTTGTGTGACTAGAGGCGTGGTTTCAAGAGTCGAGCCCGTGCAGTACATCCACGGTGGATCTCATCTGATAGCTATACAAATTGATGCTGCTGTTAATCCAGGAAACAGTGGCGGTCCGGCTATGTATAATAATACAGTCGTTGGAGTTGTGTTCCAAAATCTTTCCAATGCTGAAAACGTTGGGTAAGGAAGCTGAAATTGTTTTTCTTCTTTGTCTCGAGCTTGTGCTTTTATACAGATATATTATTCCCGTGCCAGTCATCAAGCACTTTCTGAGCGATGTAGAAGAAAGGGGACGATACATAGGCTTTTGCGGCTTAGGACTTGTGTGCCAATCAACTGAAAACAAGCAGCTGAGGGATCACTTGAAGATGGATTCGAAAAAAACCGGTGTGCTTGTGAGCAAGGTGTACCCTCTGACGGAGGTGAGCAACTACATAAAAAAGGACGACGTCTTGCTTGCCTTTGATGGTGTCCTTATCGCAAATGATGGCTCAGGTATGTTTCTGCGGCGTCTTTCCTTTCTAACGGTGAATCATTTTGCAGTTACTTTTCGAAACAGGGAGAGAATCTCTTTTGTTCACTTAGTGACCATGAAAAGAGAAGGCGAGTCGGCCGCTTTACGAGTTTTGAGAGATGGAAAGGAGATCAACTTTAACGTTAAGCTCGCTCCGGTAGTATTTATTGTTAGTATCACTGCCGAGAACTAACGTTGTGTGTGTTCCTTTCAAGGTGAAACCTTTGGTACCAAATCACCAGTTCGAGCGCCTTCCAAGTTATTACATATTTGCCGGTCTGGTCTTTGTGCCACTTACATTACCATACTTGCACGAATATGGTGACGATTGGTACAACGCTTCACCCAGACGGCTTTGTGATCGGACCTTCTCCAAGATGCCGAAAAAACCAGGAGAACAGTTCGTCATCATGTCACAAGTAAGCTACCAAAACTCTTATTGTTGACGATACAAAAAAACTCTGTTCATAGGTACTCATCGATGACATCAATGCGGGGTACGAGCGGCTTGCTGAGCTCCAGGTACATTTCTGGATTCTAGTATGTTATGGAGACCATTTTGTTTATGCAGGTGAAACAAGTCAATGGCGAGAAGATTGTGAATCTTCAGCACCTCAGGCGCCTTGTCGAAGGGTGCAAGGAGCCTTACATTCGGTTTGATTTGGATGATGGACGGGTTATCGTGCTAAAGTATGAATCCGCGAAGGAGGCCTCGTTGCGCATTTTGCAGAACCACCGAATATCGTCACCGGTGTCCACGGACCTCTTGGAAGCAGATAAAGAGGAGGAATCAAGCGACGATGCTGAGCAGGAAGGGACCTTGTGATAAGCGTCCTGTCTTTTCGAGGTGCAATGCACGATTTTTGTTTCTTTTCACAGTTCGATTCTTCCGCACTGCGACCCACTCTGTAAAGGAGGAGGATTCGCAAGAGTTTGTCCAGTGGATTTCTCACAGGCTAAGCAGGAATTTTGCTGATCCCGTCCTGGTACGTCTTTGAACAAGGAATAAAGAAAATAAAAAAATGTAACTTCGCTTTTTCTACAGGAATTTACAAAAGTGTGTTGCACCACCTCTAAAAGATGATTCCGGCTGTGGCTGCTCCCCGGGGTATTGACGGAAGCTCGTCCTTTCGTCCTAGCCTGTGCACAACCTTCTGGTGAAACAGCTCTCCATCCTCTCGGAGCTCCACCGGCATCCTCAGCGTTCTCTGGATCGTGTCCTGGACATCGGTGTAGTACCCGGCACAGCCCCTGTACATCTCGAAGATCATTCCCAGCTGCATGTCGTGCGAGACACATCCGGCGAAGAATGCCCCGATGCTCAGCAGCGAGGCCGGTATGGGATGAGAGTTCGCAAGGTTGGCGATCCCAGCGAGCAAAGCCATGGCCGGACCAGCGATGGCGAGTCCCTTGTTCACGCTCAAGATGATCCGACACATCTTCAAGTAGTTCTCCACGTCCTTGTCCAGGAGGCTGGAGACACGCAGCAAGTCCTCCTCGATCTTCCGGCTCCAGCCATTCGAACTGGACGTCTCGGAGGCGACGCGGATGATCGGGGCGGAGGGGTCGTAGCTTGTCCCGGAAGGTGAGGGGGAGATCTTCTCCGGGAACTTTGGAAGGCCGCCGGGGGTGAGGGGGAGGGGATAGGCCTGGTCCAGGGCGTGGAACTTTGAGATCCTGTCCTGGAAGAAGAGCCTCGAGTCCTCCCGGAGGGACGGGGAGATGGCCAGCGTGGAGTCGATCTCCTGGAAGAGGTTAGCGAACTGGCGTGCCGCGGTGCGCTGCTCCTCGGCAAGCTGCGATGGCTGGAACTTGTTCACGGCGGCCATGACGAGAGCTGCGAAGACGTCGAGGAGCCCCGCCGAGAGCGCCAGGCTGAGGCCGTGAATGGAAGATCCGTTTAGAGCGGAGAGGACGCCCGCGGTCACCGTTGCCAGGCGGAGGCTGCCTTGGAAGAGCTTGTTCCAGTCGTCTCGCTGCTGGGCGATGATGGAGTGCATCTCCTTGCGGTCAGAGATGGAGGCCTGGAGGATTCGGAGCTTGGCGAGGAGCTTCTGGTTCTCGAGCATCGCGGATTCGTCGAGCCAGCCCTTGAAGACGTCGGCTGCTGGCTGGACTCTCTCCACGGCGGGCGAGAGCTTCACTGCATTGATCTTTGCGGAGGAGCAAACTTGGGACGGACCCGTTGACACTGCTGACTGAGGAGGAGTTTTGATCCTTGAGAGTGGCGAAAAGCCATAGCTTTCTCCTCCTCCAACAGCCTTCATCCCCATGGCTTGGGCGCTGATGTTAATCTGCGAGGACATCGCCATAGCTCCAATGATTTACAGCTCTTGTCGAGGTATCTCGCAGAGGTGGAAGACAGCCTGGTGTGAGAGCGAGAGAAAATGGATGAAATGAGATATAATATGTGCCCCTAGAACAAGGGGATAGCAGTTTTTATAGTCCGGAATGGAAGGAGCCGGCAATCGCGGCCGTCCAAAATGGATTCCGGAATGGAAGGCTTGCACTCCCGCGTGGACTGGGAATAGTGTTGACCGGAACAAGCGATGGCGATAGTCAACAAGAAGACCAAGCAAAGTTTAAAGGTTATAGTCAACAAAGGCAAAGACTAAGCACTTAGTAAAGCGTATTATTAGCTGTAGTAAGCTGAAAACTAAACAAAATTAATTGAAAGCATAGAATGTTATTACATTTAATGTCTAATATGTTACTTTTTCTTGGACAAAACTAATGGTTCTATGGGTTTACAAAATTTTCTTGACCACTGTAGACCACTGTAACAATTACAAATTTTTCTTGACCACTGTAACAATTGCTCAACAGTGGGTCTGGAAAATATGCACATATGAATGTACAATAAATTCAAGAATAAGTAGTAGGCTATACAGCATATCCTTTGGCGTGGTTGACTTACAACGAAGGCGAAGACCAGGTAAAAGCAAGCTTCTCTTATTAGTTTACAGTGTATCCTTTCCCGCGTGATTGACTTAGAATTCCTCCACTTCCAAGGCATCCTTGAGAACTTCATACACCTCTCTGGGTCGCGACTTCTTCATCCCCACCGAGAAGTAGACCTTGTCGCCGGGATGATCCGTGGGGACGGAGATGGCAGCCACCTTGACCCAGATGAGAACTTTGGTCTTGATGCCCTCCACGTCCACGAGCTTGCCGTGCTGGAGAGTGGCGGTGACTGTGGCGGCGTACCTCAGAATGGACGAGTCCCGGAAGCAGCACTCGCAGATCCATGGGAGCATCACGGTGAGCTTGCCGGTGGCCTCGTCGAATTCGTAGTGCGTGGCGTTCTTGGGGAAGATCCCTCGCGGGAGATTGTAGCTGTGGAGGAGATCGGGGAGAGGTGTTTGCATCCTTCCTGAGAGTGAGAGAAAATGGAATTTGTTAGTGTGACGAATGTGGATCGAACGGTACCTTTTAGGCGGTTGAAGAGAAGCTTGGCGCTCGTCTCTACGGTGGAAGATAGGGACTGTTGCAAGGGAGGTGTAAGGGAATCGAAAAAAGGACCTAGAATGCGGCAAACCATACATTGAAATCGTCGCCGATGGAGTTCATCTCCTTCTTTGCCCGCCGTGCCAGCAAGAAGCTACTCGCTTTGGAGAGCGCGCCCTCCATCTTCCTCTGCCCAAAGAACCCTAAGAAGCTTTGCCCTAAATGATAAATTCAAACACTATAGTACCAATTTAATCTACATTGCTTAGAAACTTTAGAGTCTCTTTTGGAAGAGCTTGTGTGAAACAAACCATTCCTCACCATTGTTGAAGTTGAACATTTCCGTCCCCAAGAGGAGGTTTGATCTAAAGCCTCCCAATCTCTTGCTTGCCTTGTCCTCTCCATAGGCCTTTGCAAACAAGGCGTGAACTTGGTCGAATTTGGCATCCAGATTTCTCATCCAGGCTTCACTGCAAAGTCCCAAGAGCGTGAAGCTATATAGAATCAATATGATTTCTAGATGGTTACCAAGATCTTCCTTGATGGGTTCCATTTACTCGCCAGTGATCGAGGATCACAAAATCGTCCTGGAAATATAATGGCAATGCGTCTGCCAGCATCCTGTTGCCCGCTGTCTAGAGATTTTTACAAGCAGCAGAGATTTACGTAGTAAACTAGCAAAGAAACAAAAGGCTTTTGCGAGAATTACCGTGCGGTATGCGAATAGCTTGTGGCAAGGATGTTCCACGAAGAAGAGACCTCCTTCATTCATAAGATTGGAGACTATCTTCATAAACTTTTGATAGTTTGTCATGTGCTGCGCAAAATTTCAACAAGTTAGAACATCAATGATGGAAGATTTAATATTATACCTCGAAAACGCCGATGCAGAAGATCCTGTCGAAATTCTGCGTGATTTTGGTGCTTGTTATGTCGCAATCAATCGCCTCAACGTTTACCAAGCCTCTTTTTCTACGATACAAAGAAAAACGAAGAGATCAACTGTGGCAACAGAAAAGAAAGAGGAGGAGACTGTTTGTTGAACCTGCATTCCTCTCGGATGTGCTCAGTTTGGACTCTTGAATCGGCTATGGAAGTAATCTGGCATGAAGGAAACTTTTGCGCGATATACATAACCAGTCCGCCATAGCCGCCTCCAAGATCCAAGATACGCTGCCCGTCCTCGATTCGTGCTCTGTCGCAGCACAGCTTAAACATGGCTTCCTCGGCTTGCTCGTCCGTGAACGAAGGATCCTCGTACAACAAGCAGCTGAGCATTCAGTTTTGAGCATTCTAATTGTCATGAGATCTATGATCAGATCTTGGGTTCTTCTTACCTGTACTTGAGATGCTTTCCAAGCAGCAGTTTGAAGAAATCAACATCATAGAGCTCGTCCCGGAAAGAGCCCCCTGCTTCCATGACGGGCATTTGCTTGGCATCTACAAAACAAGATGTGGCAAATCGATTGATTCGACTAGAATGAGAGGGAGAACTTACTCTGGACGAAATTAACAAGGCCCTGGAGCTGCTCTTCTGCAGAGAGTCCGTACAAGTAGCGCAGCTGCGATGCCACATCCCGGCGGATTAGCCTTCGCACTAGAAAATCTGGCAGCTTTTGTAGGACTGGGTGCAACACCCCGACAGGCTCGAGCACCAGCGTTTCCATGATTCTCAATTCTCTCCGTTTGCTCTCCGCTTCAGTGAGTGGGGCAATGCTGACGCTACTCGCGCAGCGTAGAAAATATAAACTATTTTTTGAAAACAAAAGCATTGGTAATGATTAACCTAATAAGCTAATCCAATTGATGGCTCGTACGTACTTACAATTTTTCTTGCCTCCTGATTCTCTTATGATGCCCATTATTTGCCAAAAAGGAAGCTTTTTCCTTTTTTTTTTATTTTTCCTATCTTGAACCAATATATATACAGTCCACTTGTGCTGCATGGGACATGGATGCAAACAAAAAGAATAAGAAAAAGCTTTGATATATTTTATGAAGACCCACTAAGCATTAAATTAATTCCTGTACTTTAGACAAACACTAATAGAGATATAATATAAATGGTGTTTTGAAGGCAATCAAATAAACATGGCTATAACAATTATTATAATAAATCAAGATATATATAAAAAAAAAGTTCAGCTTGTTAAGTATTGTACCAAATTTCATAAATTTGCAATCCAATTTGCCATAACACACAATACAATCCCTTCCACTGAGTAAAAAGCCCCTTAAACAAATTATATATTATAAGATTGGGAAAATGAATTAACATTATATCATCCATTTTATACTTTACAAGTGGATAATAATAAAAATTATAGTGCCATTGTTGTCCTACTTGTACACCCAAGTTTTCAACAACTCCATTTGAACCAATGGAAGAATACTCATCAAATAATGATCTTAGAATTTTATCAATAACTCATAGCATCTCAAATGTAACCTCAAATGGTAATATCAGAGCGTTTTTATATAAAAAATTTATATGGTGAAGCACCAATATAACTCTATATCTCAATAACATATATGTACTAAAAGGATAACAAACTAATATAGAATAAAATTAATATAAAGTAATATGAAACAAAGGGGAAAAACCTTAAAGCTATATTTAATATGATTGCACTATAACTAATTTATATAAAGGAAGGTCAAATGTTTAACTCAACATAATCTATAATGATTGAAGCTCAAACTCAAGATCACATATATGGACAACTAAGTCTTCACTATTCCACATATATACATGTATACTATTGTTATTGCTACACATTGTTATTTACAATTCTATCATGTAGTAGAGTTGGTCTTCATTCTTTATAAGCCAAATAATAAAAAATAAACTCAAACCTACATCAATTAACATAGAGAAAATAATATTGTTATAAAAATGAGATTGAGAAGTAAATACTAACTGAATTTGTGCCAAATGAACCCCTTGATGGTACTTCCAAAAGAAAGATAAAATGATTACTAATTTATTCAAGCAAGGATCTTCCACTACTCATCTGATTCTTTATTTCTTAAAAATACTTATTTATTAAAACCTTCTACTACAACAACACCAATGCCATAGCCATAATTATGTTTTCACCTTTGTCCTTCAACATGGGCAAGAATAGCATCACTCTTTATCAGAATATGAGTATTTTCCATGGGGAGTAGAGTTAAAGTATGTATAGTTATAAATGGGAAAGATAATGTTTCATAGCATTATATTAGTCAAATAATGCCATCAAAGGTGACTAAAGTAAGTGTATATACAACTCTTACAAGATTTTGACAAAGCATTAGCCACAATATGCCTAAATTGATTTGCTTTAAAGATTTTGCTCCACATGAAGCAAGAAGCTTTAAAAGTGAACACCAAATTACATAAATAACTTAAACAACCTTTCACAAAGATTATGCAATTGTTAAAAAGGCATTATCATAATCATTAGGATATTTGAATGGGTGCTTGAAGATATCCAATAGAAGACTCTAATTCACATAAATTGTTACACTTATACTACTATACCATTGCAATGCTGTTAATTGGAAATATGTGTAAACTTTGAATTTAGACTTCTTAAGAAATTATTCAGTTAATGTTTAACTCCAAATATCCTAAAACTCTTAATCAATTCAAAAAAAAAAGTGCACTTTTATTTATGGACCCTTGCCTTCTATATTTTAACCCTAATGAATTATAGGTAGCATTCATTATGAAGTGATCAAACCAATTATATATAATATGGAAAAAATTCAGATGGATGCAAGGATTAGCAACAAAGATAAAGGAGATGCACCATATGCCATGAAATCTATTACCAATTGAGTCTGATTATTTAATTGCAACTGTATAACATTGAATAATTGCACCAATTGTTACTTCAAAATCAAAGAAGGAGGATATAATTAGTATGCTACTCTACTATGAAAATGAATAAAAAGAAGAAAAGTAAAAGAGAAGAAACAAATGTTCAAATCCTATTTCAATTGGTATAAAAGTGATGTCTATGTGTATTCATTTAGATGGGTTTTATAGGCTTTATCAGATTATAATAAGAGGTGCCCCTTAACTCTAACAATATGAACATATAGAATATTGAAATATGCATATTCAATTAGCTTTAAAACCCTAGCTTATATAGAAGAGTGATAATAGAAGAGTATTATCATATTAATAATAGTATATTATCCCAGTTTGAATTAATGTTAACATTTAATTGAAAAACCTAGAAATAATTATGAAATAAAAAATTAAAAATAAAAATATGTTATAAATGTTGAATGAAAAGTTAATATAAATACCAACTAATATTTTATATTCATTTATTTAATATTTTATCGGTCAATAATGAATTCAGATATAATAACTAAAAGTGGTAGGTAAATAAAACATTTGGTTAGATGAATATATCTAATCACAAATAGATACGTATTTAGTTTATAAAATCTATATATCACGTAATAATTTAAATAAATTTTATTATTATATTTTGTTTCTACTTGATCAAAGATATAAAATATCCTCAAAAATACAAAAACTTTGCACAATAAATACTACAGCAAACTGAGTAATTTTATAGAAGTCACAAATCAGAAAAAAAAATTAGAATTAATAAGAACAAAATATTAGAGGTTTATTTTGTAATGGACAAAAATATAATCTGATTTTGATTATTAAACTATCTTGTGTTGTTATATACTATCATATATTATTTTAATATAACTGCATTTTTGTAAATATAAATATGAGTAAAGCTACCAAATGTTTTTGCAAGAGCAAACACCACCTACGAACCTGTGAATCCTGTTGGCATCCTTCACAACAATCTCTCGTCCAACAACCTTGGACAAAAACTGGGTTGCGTCATGGCAGTCATAACACATTCTCAAGTTCTTGGTCACCTCAACTTTGGTCCCGGGCTGCGTAGAAATGAAAGCGTAACCAAGCGCAAGCTTCTCACTGTGGCGGCACAGAAGCTCCTCTTTCGCTCTCTCCTCATCGCCGTCATCTCCCAGCATCGTCACCACATTAGTATTTGGAACATAGCCAGCCTCTCTCATGAGTACTTCCAGCCTCGCAAGCTCCTTGTGAACGTTCTCGATTTGGGGATGCGAGGTATCCCCAACCACGAATCTATGCAGCTTGCCTCCGACCCTCACCCGGCTTACCCCTGGAATCCTCTTCACGTTCCTCGTCAACATCATCTCCTTGACAAGTTTTACATCGTCTTCGTTTCCATCCCCACTGCTAAGAGTGTTGGCCAACAAGACGTGAAGAGAACCGCTTCTTGAGTCCAATTCCAGTGCTTTCTCTACCATACGCTTTGCTCTATCGCAGTCATTGAAGCTCCTGCAAGCTCCCAGAAATGCGTGCCAAGCTACCTCGTCCGGAACGAAAGGCATGTCGAGGATCAAAGCTTCGGCTTTGTCCAAGTGTCTTGCTCGCCCAAAGAGATCTATCATGCAAGTGTAGTGCCTCTCTGTAGCTTCGATCCCGTAGTCTGCCACCATCAAAAGAAAGCAGTCCCTCGCGTCCATCACCTTCGCGACATGGCTAAAACCATCCAGGAGGCAAACGAACGAGACCTCGTTTACTTCAATTCCTTCCATGGATATAAACCGAAGAAGCTCCATTGACTCCCAGACCTGACCGTTTCGCGAGTATCCCGCAAGCACTGAGTTGAGCATCTCGACTTGCCAGCACGGAGCCAACACTAAAACCTCGCAAGCTTTGCTAATTTGCCCATGTCTCGCATATGCCGCAGCGAGCAAGGTCCACGATATCGAGTTCCTCTCCATCATCCCGTCGAAAGCTTTTTTGGAATCTAGCGGCGTAGCGTGGCTGGCGTAGCATAAAAGCATGGCGTTCCATGAAACTGTGTTTGTTTTTGCCATCTTTCTTAGAACAAGCTCGGCCATCTCGACTTCCCCGCTCGCCACATAGGCGGAAAGAAAAACCGTCCAGAGAACGACATCCCGCTGCTCAGCATAAAAGAATCTTTCTTTGATTATATTCATGCTATCTCTTCCGGTGATCTCGACTATATGCGTAGTACACGCCGTTGCATCCCATTGTGGCATCAAATAGAAGACCCTTTCCGCTTCAACAAAATCCCCACCGTTGGTATTTGCAGTGACGAGCAAAGTCCACATTGCTACACACCTCTTGGGGGAAATATCAAATGCTTCTTTGCACTCAATTGCGCAGCCATGCCTGGCCAACGCTCCTAACAAAACAATGTACGCCACAGTGTCGTGTAGAGGCATCAACCAAAACGCTTTCCTCGCTTCGTCCACGAATCCATTGTGAGCGTATCCACGCAGCAGCACCGTCCACAAGATCAAATTCCACTCGAGGCTACTGTCAAAAACCACCTTTGCTTGTTCCATCTCGCCGGCCTTCCCATAAGCATCAACGATTGCCGCTAAGTTGGCGGTGTTTATCTGCGGCATTTTGTCCAAGACGCTGGCCGCAGCATTTGAATCCCCTGCTCTGGAGAAGGCATTGAGCAAGGAATTAAACGAGACAATCGATCTGCCACCTTGCAAGTCATCGAACTTTCTCTTGGCATCTGCGTCGTCGTGCGAAGGGCATGAGTTCCAAGAGACGGTGTCCCACTCGGGCATCTTGACGAAAATGTTTCGGGCTTCTTCGTCATGCCCGGCTCTTGCCAGAGCCGCGAGGATCGTGTTCCAGGACACCATATCCCTCTTCCCTTCCATCCTCTCGAAGCAATCCATGGCTTCCTGGACGCGGCCACACTTGGAGTAGCAACTCACGAGCGCGTTCCACGCGACAGTGTCGACTTCTCGCGAGGAGATCCGATCGAACGCCGCCTTTGCATCCTCGGGCTTGCACTGCTCGGCAAAGACCCCGATCATGGCCGTGCAAGAGATCTTGTTGGCCACCACCCCCTCGTCCTCCATCTCGCGGAAGAGCTCCTGGGCATCGCTCCACTTTCGATTGTCGAGAAAGACCTTGAGCATGGTGTTCCACGAGTAGTCGTCCCGGGAAGCCATGCTCGCGAACACTCTGTGAGCTTCGGCGACGCCCTGGCACCTCCCAAACATGAGGATGATGAGATTGGAGAGGTATCTCTTGTTGGCCGAGAACACGGTGCCACTGGCGAGCACCCGGCGATGGAGAGCCTCGGCCTCACTCAGCCCACCACGAAAGCTTCTCAGCGTCGAGATACAATCCTCCGCTCGCGTGAACGCGGGCTCCTCGCGGACGACGTTGCGTGAACCTCCTTCGAGCTCGCGATCGCTAGGAGGAATGTTGGTGATTTCTTCTAGAACTTGCCGGGCCATCGTGCCGATCTTCTCGTCCTTCATCTTGTCACACATCCAGCGCAGGTAACTTTCTGGTACTTCCAAGAGGGACTTACCCTTGTGCTTCCCAAACGGCAGGATCGTGTGCATTCCTTCGCAGAGATCAAGGAAGGAATGAAACTACCACCATAGCCATCAAGAACCCTAAATTCTCGTTCCATTCAAACATTTCTTTCTACAGGGGGATTCCTCCTTCTCTACTCCACTTGGATCGTTCTTGGCTGTGGCTTGGCGACCTTTGGAACCGTGACAGTGAGAACCCCATTCTCCACTTGGGCCTTGATCCCGTCCACATTGGCATTCTCCGGCAGCCGGAATTTCCTCATGAAGCTGCCATAGCTGCGCTCCACGCGGTGCCACTTGTCGGTCTTCTGGGCCTCGTGCATCTTCCTCTCGCCACTGATCTGGAGGGTGCGCCCGTGCTCCACCGTGATCTTCACCTCCTCCTTGCTCAGCCCTGGGAGATCGGCCTTGAAGACGTGGGCGTCGGGCGTCTCGAGCCAATCCACGCGGGTGTTGGCGGCGGCGCTCGCGTCCCTGGCGACCTGCTTGGAGGGCTCGTTGCCCCCGCCGGACAAGATGGACGAGAGCTCCGGGAAGGGATCGAAGACGCCATTGTCGTTGCCATAGAAGAAGAGAGCCATTGCCTCACTCACTCTGCTTAAAACCTAGGAAAGATTGGATGGGAATCGCTAGAGATGAGTTCCTGAAAGAGCCCTGCCTCATTTTATACCATCCAGCGCTGGCAATTCTGGTAGATTCCAGGAGATTCTAAAGAGGTCTAGAAGATTCGAAAGCATATGCCACCAACGGACCTCAAGATATTTAAATTGGCCCTCTCATAGAAATTCTGTTTAATGATGCCTCTTGGATTTGTTCTTGAATAGAAACATTCCTCTTTCTTATCTATATTCTCAAGAAAGATTGGAACAAGTGTTTCTTCCTGTAAGGAGTAACTTTTCACGAACTTTTCCTTTGTTCTTACTGTATTCTTTGGAGTGAGATTTATACTTTGCACGAGTCCATGTCATGTTTCCACCCAAACGAAGATCCATCCAGATGCCATGGATATCCATTCAGGTGGAGTAGAAAGAAGCAAAATATTATATAATGTACAAACATACACAAGCACCTGGTAAATATCATCTACCTAGAGCAGCAATCCAGGAAGAGTCATCTCCTCGAAAACTTTCAATCGCCGCCCCGTCCAGCCTTGATCACACTCTTCGAGGCTTTGCAGCTCGCGATCTCTTGCGGTGGTCTCCTCCAGATCTCGCAGGAGAGCATCGTCTGCGCTGTCAAAGCTGCTAGCCAGGGACCGCCTCGCCGCGGCCGCGCTGTCGTCCTGAAGAAGAACATCTTTCCAGGTGACCGATTGATCCAAAGCTTTCTTTGGCTTTTCCAAGCTGCTCGCGGGTGACTGCCGGGCGTAAGCTTTGTTTGTCCAATCGGAAGTGAGCGGCAGCCGCGACTCTTGCTCGCTGCTCGAGGGCGGGTTCCAAATTGTTTCATGTTGCTCGTTCTCGGTCTCATAACTCCTCTTTCTCGAGATCTTAGCTTCGGAGGTTTCGTTATCGTCTCCATCGTCGCTAAACCCAGAGGTTGCAGCCAGGATTTCCGGGAGGTGGTGTTTCAGCGAAGTTCTAGCCGGAGACGATAAGGGGTTCCACGAGCTCTCGTCTACATTGAGTTCCACGGAGGAAGTTGTGGCCTTGGCACTCTTCCTTTGTACGGACTTCATCTCTCTCAGCTCGACCAGCACCTCCTGGGCTCGCTCGTACGTCTTGCGTTGCGAGGGAGATGCATTCCAGGCCGGGGGAGCCACGCTCTCGAGTGTAACCCTTGCGTCGTGAAGCTTCCCTTGCTTCTGGAAGCAAATCCCGAGGTTGCAGACTTTGTTGCTGTCTGGCTCTATCGAGAGAGCTTTCCTGGACAAGTGGTTGTGTTCCATAGTGAGCATCGAGGCAATGGGAAAGAATCGAAATACCTGTAGACAGCCTCGGCAGCAATATAGTTCGATTGCTGCATATAAGCCCATCCCAAGTTTCCCTGCAATTGAGATCTCAATAAGCTCTCAGACCTTCGATCTTACAATAGAAAAGCGATCTTCTCACCAGCAAGCGAGACGCCTCTTGCTCGATCGATACTTGAAACTTGCGTCCCTGTGATCGAGCTGTTTTGGTTCGCTTCCCGTTAAAAGCGAGACCTTCATGGATAAGGTGGAGCTTCCGTTTTAACAGTGCTATTTGGTCGTCGAGCCGTCCACACCTCTGCGTCAAGGCAACACCGACACTTTAGTCAAAGCAAATAATTAAATATCTCTAAACTCGTCGAGAAGCCTGGCTTTGCAGTCTTTCCTACCTTGTAGAGATCCAAGAGCACATTATCCAAGGCTTCTTGTGCCTGATCCGTGCAACGATCACGCAGAGACTTGATCGCCTCAATCGCCTCCTCGGGCCTGTTCTGCTGTTTCATTACAATGGCCATGTCCTTGAGGGCGCTGTCCACACGATCTCCCGCATTGATAGCCGCCCAGAACAAAGCTATAGCTCGATCTGGATCCTTGTCGACAAGCTGCGATCAAAGCAAGAGGAAGCTCAAGCTTTTGGGAGAGAGAGAGAGAGAGAGAGAGAAGAGAAGAGAGAGAAGAGAAGAGAAAGAAAGAAAGCCACAACACTTACTTGGACGTGTTTGGCTTTGACATAAGGAGTGTCTCCCACGGGAATTTTGTGTAGAACATGAAAGCTCTCCTGGAAAGACGCCGAATCCAAGTTGTAGCGATCAATCCACATCCTTTGATCTTGCCTCCCTCTCAACAGCTCAAGCCAGGCGAGAATACGACCACGATGCGACTAAATCCTCCAATGCATCATCACACTCGATTTGCCGCTCGCATTTCTCGATTTGCCGCCGCTTACCTCGCCCTTAAACCCTAATCTCCCACTCGAATATAAGGTCGAGGATCGATGGATGTGTGTGTTGTGTGTGAGAGGAGAGAGAAAGCTTTGCTTCTCCCCTCCTCTACCGGTTTTGCCTCCATTTATATGTAATAATGTGGCCAATATCATTGGGAGCTCCGTACACCCGAAGAGGAGTTGCATTTAGACTGAAGGAGGACTAGATACATCCAAAACGATGCACCCGGTCTTGAAGCGTCGATTCGCATGAACGCGGCGACACGCGAAAATCTAAGAAGCCAAAGCCCGGTCGCGCTCCGTCGTACATGTATATTCCAAATGGAGCACCACTGGCGGATATTACAAGGATATCCCTTTATTTATTAAACCTGACTAGGTGCAATGCACAAGAAGAGGCATATTCGGTTTGGACTGCGGAGGCTTGGCCACGTAAAATTGTGTTTCTTTTTCGATATGCCTCACTCTTCCAGGCGTGGTTGGCAATGTATGAAGTGTTTCAAGTCCGCGTGGAAGTCTTCCAGGAACGCGTCAAGTGATTTGCCCTCCATGGCGTTTAGCGCAGTAAATCGTTTCGTTAGATGCTCCAGAGGTGACGACTCGTACTGGGAATATCAAAAAGTTTGGTCTAACCGAGTATAATCGTAAAATTCGATATACCAACCTTGGCTTGCTGTGTTTTCTCGCACAGGAAGATTGCAAGCGTTGCGTCTGGCACCTATGAGAAATCACACTTGTAAGTTTCATGTCAAGGAAGAATGGAAAAGTTTGGAGTAGCTCTTACGTACCTCGAGTGCCTGGTTACGCAGGCATAGCCGTGCGCAGGCCGAGGCTGTTTTCATGAGACTCTCCAGCGTCGCCAAAGAGACTTCGTCGCTCTCCGAAGCTCTTCTCAGCAAGAGGTAGTATCCGCTTATCAGTTGCTGTGCTTCATCAGTCATTGTCACGCTCTCGATGCTCGATGAGAGGCGGATGCGATGCCTGGCGGAGCCTCGGATTGCGGCACCTTCGCTGAAGTCCAGGATAAACTTCCGGATAGAATCTTCGCCGAGACTTTGCTCCTCGAACAGTGGAACAACGATGTCGAATTTGTTGAGGAGTTGGCGATGAAGAAGCTCTTTGCTTCCCTGTTTGAAGACTCCTCTCTCCCGACGGGGATTCCAAGTCGCGTGAACGCCCCAGACAGTTGACGTGCAAGGCACAACGAGCTCTGGACAGTTCTTCATGGTGAGCACCTCTTTGTCCATGGCGTCGCACAGTAGCTTTAACGCCTCTTTCGTAAGGAAGTCCTTGCAAACGTCGACGATGCAGACACCACCACTGCTCAAAGCTAAGCTCCCTGCGTGCAAGCTCCCGTGGTCAGCAGATCGACCGACTGTTGCTAGCAGCTGCTTCTTGTCACCGGAGTGATACACTGACCGTGTTGAGGATGCTGCCGCTGCTTTCAGCAAGGCCGTGATCGTTGACAGCGAACTCATGGCCGTGAAGAGTAGATGAATTCGCTTCCTGTTTGACTTCGTCTCTTGTAGCGTAGAAACCAGGCTGAGAATCACTGCCACCCTCTGGTACTTGGTTGAAAACCTGAGGTATCCACACTCCTGGTCTCCATAGAACTGTTCTGTCAAGAGCTCCAGAGAAGCTGTGCTTTCTTTCTCTGACCAAGGACTCAGGTCTCTGGGAACGAGCGTCAAGATGTTGTTGGCCTCGATCTGAATTTCTCCAAACAAGTTGCTGCTCTTGGGCAATGAAGTCGGAAGAAAGCTCGTTGTGTAGACATGTCCCAGGACAGACGCCGTGTCTCCGACATCGATCCTTTGAGTCAAATCGTCAAATAGATGAATTCGAGCAAGCGGCTGGTTTATCACGTTGCCTGTGGAAAGGCTGGGCGAAGGACCCAGAAGCACCTCCTAGAAAAAACGTTCCAAGAGGTTCGCAACACATAAACTTTATGAAAGAAAGAATTTGGATACAAACCTGGTGACGAATGTATATAGCAGCCGACTCATCCTCATAGAATCCGGCAAAACAACAACGTGGGAGATGGATTTCTTCCTTGAGCTTGTGATAATCATCGTGGACGGAAGCGCAGCCCCTGCATTTAAATCTCCTCATGAATGGAGAGTATCCAGAAAAGTTACGTCAAGGAAAACGCTATGAAAAGCGAAGAGAGAAACACGCTGAGAAGGATATCTTACCGACCGTATGGACAGCATAGGCGACTCCAAAGACGTGAACGAGCTTGCCATTGTCATCCATGCTACAATCCTTGCTCCTGAGGCGCTCCATTGGCGATACTTGAACCGGAGCGGAAGAAACCCTGATCCACAGCCGAGAACCGGACAGCTTGAAATCACGCTCTTCCCGATCGGAATCCACCCCCCGGAGCTCCTTCAGCCGCTCAAGCAGCGCTATCGACAGCTGTTGGGGCTGAATCAAGATTGCCATGCCGAGCTCCAAATCCCAATTCAACGCCTCGGAAGCATCGATCGGCACCACAATGCAGTCATCGCCTTTCTTTACCTTTGCAATGGCGTCACCGAGAGATCCATCGCGCAGCAACCACAGCAAAGCTCTGTCCGCGATCGTGGACATAGCTAGGGCTAAGAAAAAGCCCGCCAAAATTCAATAACAAAAACTAAGAAAAATTTCGGCACCGCCGCCCGTGGGGCTCGAACCCACGACCACAAGGTTAAGAGCCTTGCGCTCTACCGACTGAGCTAGGGCGGCAACCGCAAAGACGTTTGGATGCCCATCTAAAGAAATCATTACCCTCAGCTTACATAATTTCTAGATACTTAAGTAAAAGATGGAATGTGTTTGCTCAAGCTCCGAGCAGCGATCGATGGATTGGAGAACAGGCAGCGAACAGTCTTTGATCTCACGTCGCATTGCGCATCGCTCCTCCAGATCTGTCGCAACGCCAAGGCGGCGGCATCGGAAGGACAGCGCCTTCACGCAGTCCTTGCTCGCTATGGGGTCGATCGATCCACCTTCCTGGGCAATCTCATCGTCCAGATGTATGGCAACTCTAGGAACCTGGCGGAGGCGTGCGCGGCATTCGCCCAAATCGGGCAGCGCAACGAGTTCTCGTGGAACTCGCTGCTGCTGGCATTTGTGCAGAGTGGGCATCTGGACGATGCCATGAAATCGTTCGATCAGATGCCGCAGTGGGATGAAGTTTCATACAACACGATGGTTTCTGCGTACTGCCAGATCGGACACTTGCATCTCGCAAAGGAGATGTTCGATTCCATGTCCTGCCCAGGAGTTGTGACATGGACTACCATGCTCTCAGCCTATGCCCACAACGGGCATCTTGGCGAAGCGAGAGAGCTCTTCCTCGCCATGCCCGAGAAGAACACCGTGACTTGGAACACCATGATCCAGGCCAATCTCCGCGAGGGTTTCGTCGAAGATGCCTGGCGCCTCTTCTCGGTGATGCCCTCCCGGGACGTTGTCTCTTGGAACATCGTCGTCACTGGGCTCACCCAGATCGGCGAGCACGCCGACGCCCACCTCGTCCTCGCCAAGATCCCCGCTCGGAGCATCTTCACCTGGAACGCGATGCTGTGCGCCAGCGTACACGATGGGCACCTCTCCACCGCGAGGATAATCTTCCGCGAGATGCCCGAGAGGAACACGATCTCCTGGAACGCGATCATCACTGGGCTCGCGCACAATGGCCAGCCGCAAGAGGCCCAGGCTGCGTTTGAGGAGATGGAGAAGAGGGACGTGATCTCCTGGACGTCGCTCGTCGCCGCCTACGCACAGATCGAGCGCCTGGATCGCGCGCGCGCGCTGTTTGATCGGATGCCTGAGCAGGACGTTGTGGCCGGGAATGCGCTGCTCATGGGATACGGGCGAGCCCGGCTGGTAGGCGAGGCTTGGGAGATCTTTATCGCCACCCCTGCTCGAGTGAGCCTCACTTGGAACCTCATGCTCCAGGCTATGGCGGACAGCCGCTGCCACTGCGAGGACGCGCGAGAGCTCTTCGAGAAGATGGCCCGGCACAACATCGTTTCGTGGACAACAATGCTTAGCTGCTACGCAGAGGGTGGTCAGGATCAATCGGCCAAAGAGATCTTCGACGCGATGCCTCAGAGGAATCTGGTTTCATGGAGCGCCATGCTGCGTGGATTCACCCAGAATGGTCATCTTGAGAATGCCGTGAGAATCTTCTACAAGTCTCCAGCGAGGGATCTAGTCGCGTGGACGCTTCTTGTGAGCGCTTTTGCCGAGCGAAACGAAGTAGAAAATGCGAAAATTTGGTTTAAAGATATGCCACAAAAGGATCTAATCGCCTGGACCGCGATGCTCACAGCATTTGCCGTGAATAGCGATTTGGATCGCGCCTGGGATGTGTTCCACAGGCTTCCAGCGAGGAACACGGTCGCCTGGAACGCCATGATCGCGGCTTGCGGCCAGAACAACCAGGGATCACGGAGCTTGACACTGCTGGGCTTGATGGACGTGGAAGGGATCCATCCCAGCGCGACGACTTTCATCAGCGTGGCGGACGCTTGCACGAGCCTGACGGCGCTTAAGGAAGGCCGGCTCGTCCACCAGGAGATCACGCTCGCCAGCGGCGATCTCAGCTCCTCCGAGGCTCTCGGAATCGGCAACGCTCTGGTGAGCATGTATGGCAAGTGTGGCAAGCTCGACGAGGCGCGAGAGGTGTTCGTGGGGATGATCCAGAGGAGCGATATCACCTGGAACGCGATCATCGCCGCGCACACCCAGAACCACTGCAATCTCGGTGACGTCGCGGAGCTCCTGGAGTTGATGCTTCTCGACGGCGTGGCGGTGGACGAGATCACGTCCGTGAGCGTGCTCACCGTGTGTAGCCAGGCGGGGCTTCTCCTCCACGCCAGGGAGTTCTTCCACTCGATGAGCCGCGAGTTCTCCAGCGCTCCAGGGGCGGATCACTACGCTTGCATGATCGATCTCCTCGCGCGGGTTGGCGAGCTGGAGCAGTGCATGGAGCTGATCTGCGCCATGCCTTTCCAGGCGGATGGGATCTCGTGGATGAGCCTCCTGGGTGCTTGCAAGGGATTGGGCGATCTCGAGCGAGCATTCGTGGCGGCGGAGATGGCCGTGCGCTTGAATCCCGAGAACTCGGCGGCTTACATTCTCTTCTCCAACATTCTAGAGAAGGACAAAGGATGATCCGCGATCGTGAGCGAGCGCGATCATGGATCGAAGCGATTGCATCCGGCTGCTCGAGTCGTGCAAGAGCCTATCGCTCGCGGAGACCGCCCATCGGCGCGTCCGCGAGGTTTATCCCGCGATCCAGGACGATGCCTTCCTCTCCAACAAGATCGTCCAGATGTATGGCCGCTGCGGGAGCGTGGATCGCGCCAGGATCGCGTTCGAGAGGAGCCGGAACAAGGATCCGAGCTCCTGGGTGTTCATGCTTTGCGCGTACTCGCAAAACGGGCACCTGGACGATGCGAAAGAGATCTTCGACCGGATGCCAGATAGGAATCAAGTGGCCTGGACCGCGATGCTTACGGGGTACGCGCGGATCGGGGATTTGATCGAGGCCAAGCGCGTCTACGATCGAATGCCGGAGTGGGACGTGGTTTCTTCCACCGCGATGCTCAGAGCGTATGCCCAGAATGGGCATATTGACAATAGTGAGAAGCTCTTCAGCGAGATGCCGGAGAAAAATCTTGTTTCGTGGAGTGTAATGCTGGATATGTTCTCACACAACAATGATCTTGCGAAGGCGAGATTTTGTTTTGACAATATGCCTGAGTGGGATGTTGTTTCCTCGACTACAATGCTTGCAGCATATGCCCAACACGGGCAATATTATAACGCTGAAGGGATCTTTCACTACATGGAGCACTGGACTCTAGCTACTTGTTCCACGATGCTCGCAATTTTTGCACAGAGTTTCCAGGTAGAAGAAGCCAGAAACTTGTTCTCGAGTTTGCCGCAAAGAGATTTCGCTTCGTGGATTGCTATGTTGAATTGCTATGCTCAAGTTGGTGATGTAAACCAAGCAAAGGCTGTGTTTAATCAGATGCCCGAGTGGAATCTCGCCACCTTCACGGCGATGCTGAACGCGTTTGGAGCCAATGACAAAGTTGACGATGCGAAAGTCTTGTTTGATTCCACACCCGAGCTCGACATGGTACTTTGCACTGCCATGATCGAAGCTTATGCCCAGGCCGGGCATACCGATTTTGCAAAACACATATTTGAACAGATGACTCAGCATGACATTGTGTCATGGAACTCGATGCTATCAGCTTACGTTAACAAAGGTGACAGTCTCAATGGTGCTAGGGACGTGTACACTCGGATGCCGCGCTGGAGCGTAGTCACCTGGAACTTAATGCTTGTGGTATATACCCAGGAAGGGCATCTGGAACTGGCAAGGCTTTTGTTTGAGCAGATTCCAGTCCGAAACCTAGCATCTTCAACGATTATGCTCGAAGCGTACTCAAGAAACGGCTACATTGAAGAGGCTAGTCAAATCTTTGCACAAATGCCTGTGCAAGATCTTGTTTCTTCCACAGTCTCCATCAATCTTTCTGCCCAGTGCAAGAATTTGTATTTGGCGAGAGAGATCTTTGAGAAAATGCCGGAGCGCAACGTTGTCTCATGGACCGCACTCTTGAACGCTTACGTTTCAAACTCCCAATTGAACTACGCGTTGTCTTTGTTTCATACTCTCCCTTCGCATACTGTTGTAACTTGGAACACCATTGTGGCAGCGTATGCCATGAACGGGCATTCCAGTACTGCGCTCTTTCTCTTCTACTCGATGAGGATGGCAAGCGAGGGTTTGCCGGATGGAATCTCGCTCTTGTCCGTTCTAGTCGCTTGCAATCACACGGGAGACTCGGAGCTCGCAAGGTCTTTGTTCGTGTCAATGTCGCTGGACTCTGGGATTGGAGCTAGCAAAGAGCACTATGGCTGTATGGTTGATGTCCTGGGAAGAGCCGGTTACCTGGACGAGGCCGAAGATCTTGTGAACAACATGCCGTTCGAGCCCGATGTTCTAGAGTGGATGAGCTTGCTTGGAGCTTGTCGAGGCTATGGCGACGCTGCTAGAGGGACCAGGATTCTGGCCCGGATTGTGGCGCTGGATCCGAGAAACGTCGCGGCGTTCGTGTATCTCGCTAGAAAAATACAAAGTTGATCCTGTATGAATAAGAATCCGTGCCTCGTTATTGTATAGAGGAAAGAAAAACGAGCGTATCTTAGTGAGCTGCTTGTGCAGTTTGGACGCTGTTTCGCATCAAGCTGATGACAGCAGCTGGATCGGGAGCTCCAAAAACTGAGCTCCCAGCGACAATACAGTTGGCTCCGGCATCGGCAGCTTGCTGGATCGTCGAAGGGCCGAGACCACCATCAACCTGTGCGCGGAAGATTTCAAGTAGGGAAAAAGAAAAACTGGTTTCTTGTACCTCGATGTCTAGTGAAGGATATCGAGATCGGAGAGCTTTCACCTGTGTAGAAAGAAGAGATTTACAAACGGGTTTCAGCACGGAAGATTGATTGTCACCTTGCTCATTGTCTCCGGGATGAACTTTTGACCTCCAAAGCCCGGCTCCACCGTCATGATCAGCACCAGATCAACATCCCCGCTATCCACCTGGAAGAATTGTTACACAAACTTTTCAAGTAGCTAAAAAACTTACCAGAGGAAAAACTTCCTCCACGGGAGTTCCCGGCTTGAGGCAAACTCCAACTCTCATGCCGCTTTCCTTGACCTTCTTAGACACTCGGTCCCAGTTGTCTAAGAAGAAAACTCAAGCTTAAGTCACAAAAAGATAGCAGCAAGAGATGAAACCTCGAGAAGCTTCAATGTGGAAAGTAAAGCCTGACGCTCCGGCCTTGGCCAGAGGCTCCACATAGTCGAGTGGATTCGTGACCATGAGATGGCAATCCAAGTACGCACTGTACAAAAAAAAATTAAAAAATCCAGAGTCTCACTCGGCCTCTACCTCGTGTGCCTTCTCAGCGATTGGATCACCGGAGCTCCAATCGTCAAATTTGGAACAAAATGCCTGTGGGATCACACAAGATCAGAGCTCTCCTAGGCCACATTTCTTACCCATCCTGCAAAACAACGCAATTCTCTCACTCGATCTCAAATGCTGGGATCACATACCATAATGTCCATGTGTAGCCAATCCGCGCCGCAATCCAGCATGCGCTGCGCCTCAGCTGCGAGATTGGCGAAGTCGGAGGAGAGCATCGAAGGCGCGATCTTGGCGCTCATCTTGCAAATTGATCACGCAATTCGCACCCTACAAGCCCTTAAAATTTTATCATAGATTTCATACAGAAAGGATTAGCTCGCATGTTTGACACAAGGCGTTGACATGGCCGAGTTGGTCTAAGGCGCCAGATTAAGGTTCTGGTCCGCAAGGGCGTGGGTTCGAATCCCACTGTCAACAACTCCATTTTATCCTTGTTTAAGCTAGTTTTCTTAATATTATACTTAAACCAGTGTTTTTTTCTAATCATATTATTAATTTCTACAAAAATAAACCAAACTTGATTAATTATTATTTGTTTCAAAACATCTTATCCAAAATCTAAGGCCGGGCACTAAGGCTAGGGAAAAATGAGTAGCTACACTCTAAATCATCAAAGCTTCCTTGGTTTTGCTCGTGGCATGGAGCAATCCACGAAGAATCAATCATGTCATACGCAAAAGGGTACAGTGTTCCAAAGGTGGCCTTCTTGTAGAAGCACGAGAACACCACCATATCCCCAACTACCTCAAGCTTCCAATCGTGGTCCTCTTCCTCATGCATTGGCGAGCATGCCAAATCCCTCCACAGCACCCGCGACACAAGCACCCATCCCGCTAGCTCGTAGTTTAACTCCCATATGGAAAATCCCAGCGATCGGTAAGTTGTAACGTCTTGCCAAAACACCAGCTGCGAGGCTAGATAATACTTCCCCTTGTACGTGAATACGAGTCGGCTTAGGGGCGTCCAACCTTCCCAATCACCTCCTCGATCGATCTCCGGATTAACGTTCGCGATGGCCGCCCTGTCGTAGTGTGACCAGAGCCTGCTGCTAGGATCATACGCGAGAATGAGATGAGCCACATGGTAAGTATAGATCGCATTGCCTCGAAGCGGTGATCCCTGCGATGTGTCGAAGGAGAAAGGCAGCCCACTCTCCCATATCCCTGCCTTGGAGTCGTACTGCACAGGATAGACGAGGTACATTTTCTCGTCCGAGAAGAATTTCATACCGATCTCGTCAGCTGGGCCAGCATCACTATCCTTGGTGTAGAGCACCACAATCTGATACGACCCCTGATCTTGATCGTGTAGCATGGAGATCGTCAAGGAAGGAGGGGGCAATACGTCGCATTCCTCGATGGGTGGAGGAGGGAGCGTTCTCCAGGAATTGGTGATAGGGTTCCCCACGGCCAGCGCCAACGAGGATTCGTGCTCCATAAGCCTGCCACAGACCAGCCCATTTGAAGAACAAAGGCCCACGAAGTGTGAGCCCTGCGGTCCCAGGGTCAAACAACAGCTTTCTGGGCCGCCGTCTTTTGGACGCCACAGCTCGACATGGTTCTGCAGCGTCATCCGGTAATCGTAGTAGTTATCGAAATCGCCACTGGCAAGGGAGAGGAAGAAAACTTGAAAGGAAAGTTATACGCATATACGTACATGTCATCTGGCACCTCTGTTCTGACCCGGAGTGCACACCATAGTTGCCGTAGCGACGGGCTGGACGCATACACTGTGATGAAGCGCCGCGAGAGCACCGCGCGGTACCATGACTTGCAGACGGCTCGCAGCCTGAAGAGATCTCGCAAGTTGTGCAAGAAGCTCAGGATGTAGAGCACCAAATCCTCTTCTTGCAAGCGCTCAAAAGCACCACAACAGCAACTCTGATCCATTTTGACCGCAGAGAGGAAAAATGGAATGGGATTGTTTATTTTAAAGTATGACAGATCTATTTGTGGCATTCTTGGTTGATAAGTTGAAGTTACAGGCGGTAACACTGTTCTTGATCCTCCACGGATATTGTGCAAGCTAATTCGAAAATGGGTCTGATTTGGGAGCAAGGAGGTGTGTTGAGTACATTCTCTGGATGGTACCGCGAGCTGGTGGTGCTTTAAGGGTGTTGTGATGGCTCCCCTTCAGGTTGCCGAGCTAGGCTAGCCATTAGATAGGCAGCTTGCCAAACGCGAGTTGCTGAGTAGTGCTGGAAACAAGAGAACTTACAAGAATGGTGCTATAGTCTATTTTTCATACTACACACAAGTATATTCATAGTCCTATGCTTTTCAGTTGGGCATGACAGTAACTATAACACAATCAACATGAAGAGTTTGCAGTATTTCTGTGCATTCTTCCTTCATGATACGAGCAGTGTTGATGTTATACAATCTTAAGAATATTCTAAGAATATTTCTTTGCATAGTGACCACCTCACGTAAAAACTCAAGGATGAATTTGAGGCATTTGCAAAATTTAAATAAATAATTGAAAAATAATTAAAACTACTTTTCATATAAAATATTTATAAAAATTAATAAATTTACTATTTTCAGAATAAAACTAATTATTAAATTTTAAATTTTTGCCAAAAAATAGTTTCTTTTATTAAAATTTTAAAAATTGATCACTTTTGATCACTTATTTTAATGTAACAGTGCACAATCTTTGGCAACTATGGTTCTAAATTGCAATTCACAAACAACCAACTTATCTTGTAGATTCAAAACTTTTTCCCACATGCTTGTAATGATCAGCAAGGATAATTGTGCATCTAAAAATGGATTTAGTTGCAAAAGTAAAAAATGTGCTTAAACCATTTTTAATTTTTTAACAATCTACGTTTTATTTCAGTTTTAATAAAAGAATACTCTCGCATATCCTAGGAATATAATAGGATATGCCTAGAATCTATTAATTTACCTCAAGCTTGATTCCAGAGGAATTTGGAGCCAAACACTCCTTTTAGCTACAGCAATTGGGGAAAACGGAGCTGGATTATGGACAGCTGGGCAGCAGCCGCTCAAGCGATGGTAACGAGAAGATCTTGGACGGGATGGGCCCACAGCTCTAGGCGATTGTAAGCGTCTTGAGCTTACTCATACAGAAAATGGAATGTGATTGTTTATTATATAGTTTGACAGATTTATTTGTGGGATTTTCGGTGTTTATACAGCAGCTCTAGTAGTATTACACATAACAGCAGCCGTTCTCCACCGATGGGCTATTTTTTATGGAGCGCACACTGAAACATTGACCACGATAGGCGAAACCAGCTCCTCTGCAGTTATGGAAGCTACTTCGATAGTGAGTCTGACTTTGCAAGCAGGGAGGTGTGTTGAGGACATTTTCGGGATGGCAACTTGCATACAGAGCTTCCCCGTGAGCTGATGGCGTCTTGGGAATGGCGTCAAGACTTACATTTGAGTCCCTGTGAGGTTGATGAGCTGATGTTGCCTCTCCAGTGCTGTTGAAGCTAGCCAACTGCTGCCCAAGAGCAGGCAACTTAGGAAATTCGAGGTGAGTAGTGGGAGAAACAAGTAGAGAAGTTGCAACAAGAAGAAGAATAAGATATGCTGCCATTATTTATTTTTTATAGTAGACATTGGAGTCATATTTATAATGAACTATAAAGAGTTTGCAGTACATTCACAAGCTTTATTTCTTCACATTCTTTTTGCATGACATGAGAGGTGTTGACCAGTTGTTCTTATTGCTCCATAGGTTCTTTTGGCGAATTCGTATCATTCAGAAATCCTTCAAGTAAATGTATTAAATCTTGGCAATAAGAGACAAGTTAAGCTTGGCTTGAAAACTTTTCTAAAAGTGGAGACATTGGCAGTTGATATGGATTGCCACCATCGCCTTGAGTGGCCTTGCAAGCGCCCTCAAACGCTTTACTACAAATAGTCGCCCATTCCATCTTTGTCCACCAACAGCTTCGTCACTCCCCTGAACATCCCACCTGAAGAAAACTTCTTGATTGAGAAAAAAAGAAAGAAAGAATGGAAGGGCGAGTTTCTTTCGCTTGATCATGGCTTCCAAATCCAATAAACTATGGCTGGCGCTAGAATGTTTTCCATGTTTAAAAGAGTAAACTTGGTATGGGCATCACGTCAGCAACAATGGACAGCCCCTGCAAACTTAGTAGATCTTGTCCCACTCACCATCATAAAACGGAAGAACTCGAAAGTCCGACGCTGCCACCATATCTCCCATTCGGGCAGCTCCAGTGCTAGGAGCCATCTGTATCACTGTATAATCTGACTAACTCACCGGACAGTCGTGGGATTTCATTTCAACGTGAAGCTGTGGTCTCATGTTCCAGTGCTTTTTTATCCTTCACATCTCCTGCAGAGACCACCTCCTAGACTCTGAAGATGGTTTCTCCAGATCATTATAAACTCGGCAGGAAGATAGCAGCTTGAGAATTAGATCACCTTACCAAGCCTCTGGCGGAGGGCGATGTGGCAGTTCCTCGTCCCAGTCATGCTGGGCTGAAAACTTTGAGCTTCGTTCATTGACATCGAGCTCTAAGCGCATATCAAAACTTATTGGATCAGCTGGTTTACCTAAAATATACTTACAATTATGGGATATTTTAATATAAATGTATTTATAATTTATAAACTTCCCTAAACATTTCCAGTATCTGTGTGTTTATAAATTATGAACATGTTTATAATTACAATAATTCAGCCTAAACTATTTGTGATCACAATTTTAGGGGAGGTAGGGGAGGTGGCTGGCCTGGTAAAAAACATTTAAAGTTTTAAATTTGCAAGCCTGCATAATATATGAAAAAATATAATTATGCTTAAATTGTTGTGACATATATGTGTGACTCACAAAATAATATTTTAAGCACAATTTTTATCTTATACATGGCATATATTGATGCCCACCACATATGTATGGTAAAGTCTAAATTAATACCACATGCAATTTTACATAAATGGTTAGCATTTTGTGTTTTTTCCTAACAATGCTCATTCTTTAATTGTTTTTCCTTGCATTGTGTAAAATTTAACTCCACGTTGGTTTTTTTTATATAGGTTTAGACCTAAGGCTTGTCGGCATGATCTTTTTCAATGCATGAGCTAGATTTTTTAACACATTTTGGATATTGTAAGTTAAGCTCACCATCACATTTCTTTGGTGAGAGTAATAAAAAACACTTTACACAATAAACCATTACAATGTCAAAAATTTCAACACATAATTAAAAATGTGAGATTAAGAACACAAGAAATCCACTTAAGAACAGTAGTATGAGACAATATTAAAACCACTTCAAGCCATGCAATACAAAGGCTAATGCCAAATTTTTGAAGCTATATGACTAACTCTCAAGGTGCATTCAAGTCTTATTGCTAAAGAAAAAAGAAAAGAAATGGATGGAAGTTTCATAAAATTAATAGCACTGGAGCAAGGTATGAATTTGCATTGCCAAGTAGCTCAAAGCAACAAAAGTGGAAATGGGGATTCAAAGTTTGCAACAGTCTTGGGGCTTGGTAATTGGGATGAAGAGGTTATATAGAGATTTGTTGCTATGGATTGGAGAGCAACTAAGTCATAATAATGTATCTAGTTGACTTTTATTGCAAAGTTGGAACTATGGTGTCGGCTCAACAAGTTTTTGACTCAATGCCATCGAAAAATCTTATGGCCTAGACAACACTTGTAGCTAGATATGATCACCAAAGAGATGTTGCCTTCATATTACAACTTTCACAGTATGCAAGATCCCAACCATCATCTTGATAACTTTATATTCCTCTTGATTTTCAACTTTTGTAGCCATATGGGGTTTGTGAAACAAGGAAAGAAGTGTTTCTATGCATGGAGATGAAATATAGAATTTGTTCTGGGCATGAGAACTACTATGGAATGATTGATCTCTTGGGACAAATAAACCAATTGGATGAGGCAATAATGGTGTTAGAATCTATGCTTCTAGAGTTGAGTTGTGTAACTTGGTTACCACTCTCAGTGCGTGTAAGAAGTGGAAAAATATATAGGTTGAGAAGATTGTGTATGACACCTTGGTGAAGATTGATAAGAGGAATAAAGTTGTATATATGTTTATAGCTAATTTATATAGAAATTAACATTGGCATACTTATTGAAGGAACAAAAGTTGGCAGCCATGACAAAAAATGCATTAATTAAACACTTCATTGTAATGTGTGATGCTGTGATGAGATGAGAAGTTCCCATTCAGTACCTCAATTTTGGTGATGGTGCTTCTCATCCCACTACTCCATAGATCGCTCATGAATTTTATCTTTAATGATATTATAAAAGGAAAAAAATAGTTCTTGAATATTTATCTCACATAATATAAATTAGCACTGTGTACTTGCTTGTGTAAAAACTGCATTACGTAATTGCTCATGTAAAACATTCACTAGATTTGTAGTGATATCATACTATCTAGGATGACATGACATCAATCTTACAGTCTAAAGTGTCATACCCCATGCATATATAGTATACCCCATGTCATAATTATGTTTTGATTGCTTATATAGCAATAAAAAAATGATTGTGTGCATAATATTTTTGCATGCAACTCAAAACATAAAAATAAATCTATACATATATAAATATATAATACTCCTATGCGCAAGTTGCCATACCTAAATCACATTTTTTAAAAGTATGAAATAGTAGATTGGACTATGAATACTCAGCATAGTTACTATAAAGAAGTTATTTGATTACTCAAATAAATCCAACTATAGAGAGTTCTATACTATAAGGTTATTAGTCAAATGCAAGTTTGGAATGTTCATCAACTTTATTGTAGCATATGATCATTGAAGAAAATATCATTTGTCTTTAAGCTCACAAATGTATAATAAATACTTATCTAGCTTCATATCAACTTCTCTTCTAGCAAAAATTTAAGAATTCTTAATTGATTTATATATTGATTAGCTTGATTACTAAATAAGAATAGCACTACTATTAAGCAAGCCAAATGCTATTATATATAATTTTTTTGTGTTTAGAATATGGTTTTTATTAAGAATTTTAAATTTTTTTGTGCCCACAATATCAAGACAACAATGGCTACATGGATTGGCAAGCCATGGCCAAGGCTTAATCAAGCTCCAGAATAAGTAGCAAGGCATACCTATAACTATAAAGATGGACACAATAGTAGTTACCATAACTAAGTCACTTTATGGTCCAATCGAATAAGTCTTAGCATTTTTTGTTTCTTTATTTGCCTTGTGTTAGCTTCACTATAGCACCCTCACCACACCTTCATCTGAACACACTTAAATTTGAAACCAAACTCTAAATTTATCATACTATACAATGAATGCACTTGAATACCCTATGAGCACCAGCTTCTTTTATTTAGCCCTTGCACCCTAAAATGGTGTCAAATGAAGTTTCAACATACCAATAACTTAATGTAAGAAGGTGAGTACTCCAGCATAGACTAACACAGCCGGTGAGAACCAAATTACTCAGCCATGCTTTTGGCCACTATACATGTCAATTTAATAAAAAAAAAATCCTCTGTAAACCATCTAGAAATAATTGACCCCCTTGAAATAACTTTAAATACTATAATTATATCCATATAGAAAACCACTTCAAACACCAAAATTCAAGTTTGAAAACCATTAATGATTTCAAATTTGGGAAATCTGAAGTATATGCAGCTGGTTTTTATATATGGTTTTTCTAGTAAAAACCATGGTCACCAACTCCCTGTCGTTGTATGTCACACTACAGAAGCCCCAATGACATAGAGTACCTTTGTTGATCTTGAACTGTGGCTGTGTGAAATGGTGGTCAGAACTGGAGAACTAGTGAACCAATTTGCAAAGTGTGTTATCCAGTTTAGTATAAAATCTTGCAAGATCTATCTTGACACAGGTGCACTACACTAGAACGCTCTAAAATGGGACAGTACGTCAGGTGTAAGTTCAAAGATTGGTCTAGGTCCTAGGAGTTTTGTGGGATCACATGATGAAACTAGGGAATCTTGGGAAGTGCTATCAAGTGTTTATCTTGTTAATAGGTAAATTCCCATTGCTTAAATTATATTAATTATTATAGATTAACAGCAGAAAATCTCAACCGTTAGATTAAGGAATATCTTAGAATATGCCTAGTTGAAAATTTGGTTTGCATTAACAATTTGATAATTTTTGTATCCGCGAATTTTTATTTGTTGTTTCGAAAGCAAAAAAGTTAAATACTGATGTAGCTATAATTCTATAGGGTGGTGGTGGTGTCCATAACGATCATCTCGCTCTCCAATCCACTCATATTGAAGTTGTGAGTCGACGAAGACAGAAGCCGCTCGTGATTGCTTGCCGACGTCTTGAGCAAAAGCTTCTCGTTGATCTGCCTGTTCTTCCTCCTCCCGCTGTTACAGCTCGACTCCTGGCCCATGTGGTCCTCAGACGACGACGAGCTCTTGCTGTTCTTGTGCGCAACCTCCTCGGGGACGTGCTTGATCTGCTCCAGCACCGCCACCACGTCCTTCATGCTCGGCCTTTCCACGGGCGACTCCTTCACGCACATTAGCGCGATCCCCAGGCACTGGAGCATCTCGTGGATGAAAGGGTCGGGCATTCCTCGCAGCCGCGAGTCGAGCGCCTCCACCCGGAGCTGGTGCTGCTGCTGCTCCTCCTGCTGCCGCACCATCAGTCCGTGGACCCAATCGACGACGTTCTTGTCTTGCTCCAGTGCTCGGCGCCCGGTTAAGATCTCGAGGAGGACAACGCCGTAGCTGTAGACGTCGCTCTTGGTCGTGATGTTTACCCGGCAGCTATACTCTGCAAGAAGCTTCTATTTAGAGCACGCCATTCACTGCAATAGGATGCAAAAAAGAAGCTCTAGACACTCTACACTCAAAAGCCGGCTAAAGGAAAGACTAGAGGTGTCCCACTGTCCACCACCAACAGTGACAAAAGCTCACTCGTGAGAAAGAGAAGAGACATCTCCGTGGCAAGCAGAGAGTTCTTCATCTCCACGCTCATCTCCTCATCAAATCATCACCAACATCGGCCTGAGACGAATAAGATCACACTTTTCTTCCCTGGCAGCAGGCACCACCAAGCTACGAAGCCATGATGGCAAACTCCGAACAATCTCACGCTCGCACTCAAATGCCCACCTCATTTTAAATCACAAATGAAATCCCCGGTTGGGGCATCTATCCGCACGGCAGCTCTAACAACAAACACAAACAAGAAAAGGTGGCGGACATGAATTGGATAGCAAGCCAATGAAACCAAAATCACCACTCGCAACCCCACGACAAACAGCGCAAGGAAGCACACTCTCATGGAAAAGCCACAAGCAAGCAAACCGGTATGTCCAAGCCGGGCATATGAAGCAAGAGAGAAAGATCGATGGACTTACCAGGAGCAATGTAGCCAGTGGTGCCCGGGATCTTCCCCGGGTACACGAAATCCTCCTCGGCGAGCACCTTGGCCAGCCCAAAATCCGCAATGTAAGGCTCCAGCGAGTCGCCCAGCAGGATGTTGTTGGCCTTGATGTCCCTGTGCAAGATTGGCGGGTTGCAATCGTGGTGAAGGTACGCGATCCCCTGCGCCGCGCCCAGCGCGATCTTGTACCGCAGCTCCCAGTCGAGGGAGCGCTTCTTGTCCGCGTCGTGGAGCAGCTCCTCGAGGTTGCCATTGCTCTTGAAATCGTAGAGCAGCAGCGCCGTCTTGGTGTTCGTGCAGTAGCCAATGAGCCGGACGATGTTCTTGTGCCGGACCTTGGATCCCAGCGTGTGGACCTCCGAGTTGAAGCTCGCGTGGTTGGCGTTGGCTCTCCTGCTGCTGCTGAAATCGATCTCCTTGATCGCGATCTCGTTCCCATCCGGCAGCTTCGCTTTAAACACCGATCCGGAGCTCCCTCTGCCGATTGGCACCGCCTTGCTGAAGCTTTCCACCACGTCCGAGGCGGAGATGCTCGAGTTCCACTTCTGGTATGGCGTCATCTGCCACAGCCACGGGCTACCGCGGGCGGCACTGTCCGAGAAGCCGCGGCACCGGCGGTACAGGAGGACCGAGCCCAGCAGCACCACCAGCGCGGTACCGCCGAAGAGCAGCGCCACCACCACGGGGGGCCGCATGGACCGCCGTACGGGCGACCCGTGGCCGTCCGTACCGCACTGTGGGCCGTCGAGCGTGCCGCGCGACACGCCCGACATGGCGCACAGCCGGCGGTTGCCCGCGAAAGAGACGGCCATGTTGCGGAATGCATCGGTGGATGGGATGATGCCCGTGAAGGAGTTGTAGGAGACGTTGAGGAAGTTGAGGTTGGCGAGCTTGTCAAGGAGTTGGACGCCGCCAAAGAGATTGTTGTGCGCGAGATCGAGGCGGACGAGGTGCGTGAGATCGGCGAATCGCTCCGGGATGGATCCCGTGAGGGAATTGGAGTGGAGGTCGAGCGCGATGGAGAGGCTGACCAGCCCACCCAGCGTCGCCGGGATCTCCCCGGACAGCCTGTTGTTGGCGAGCTCCAGCGAGAGGAGCTGCTTGCACAGGCCGAGATCGTCCGGGATCTTCCCCGTCAATCGATTGTTCGAGAGCTTGAGGTACTCGAGCGCTTGCATGTCGCCGATCTGCGGCGGGATCTCTCCCTCGAGCTGGTTGGAGGAGGCGTCGAGCAGCTGGAGAGCGCGCAGCCGGCCCAGCGACGCGGGCACCGGGCCCGTGAGCTCGTTCTTCACCAGGACCAAGCCCTGCAGCGACATGAGGCTGCCAATCTCCTCGGGGATCTCCCCGCTCAGCCCGTTCCCCTCGAGGTCGAGGAATGTGAGATTCCGGAGGCTCCCCAGGCTCCTGGGGATGCCGCCCACGAGGAGATTCTCCTTGACGCGCAGCCGGACGAGCACGGAGTCGGTGACGCCCACCTCGGGCAGCACCCCGGACAGCCGGTTGTGGATGAGCAGCAGCCGCTCCAGCGATGGCAGCGAGAAGATCTTGGACGGGATGGGCCCCGAGAGGCGATTGTAGGAGAGATCGAGCGTATTGAGGTGGGAGCAATTGACGATGCTGTCCGGGATCGGGCCCTCGAGCTGGTTCTCCCAGCAAAAGAGGAGCGTCAGATTGGCGAGGCGGCCGATGGAGTCGGGCAGGGGGCCCGAGAGCCGGTTGGTGTCGAGCTCCAGCACCTTGAGCTCCGTGCAGTCGCCAAACTCGGGCGGTATGCGGCCCGTGAGGTTGTTGATACTCACCAGGAAGTTCTGGAGCGAGGAAAGATGGCCGACCTCGGGCGGTATACCGCCCGACAGCGAGTTCGTGGAGAGGTCAATCTCGGTCAACAGTTTGCAGCCGCCGACGGAGGGCGGTATGCCGCCGGTCAGCTCGTTCTGCCACAGGAGCAGCCGCCGGAGCTGCGTGAGTTGACCAAGGTTGACCGGGATGGTGCCCGTGAGCTTGTTCTGGAAGAGGTGGAGGTTTTGGAGCGCCGTGCATTCGCATAGCTCGTCGGGTATGGAGCCCGTGAGCGCCGCGCCGTAGAGGAGGAGCGACTCGAGGCTCTTGAGCCTGCCGAAGGTGGGAGGGATCGGGCCCGAGATGTTGGTCACGGCGAATCCAAACATGGTGAGGCTGGAGCAGTTCCCAATCTCGTGCGGGATCGGACCCGAAATCCCGGCATTGCCGCCGCCCCGGATGATCCTCAGCTTCTGAAGGTGGCCGATTTCAGGCGGGATGGTCCCGTTGAGACGGTTGTCGAAGAGCTGGAGCGTGTCGAGGCTGGAGCAGCCTTTGATCGAAGGTGGGATCCGGCCGACGAGCTGGTTGGCCTGGAGGTTGAGGATCTGGAGGCGGGGGAGGTTGCCAATGGTGTCTGGGATCGCGCCACTGACTTCGTTGTTGGAGAGGTCGAGGAACTCGAGCTTGGAGCAGCGGCCGATCTCTGGCGGTATCCTGCCGGTGAGATTGGTGGAGGAGAGATTGAGGGACTGGAGCTCGGTGAGGAGGCCGAGCTCTCGCGGGAGCTGGGCGTGGAGGTAGTGCCCCGCGAGCGAGAGAGAGGTGACGCGGCCCGTGGTTGGCGAGCACGAGACACCGAGCCAGCCACACGGGCCCGAGGAAGAGTTCCAGCCCAGGGTGTTGTTGAATGTGTGGGCGAAAGCGAGCAGGGCTTGGGCATCTTGAGACTCATCTTGCAGCTGCGCCACTGCTTGAAGAACGATCAAGGTGGCGAGGAGCAAAACATGCCTCCTGGCCATGCTGCCCGAACTGATCAAATTTTGCTCCCTCACATTGTAGATGGCTGCGTAATCGCTGGAGCAAATTCACACCCTCCTGCTGCTGCTGCTTGCTGCTACTCCCAAGCCATAAAACCAAAAGAACGAGCTAACAACTCTTCGCTCTTGCTCTCCAAAGACGATGCTAAACCAAGTGGGACAAGGGACATAGAGAGCACAGAGGAGGAGGTGGAGCTGGGAAAGTATGACCTACAGCTTTGGTTGCTTGTGTGCTTCTTCTACCTGGGATTTAAAAAACAAAAGCCCTTTCTCATGTACTTTGCAGTGAGGATTGGATTGCTCCTGGCAGCTGCAGCTGCTGCTGCTGCTGCTACTCCTGCTACTCAATTGTCTCTCACTCACTCAACTCCTGCTCAGCCCCAGTTGTTTTTCTCTTCTTTTTCTGTGTTAATAGTGTTTCTCTCCCTCCTTTTCTTGTTTAACCTTTCTTTTTTGTATGCAATAAGTTGTGGCCATGCTTTTTTGAATCAGAATCAAGGGCAGTACAAGCCCCACTAGGTACCACCATCAACTCACAAAACCCCACCATCCACCAATGTTCCCCTTACAACAATATTAGCACTGCCCCTCTCAAATCCCTGAGATTTCTGGAATTTAAGAAAGGTGGCAGAGAGAAACGGTGGTAAAAGGTGAATGGGATACAGCCATTTCAAGAAGGCAGAAAAACATCAGTTTCAGTTTTGTACTGCCATCCCACGTGATTGTTTCACACAAGCAATCACCTTAGAGTTTCTCCCAGAAGGAAATAACGATACAACTCTCAGCAAAATCATCGTATTTTCCCTCTTGATAGATATGGGTTGACAACCTTTTCTCCCACTCCCAAATTCTTTACAGATCACCCATATCATTCATATTCCAAATGCCTTTGCCTATTATCATCCGTTCATTCGAGTTTTAAAGCGAAAATGGGGGGGCGGCCCCGAGCTATCTTTATCTGGAGATCGTGGAATAAGCACAGTTTTCCAGCCCCACACTACACACTGCAATCACTTCGTAAACAGCAGCAATGCAATCCCCGGCAGGATCACACACATCAATATCTTTTGAGGAAAAAGGAAAGAGGAAAACTTGAGTTTGATTGATTGATCCACTGAATTGAGATTGGGCTTGTTTTGGATCGACATAGTCTAGCTAGCCAGGAATCCATTCTCCTGGTCGGTAAAGAGACAAACTTCGTCTCCGGCCAGCAAACAAACCTAAGAAGCTCTCCTCCCTGTGTAAGTTCTGTTAGGAGGGTCAACGAGTATTTTAAGGATTTTTAAAGAGACTCGGTCGCATCAAGCACGAGCCTGGAGCAGAGAGCGATGAGATCAACTACGGCCACTTCCAACACCGGAATGAGGGTGACAGTTTTTGGGGGCATTTTCATTGCCTGCCACCTTTTCGAGTTTTGTATTGGCTTTGTTGGTTAAATGATGCATTTGTTCCCTTGATTAGCAATTTGCGTGGTGTTGCGCGCTGGGATCTAAATCATGGGTTGGTATACTATACACATGTATGTATTAGCTTCACTTGGCCAATGCGGTGACCTTTGCAGGTGTAATATATATTGTTTGTCTTGCTGTTTTGGTGATCAATCATGCTCAATCACAAAAGGACAGCCTCGTATGATGATGGAAGTATACAATCTATATTCCCACTAGCATTAGGCTTCGAGTGCATTGGATTTGCTTGAGCACCAGAGAACACAAACAAGGACAGGGGATGGAAATCTAGTGCGTAATGCGTGATGTCATGCTTAATTCACTTCTTACTCATCTATCTATCTATACGCTGTTTTGATAGTCTCTCAATGGCCAACTTGAAGCATGAGACTGATGGATGTAAAATGCAAGGGTTTGTGTCATCTGTGACATGAGCATCTCGCACCAAGACGACATTTTTTTTAGTTTTTCGAGATAAAAGTTTAGTTTTTTGGCTGCCCACACCTGAGCATAACGCATGCTCTACGCACCAGAAGTCAAGCACTGGAAATCGGGCAAATTGGAAGCACGCAAGTAACGCAAACCAGTGCTGGAAAACCATATGCACTGTCATAGCTCCAAAAAATTGCCCACTTTTCTTTGTGTGTAGTGCTTGTGTTGTGCCCAAAGAAAGAGGTATCCGGATAGATGATTGAAGTGGCGGCCTGACATCCCAATCATAGCTCTCTCTCTCTCTTTTTTCCTTTTGGGTGTTCTTCCTTTCTCGTGGGGTTTGTTCTCGGCCAAGTGCCACAATGGGGCATCTCACATTTGCCCATCTCTCTTTAATCTGCCAAGGCAAAAGTACACCATGTGAAGTTGGCAGAAGCATCACAAGATAAGAAGGTTCTAGCATCCAAAAAAAGAAAAGAAAAAAGAGCAAGGGCGAAGAATTTGGAGATGCCGGGTATCGATCACGGTGCCTCTCGCATGCTAAGCGAGCGCTCTACCATCTGAGCTACATCCCCGTGATCACGTTCTCGAATTCTTTGCGCGGGGAAAGAAGAAACCCTAAATCCTAGAGCCCTAATGCTGGCGTCCTCCATCGGTGGCGCCTTGGCGATTCGCGGCGGCCGGGGAGATGCTCGTCTTTGGTGGATTGGCGCACGCGCCTTTGCAGCTCAGGTTGATTGTAGCAGTGATCCGTTCCCTTGTTTTTACTCATATGCTTGTTTTCTAGAGCTTTGACGGCGTCCAATCTCTGCGGGAAGCATTTGCTATCCAGGATTCCCAGTATCCAGGGTCTGCAGCGTTGCAGGCTAGGGAAGAGAGAGAGGAGTCTCTCGACGATCGTTGCGGAGGTAATTGTAGGCGGTGAAGTAGATGGTAGCTTCAAGAAGAGCAGCAAGAAAAAAGTGAATGACAAGGAGAAAAACGCGAATGGAGAAAGTCTCTCGAAAGAGGAGGAGGAGGAAGAGGCCTCGACCGCCGGACGAAGAAAACGGAATGCTGCTAAACTGGCAGGAACACCGGTTAATGCAGAGCTAGAGCTAGGCAGTGGCTTAGCAAAAGGAAGGAAGCGCGTCACGAAAAAAATCCAGGAAGCAATTGCTTTGGGTGGCGAGGAGAAAAGCGTCGCAAAAACCAACCTTTCGAAAGGGGAGGTGGAAGAGGCCTTGACATCCAGGAACCCCGGACGAAGAAAAAGGAATGCTGCTAAACCGGAAGCTGGCACGGGTACACCGGTTAATGGAGAACTAGGCAGCGGTGTAGCAAAATCAAGGAAGCGTGTCACGGAAAAAATCCAGGAAACGACTGTGCAGGACAACGCTGCAAGAAAAGATGGCGAATCCAATCTATTAGAAGCAGAAGGCTCAACGATCAGGAAGCCTACCTCCAGGATAATGAGAAGTTTGTCTCGGGCAGCTGACGATGGTACCAGTTTTAGCAAAGAAGATTCCGGGGACACTCATGGAGATGAAAAGCCTGTTGCTAGAAGAAGGAAGCCATCTAGTGAAAGCTCCGAGACAACTAGAAAGCGAGGGACGAAAAGGCACGAACTTGAAGGTGTCCAAATGGCCGAGGTGACGACGGAGGATGCCATTCTAATTTCCAGCAATGATAGTACGACGGATGATGCGATCCATATGGAGGGTTCTCGTTCGAGCTCGAGCTGCGATTCTTCCACTGCTCTACCTTTGGAGGAGGCAGCTGTGGACGCGTCTTTGACACGAAACAGCGGCCAGGAATCCAAAGGTACGGTGAAACAGGAACAAGTTTTAGTTGATGGGACCAATGGAACAGCTTTACAAGTTCCTTCCAGGTGCAGTGTTGAAGGTTCCGAGTGTCCGACCTTCGATCTTTCCCAGGCTATGGATTCAATGGCCACCGAAAGCTCCAAGCCAGAAAATCTCAGCAACGTGAAAGTAGAAACTTTTCCAGACGTGTGCTCTCAGTGGGACCAGGCGAATTCAGCTCGGCCTCTCTACTTGGAAATAGAGAAGAGGAGAGTAGAAGAGCAAGAAAGGCGTGCAAGCTCTCCGTCACCTAGAAAGAAAAAGTTCAATCTCGTGTCCGAGGTCAGGTTTACGCTGGATACTTGCTCGAAGTTTGGAGACGTCAACGGAGCTCTGTCTGCTTACAGCTCAAACAGAGAAGCTGTGAAGTTCGACCTCTACAACTACAACGTGTTGCTGTATTTGTGTTCCTCCGCAGCATTGGGAGTTTTGGCACCGGGCAAGCAAAGCAGGCAAAGGCCTGATTTTTCAGATAATCAAGCTGAGAATGGACTGGAAGCTTATGCGGAAGATGAAGTGGAAGAAGATGGTGTTGTTCTGCGCGGCAACATGGCTGGCCTGAGCGGAAGAAATGTAATGGGATTTACGAAGGAGATGATGGACGGGTTCCTGAGGAAAGGACTGGAAATCTTCGAGCAGATGCAAGCAGAGAACGTGGCACCAAATGAAGCAACTTTCACAGCTCTTGCAAGGCTTTCAGTAGCAAAACGTGACGGTGACTTGGCCTTTGAAATCGTGAAGGCGATGATAGCTGCAAAGATCCCACCCAAGCTCCGGTGTTATGGTCCTGCTTTGTACGTCTACTTCAAGCGGAACGACGCGGAAAAGGCTTTCGAAGTTTACAACCACATGCTCGTTCATGGTGTTCAACCCGAGGAGGCGGAACTGGAAGTTCTTTTGCATCTCAGCTCGAAAGCCTGTCTTGGGGATCGAGTGTATTTACTCCTCCATCACCTTCGAGAGACTGTCAGGGATGTCTCGCAGTCAACTGTCAGTGTCATCGAGAGATGGTTCAAGAGCGATTTCGCTGGTAGAGTCACAGGAAATTCTCTGCCGGGAGACTTTGACGTCAGATGCTCATCTCTTGCGAAAGGAGGGGGCTGGCATGGCTTGGGATGGCTGGGACAGGGAATATGGAACGTTGGATATACGTCGCTAACCGCAGAAGGCGTGTGCTGCCGCTGCAACGAACAAATGGTTACCATCGATATTACTCCTGAAGATACCGACGTTTTTGCGAAGTGCATTGCCTCCTTGGCGTTCAAAAGGGAGAGCAATAACAGTTTTGGTATTTTCAAGGTATGTGTGTTGCAAATATGAACTTTTTCACGACTTGTCATTTTGCAGGATTGGCTGGACAGGAATGGACCTTTCGAAACAGTCGTCGACGGAGCAAACGTGGGGTTCTACAACCAGAGATTCAACGGAGAGCTGAATTTTGCACAGGTGCTGCTAAGGTTGCGATTGGTCTTTCTTCAGTAAACTTACCATTTCTTGCAGCTGGAGACCGTAGTGGCAGATGTACAACGACGATCTGGCAAGTGGCCTCTTATCGTGCTGCACGTTGGAAGGACGATGAAAGGCTCGGGCAGATCGAGCTACGCTCAACAGTTACTGCGGCACTGGTCTAATGCAAAGGCCTTGTACATAGCACCGGCGGGATCAAACGACGACTGGTAAGGTTCTTATCGATAGCTTTCTGCTGGTTACTGTTTTGGTTCTTAGGTACTGGCTGTATGCTGCTGTCAAGTGCAAGTCGCTGCTGGTTAGCAACGATGAAATGAGAGATCATATCTTCCAGCTGCTGGGAAGAGAATTTTTTCCCACTTGGAAAGAGCGGCACCAGGTAAGAAGTTTAGATTCGAGGTCCAATCTAAAGCTTGGAAAACTTTGCAGGTTCGGTTTCACGTTACAAAGCATGGCCCAGTGTTTCACATGCCACCGCCATACTCAATTATCATCCAGGTAAGCGGGATATTTCTCTTTGGCCTACCAAGGAATTTCTTTTCGTGCAGGAAACCGAGAGGGGCTCGTGGCACATACCTGTAAGTGGTGGGGACGATATTTCATCTCCTCGGAAATGGCTTTGTGTTACAAGAGGCTCCAGATAGGCACAGGTTGAGTGTTCGATTCACTCACGTCCACTTTCGTTGTAGAAAATATCAACGTTAAGAGTCTCTCACATCAGGCTACCTTTCCAAAAAAGTCGGAAGACAAACCGGTCTTATAACACACTTTTCTCGTGGTAAGAGACAGTGAATTTGAATCTGGAGCATTGCTGGTTCTGAATCTCTCCTAGGTGTGGCCAACCGTGAGGATTTGGAGCGTGTGCTATGCTGCAACTTGGATTTATCGCCTGTTCCTGGTAAAGATCTGAAACTCCAACTATAGGAACTATGGGGGGAGGCGCAGGTAGCTCTGAATCCGAGCCCCTTGTAACTCGAGAAGTCGAGCCGGAAGGGGACGACCAGTCTCCAGTTGAGGAAGTAGCTCTTACAGTGGATACGCGGGATGACCCAACACTTCCGGTGGGAACGTTTCGGATGTGGTTCCTGGGACTTCTGTCGTGTATTCTGCTATCGTTCCTCAATCAGTTCTTCTCCTACCGAACAGAACCATTCATCATCGGCTTGATATCCGTGCAAATAGTCGCATTGCCGTTCGGGAGGTTCATGGCCAACGTTCTTCCCGAGAGAAGCTTTCGAGTTCCATTTACCAGTTCCAGCTTCAGTTTAAATCCGGGCCCTTTCAACGTCAAGGAGCACGTCTTGATCACCATATTCGCGAACGCGGGAAGTGGTTTCGGGAACGGAGGTGCCTATGCAATGGGAATTGTCAACATAACCAGAGCTTTCTACAAACGAAGCATGGGCTTTACTGCGGGACTTCTTCTCGTGATGACAACACAGGTTGGATACTTCGCTTTATACTTTTGAGACTGCTTTAAATCGAAAACTGTGTTTGCCAGGTTTTGGGATATGGTTGGGCTGGACTCATGAAGAAGCACCTAGTGGAGCCCGCTCATATGTGGTGGCCTGGAAACTTGGTTCAAGTTTCTCTCTTCAGGTAGAATCATCCCACTTAATCCTGGCAAACATTCTTTTTTTCTCTTCCAGGACTTTGCACGAAGAAGATCAGCAGCAAAAAAAGGGCTTTTCTCGGAGCCAGTTCTTTGCCATCGTCATGACGTTGAGCTTTTGCTACTACGTACTCCCAGGGTACATGTTTATGATGCTAACTTCCATGTCTTGGGTTTGCTGGATTTTTCCAAAGTCCGTGCTGGCTCAGCAACTCGGCTCGGGTTTAAAAGGTCTCGGCCTCGGCTCTTTCAGTCTAGACTGGGCGACTATCTCAGCGTACCTCGGCAGCCCGCTGGTTACACCGTGGTTCGCGATTTGCAACGTTATCTTTGGCTATCTCGTCGTCATGTACATTGTGACGCCGGCCTGCTACTGGAGCAACATATACAACGCAAAGATCTATCCTTTGTTCTCGAGCTATCTCTTTACAAAAGATGGCCAGGTTTACGACGTGACCAGCGTCGTGGACAAGAACTTTGATCTCGACTTGGAAGCTTATGCTCGCAAAGGCCCGGTTCACATGAGCACCTTCTTTGCCTTTTCATATGGGCTCGGGTTTGCCGCTGTAGCCTCTACACTGACTCATGTGGCTTGTTTCCATGGAAAGTAAGTCTCTTCTCTATGGCGTTTCGATGCTAAAGCTTTTGTTTTTCAGATACATTTGGGAGCGTAGCCGAGCTGCGCTAAATGAGAAGCCAGACATCCACACCCGACTCATGAGGAAGTACCCAGACGTTCCTCAGTGGTGGTTTCATACTCTTATGGTTATCAGCATCGCCGCCTCAATCGCCACTTGCGCATACTACAAGGCAGAGCTTCAACTTCCATGGTGGGGTGTCTTGCTCGCTTGCGTTGTGGCTTCTTCGTTCACCCTGCCAATCGGAGTCATTACTGCAACTACAAACATCGTGAGTTAACTCTCGCTTCGTGTTTCTTCTTTCAACTTCTCTTGAATTGTCAACTTACAGACCCCGGGACTCAATATCATCACAGAGTACCTCATGGGATATCTCCTTCCTGGCCAGCCCATGGCAAACGTTTGCTTCAAGACGTATGGCTACATAAGTATGACACAGGCCATCTCATTCTTGCAAGACTTCAAACTCGGCCATTACATGAAAGTTCCACACCGCTCCATGTTCCACGTCCAAGTAAGTCACATAGCCACGAGATAAAGGATGATCTGAAAACAAGTTTTGTTCACTTGCAGTTCATTGGAACAATCGTCGCTGCGATCGTCAACATGTGTTGCGCGTGGTGGCTTCTCGGCTCCATCGAGAACATCTGTGACAAGTCTCTACTGCCTCCAAACAGCCCCTGGACCTGTCCCAGCGATAGAGTTTTCTTCGACGCATCCGTCATCTGGGGGCTCATTGGGCCAAAGAGGATGTTTGGCTCCCACGGCGAGTACAAGGAGCTCCAGTGGTTTTTCCTGGGTGGAGCTCTCGGCCCCGTGCTGGTCTGGCTGGCTTCCAGGACCTTCCCAAACGTGAAGTGGATTCCTCTCATCAATCTCCCGGTGATTCTCGGTGCCACGGCTTACATGCCCCCAGCAACGTCCGTCAACTACATCTCCTGGAGCATCGTCGGCATCATCTTCAGCTACTTCATCTTCCGGTACCACAAGGGATGGTGGCAGCGGTACAACTACGTCTTCTCGGCGGCCATGGACGCTGGTGTGGCTTTCATGGGGGTGCTGCTCTACCTGTGCCTGGGGATCGAGAACCGAAGCTTGAGCTGGTGGGGAAACAACGTCGACAATTGTCCCCTGGCCGACTGTCCAACTGCGAAAGGCATTGTCATCGCAGGATGCCCGGTCTACTGAACAATTCTCACGCCATCCGCTGCTCAATCAAGAGGGATCTTCGTCTTCCACGATGATGATCTCCACCGTGCGCATCTGGCGCTTCTTCTTCCTCTTCTTCCCTTCACTGTGATGATTCTTTTTCTGTAAAGCATTGTCGACTTCTTTTCCTCTCACTTTCGGTCTCTTATTGGTGTCAACTGATCTTAAAGCCTCAGGACCATCGAGAATATGAGTACCGGAGCGTCGTGTCAGGATCAAAAAGTGAGCAACCGACTTGTAGCCAAGTTCAATTGCCTGGAGAAACAAACAAATAAAACACGGTGGCCAGTCAACAACACACGAGCACGTACCCGCCTGGCCATCAAACCAGTTGGAGCCCAGCCTTTTCTCCGTCGACATCGGCTACAGTTACATATGTCTCTACAAACGGGGCACTTCCAGTTTTCATCCCCGAGCACCTCGTTCACGTTCTCTCCGTATCTGGCTCACAAATAGAAAAGAACTAAAGAAGATGAGAAAAAGAGAAAAAGACGAACCTCTTGTAGAGACAGTCACCGCAAAACTGGTACCTTGTCTTGCAAACCTCGCAGTAACTGCGAGGCCCCTTGGTTTTTTGCCTAAGAACAATCAATGAGAAGCTAAACACAGGGGAAAAAAAAAGTTTTTCTCGTCTTTCTTGCCTGCATTGGTGACAGGTATTCGTGTTCTCATCGTCATAGATCCGGCCAATGTGCTTCCACTCCTCCTTGGCATACCCCAGCAGCTTCTCGTGATCTTGGGTGTAAATCTCGGGCCTGCGACTGAGCCGGCCGATCAATCCCGCGAGAAAGAAGCGAGCTTACCTGTAGCCGCGCCTCCGAGCTCTCTTCTTCCTATCCGCGAGCTCCGGAAGCTCCATATCGCGGGCGGCAATCCCGGCACTGTCCCAAAAGCCCTAATTGCTAAGCTAATCGCGTTAGGGCTTTTGGGAGGAAGGAGGAGCGTGAACGATCGCGCCGAAAGCACAGGTACGTCTCGATCGCTCCACTCCGATCGCGCTCGGCGCTCGCGTCCCAGGTACAAGAATAGCAGCTTTCCTTGTGATTTCTTTGTGATGGAGAAGAACTTGGAAGATGAGGAGAATGCCTCGATGGAATGGGTGGATGAATGGATGGATGGATCAATTCTCTCCTAGGAAGCGTTTAATTCGGCTGTCAGTGGCCAGCTCCAGCAAAGTCGATCGGGCCTGGAATTAAGAAAGAAAAGGAGAAAAAGAAGAGCTTTGTCGCGTGCTACGCGTCCAAAGAGTGCCACGTGGACGGCCAGGTGGCGAGCTCAGCCATACGGGTGTGAATATGTGGCCGATAGAAAGGGAATGCGATTCTTCCTTGCAACAGTGGCTGGCCGTCAAATCGTTGTAGGTGCCGGCTATTTGACTCGGAAAAGATCGCGGGGGTCGGTTGTCTAGAAGGCTTTGTTTCGTAGACGCCAGGGCAAAGGAGAGAAAGAGGAAAAGAGAGAATTTTGGCTATGGAGCAGCAGCGGCAGCTTCTCTGCGACGATGTTTTCTGCGGTGCGATGCGGTGGATGGACGGGGAAACTCTGGCAATTGCCGGGTGTGTGAGCTCCAGCTTTCACAGGGAATCCAGGAACGAGCAGCTCTGGGAGGATTTGTGTGCCGGGAAGTGGCCGTCGGTATCGTGTGCTCGGCCACTCATCCAGCAGCTCGGAGGTTTCCACAGGCTCTACTCGGAGTGCTCCAGGCTCGTCTCGCCGGATGGTTCACCGCCGCCGACCAAAGCTGCGGTTTTTAGTCCGCAGGCCTCGGATTTTGCTTCGCTCGTCGACGTCCAGTTCCAGGGGAAGACTTTGTTTTCCAGGTTCGTGGATGGGATTCCAGGCACCGGCACCGAACTGACGACCGAGTGGTTCTCGAGCTGCCCGTTTAGAGTGGACTTGATACAGGAGTCGTCGTGTCTTCCCCAGCAGGATCGTGGTGGTCGAATGGAAGAAGACACGCTGTCGAGCTCTTCATCCTCTTCCACGGAGATGGGAAAGCTCTGGAAGGAGATTTCCGAGGGGATGAAACTGAGCTGGATCCTTATCGACAAGGGGAGCAAGCAGGCAGCGAACTTGTCGAGCTGGAGGCCGGTCTTGGGTCAGAGGCACTGGCCGACCGACATGGATTTCATCCTTCGATACGGCTCGATCCTCTCGCAGTGTCTACCGAAGCCAGTCGAGTGCAGCATAATTCTCAAGTGTAGGTTGCTGCGATCGTCAGGCTCGTCGATCGAGATCAAGCTGACGGAGCTGAGCATGCAACTCAAGGACGTTGGCAGCGGCGAGCATCTGAATGGAAGGGACGGATTACCGGTGCTGTGCCAGGCTGTGAGCTTTGCCAAGTGTAGAGACGAGGAGCGCGTGTTGAGAACTCACAGGGAGCTGCTCAAGCGGCAGAACGAGCTCAAGGTCCACGAGCTCAAGCACGAATGGTGTTTGGATGTTTACGTGCTGGTGCTCGTACTCGCGGCTCTGGCGCTTCTCCTGTGGACGGTTTAAGATGTAAATTTTTTGTTCATCGTTTTTTCTTTGTGCGATATCAAAACAGGATTTTTCCGCATGAATGAATGAATGATTCGATTGTATAGAAGGTTCCAAACTTGCGTGTGTCGGTAATGGACCGGATAGGTTGCCCATGAGAAATCTATTCCGCAAGTCGGCTTTTAACGCGCGTATCCTCCAACTGGCCGACTTGTGAACCGGGTACCAGTTCGAGAAGCGCCCAAGTTGTGCGTCGCACTGCTTTAACTCAACATACACTCCATGGCACTCCATTGCAGCGCCAATGATTAACTAGCACCCAGGAAACAGAGCTAATCTTAGTCTGGCTGAGCACTGCTTACTTTACGATCTGGATATGGTGTGTATGTTCTCTAGAAGCCTAGGCAATAGAGAAGTTCCTACGAATAAAATAAATCTGACCTGTTTAGTTTGTCAAATCTTTAAGGCAATGGCTCTTTAATTGCTTTTTTTAAAACTCTTAATTTCTTTTTCATTTTCATATACATTCAAATGAAATACATTTAATAAATATTTCATCTAACTAATTGTCACATTCTGAACTTCTATTCTTCACTAGCAACCAATTATCATATGTTGCATTCCAATCCACAATAGTTTAATTTTTGGCATTAACTCATACAAACATTACACATAAAAAATCTTTAAATGAAGATTAGCATGAATTTACGATTTTACATTGTTTTAAAGTGAAAATTCATGCATGAAGCTGTTATAACCTTGCCATAATGTCATTAAGCAAAAAACATTTAGTATATTAGAGAAAATGAATGTCCCATCATTGTTTATTTGTATATTTCCTTTTTACTTTAGTTTTATTAAAGAAAAATTCTATTGAATTCATTAATCATGTTGTAGCTATTTTGAACATCATTATTGATATTACTTTAGAGCAGCCCTTATATGTATTCATCTTCCTCAATTTGTAATCTTGAGGATATACTAATTAGAGAAGTTTATATTGAGGGATAATCTAAAGTTGAGTTGAGTTTAACTCAACACAAATCAATGTAAGTTAATACAGTTTAACCATAAGTCTTACAAAGGAAATCTATATTGAAAGAATTAAGGTTGTGACGAACTTTAAAATATTGAAACATATAATTTAAATTAACTCGACATCCTGTCATGATTTGGACAACAAGTGGTACACTGGTTCGGATACACTTGAAAGGCTACCAGTGGAGCCATCAGCTGGAGCCATCAGCTGAAGAAACGTGCCAGATTCTGGGAGATGTCTAGAAAATCCAGCATACAGTTGAAGAGAAAACACTTCAACCGAACAAGAAAAGCATGCTTCCAACAATGCTTCAGGCCACAAGTCTGGTTCCATCAACGAACAAGAAGTATCTACTACAGATACATGGACCATGAGAAGCTGATCAAAAGGATCCCGCAGCCAACGGTTTGGGCAAGCAGTTGAGAGTATTTACCGGCTTTAGTTCCATCAGCAAGCATCCTCTGGGGAAGCACGGTGTACAACTACATGTATACTGTATTTCCCTTGACAACAATTTGCTATCGAAGGCAACGCTGCTACAGTCCTTTTCACTGGATTCTTTCGAAAATTTTGGAACAGACTCTCTGAAGGTTTGTTCTGTGTTTCTTTCTATTTGACTTACATTATTTTCGCAGCAGCAACCAGAGTTTGGAATTCAACTCACTCCAGATGGAGACAGCCTTCTGTTGCTGGGAACTTTTGCTGTTCGTAGACCCGAGCTTCCCAGTCAGTCAAATATAGTGTGGGTGGTTTCTCTTGCTGAACGTGATCCGAAGGCTGAACTTTTTGCGACTGCCGCAATGACATGCCTTTTGATGACAGGACGTCTTTCTTTGGTCACTGCTGGAGATGAAGATTGTATCAAAGAATGGCACATGGATCCGTCTTGGAGGTAATCGCTTTTCATGTTTGTATTTCCTTGCATTAATCACGTCTTATTCAGGCATTCTCTGTATGAAGCAGATCTCCCACCTGCAAGATATAACAGCAAGACTTTCCGGACCATTTTAAAGCTAGCCATCGTTCCTCAAGCACCTCACCTTGTTCTTGGATGTGACGCGGATGGTTGGTATTTCTATCTCCGGTCAAGAAACTCACTCTCTTCTCTTACATCTTACAGGAATATCTCCAAAAAGCAGCTACTTTCTACATGCCACATTTCGAGATATACTTTTTCAGACATTCATATCGTAGATCTTTCTTTGGTGGATGATTTCAGAGATCGAGACTACGATTGCGGTGTCTGTCTTCTGACCCAACGATGCGAAACATCAGAACCACTGGAGAATGGCCCTGCTAGAGAATAATGCCTTGTTTGTTGGCAATGATCTTGCAAACAGGTATGAAAATCTACTGGAACTTTTTTGTTCATAACATTCGATTGCAGGATATGCTCAGCAGCCGTCATGGGACGTTATGGGGTTGCTGGCACTGACGAGGGGCAAGTTTTTCTTTGGGAATTTTCCACCGGAAAAAGAGTGGTTGAAATGTTTGAACAAAGTATGAAATTCTTGTTTTTCAAGTCGTCTCTTATGCAAGCATGCAATGTAGAATCGAAAATCGTACAAGTGAAAACTACAACGTCGTCGCGTTTACTGGCAACTGTTGGAGAGGATGGGCGTGTTGTTCTGTATGTGTAGGACGTATGGCAATACAAGTTTGTAACTCGAGCTTCACTTTCCCTGAACTTTCAGTTCGGTATCTGAAAGGAGCGCTTCAGCAGCTCGTCTCCCTGACAGAAGTGCTCCGTGAGACTCGATGATCTCCGCACAGGTACAAACCTGCATCAACTTTTGGTTCTTTCGAGAGGTTGGTCGGCGGAGTCTGATCGGGTTGAGCAAACAAGATCCTGTACGTCTTCAAGTGCTGCCACTTCGCTACTGTTTCCCGCCCAAACCATCCCTCAAGCTCGGACCTCACTATTTTCTCAAGGTCGGCATCTGAACTGGCGGAATATCTTCCGATCAATGTTACGGAGACGAGATCTTTTCCAGCAGGGGCGTACGAAGAGCAGACGGTGCTGGGAAAGCACATATTGTTGATGACGCCTTTGCCAGAGCAAGACAGCTTTGATTGGGGCTCTATCAGGAGAACAGTGCTGCGAGCAGGCCTATTGGTGCTTTCCCAAGCTGTTTAGCTGCTCAGCAAACGAGCTGCTTCCGGACCTTCGACTGCCACTATTGTCCCCTTACTTGGGACTTGACGTATCAATCCGACAAGCAGCTCTTGTACTCGGGAGCTCAACTTGATTGATTCGTCTGGAAGGCCTCGAGCAAGCTGCTGTGATATTTCGCCGATGCCTTTAGCGGGAAGGCAGTTCTGTCCCAGAGCCAGGCACTTGAATCTGGAAGCCCCTGTCCAGGACGTAGTCTTGGAGGGTGTCACTTCTCACTCGACTCCAACTCCATCCGACGCTTCAAGCAGCTGGAATGTGACGCCTTCTTTGTGCAAGCGTCGTGCTCCCGCGAGACTAGCATGGGCTGCTCCAACTAGTACAACGTCAACCTCTGGAGGAGAGATTGAGATGCTCCATTCTCAGTTTTGGTCGACCGTCTGGACTGCTCGCAAGGAACTCGGGGATGGCTTAAGACGAGGGCAAAGTGCTACTTGGTTGTGGTGGTGATTTTGCTGTACGTGGAAGCGGGAATTCTGATAGAGTGGGGATTCCCATCGACAAGGTGGCAATGGCCACAGATAATGTGGTCGCCATACTCTCTATAGCCACTTCGTTTTGTTTTAAGAGGTTCCTTGGATTGCAGGACGAGATCCAACGGGGGTGTTTTGAGTAGTGAGCAGCGCGCGTGCAGGAGCAAGGTGAGTGGAAGTTTTAGTGCCATCCGCATTAGTTATGTTTTTGTGGCAGTTCATGCTCGCCGTTTGCCAGCTCTCGATTTGCGTAGACAAGGAACAGAACATCAGGCATGCTCGTGAAGCTATCCAGACGCTTGCTGATGGCGGCAGCAAGCTGATCCTTCTTCCAGTTAAGTTTTGTAGTTGTCTGTTCAGTCATAAGGAGAATGTGTTACAGGAAATGGGGAATTTTCCAGACTCAAACGCGAGCTTTCCAATCTATGCAGGCGATTCTCCCTCTTCCAAAATACTTTCGGACATGGCAAAGAGTAAGGAGGTTACCATCATCTGTGGCTCCATACCGGAACGACGTGGCAATCATCTCTACAATACTTGCTGCATCTACGGAAAAGATGGCTCTCTAAAAGGTAAACATCGGAAGGTTTGCTTTTCTGACGCGTCGTCTACGGTTATTTCTCATCCCTCTTTCACACCAGGTTCACTTTTTTGACATCGATATATCAGGAAAGATACAGAAGTATACTGTTGTTGATTCGGGTAAGATCCTGCAGGCATTACGACAAGCAAAATAACTCACATTGCTCACTGGACGAATCGGTGTTGGTATTTGCTAGATGGCAATGACTTAGGCAGCACGAGGTAGGAAGGAGGCTAGCCATGTAGCTGCTGAGTATTAAAATTTATGTTGGTGCCAGCCGTACATATGATCTGCTATCCAGGAACTTTCAACATGACTACGGATTGGGAACTCCTCCAGAAAGCCAGGTAACTCTTTGTTTCTTTCTTGTTGGGTGCGGAATTTACTGGCATGTGTTTTTCACGATGAAGGCAAGAGCTCAGTGTGAGGAGCCACTGCCGGGCGCTCCAAGGTCTTGACTCCGGACGGCACGAAACAAGTGAAGCACGGAGACAGGAAAGCTAGGTGGGGATTTCCTTCCGTTAGTTTGAAGGAAGAGGTGGCAAAGGAGTTCGCAAGGCCTCGAGTTTGGAACAGCGGGGGACCGCTGCAGCAGAAAACGGGAAAGATAGACACCAGGCAGAGGCTCAGAGACGACAAACAAGGAACAAAACGCCAAGAATCACAGCAAAACCAGCACCACCAGCACCACCAGAAGGCCGCCCTGGTGCCTGCACTGCGTCAAGAGGAACCTCCACCACCAGCATGGAACGCTGTCCGACACGAAGTGACATCGGCAGGATGTCACCCACAACAAACGAAGAGGAGACTAGCGAATTGATGGAGATGAACAACCGGGGACTCAGGGTGCTGCAGTGCTTGGCTGCAATTATCATCAGTGTTCTTCGTGACGATGTCAAGGTTTGCTCTTGCAAGAAGCTTTGATTTCTTTGACATGTTAAACGTGAGAATGTGTGTGCTCCAGGGATTGCAAGGCTGCTTGGAAGGCAGAAAAGCGGGCTATTCGTGGTGGACGCTCTTCAACTATTTTGTCGTTGCTGCTGGGCTCGTATCGTTTGCGTACCGTCGTCTACATGCTGAAGAGGACGCTGCAACTGACCGACCGCACCAGGCTTCCCCTCATCGTGGATGCTGCGATCAAGGATACTGTCAACTTGAAGCAACTCTTCCAAGTAAGTGCGCTTCCTCTTTTCGGTTTTGGTTTGTTTGTTGCCAGTGCTGGCTGACTTGATGATTCTAACGTAAGATTTTTGTGTAGGTCGCTGCTGTTGCTGTTCTATGCATCCAGTCAGAGCCAAGCTACAGGCCTTTGATTGGAGACGTGGTGAACTCTCTGATCCCGCTGGGACCCAAGATTATTCACTAGATAATATTTTGCTAGTCAATAGTCAAAAAAGAATTTGATTTTTTTGTTGCCATTCTTTGAATATGCTAAAATATTCTTATGTCTTGTAATTCTCAACAGATATATCTTTTTGCAAAGTGTGGTCATTATGGAGAACTAGTATCAGATTTAAAAAAATGTCTCAATAATCTTTTTGTATTGAAAAATATTTAAGATTGTAATTAATTTTTATCTTGATCAATCTGAGCTATTTGTTCTTTATTACTGTGGTTATTGTGTAATGTGTTATCTTCTGCAGTTTATCAATATTATAAAAAATATCAAGAAAATAAAAAATTAGATCCTAGACCTTTAGATTGAGGTATTTGCTTCTCAACATCATGTTTAACTTTAGATAACATAACATCTTTTGTAATAATTTTTTAAAATGGGTATAAAAGTGTTAATAAATTCAAAATTAAAAGTTGTACCTTCTTTAGATAGAGGTACCAGCATTTCAACTGGTTGGACTAATAAGACATCTTTTGTAAATTATTTTAGATATGGGTATATAAATATTAATAAAATTCTTAATACTATACCTTCTTCTAAAAGAGGTTAGACTTGAAATAACATGGTTAATATTTTTTGTAGAATTATTAATATAATTTTTATTATTGTACCTTCTTCCAAATGAGGTACTAGCTTTAGGACAAGTTAGACTTTGATAACATTATATCATTTGATACATATGTCAATGTATCTTTTAAAAGGATTGCAAAGAAGTGGTTGTAGAGAAGTCTATGAACACAAAAACTTATGGTTGTCAACATGGTTAGCTTTATTTCATACGATGTGCAACTTGTAAGTATAACATGATTTTTAGAATCTTTCTTAAATATATTATTTACAAGTATATTTGATATAAAGGAATGCCATTTGAGACACTAATTTGCACTCAATTTGTTGCAAAGGGTATAAAGGATGGAAAAATGTACCTAACAATGTTTTAACAATTCTAAATACATAGAAGATAGATTATCCTTGGGAGTTGTAGCTCCTTAGGAAAAAGACCCCTACACTAAACTAAGAGGAAGTTGTCAATACTAGTAATAATGGTGATGATAATGATGATGGAAAGGAGGATGAGGAAACTTTGGATCAAACCTGTATTCACTAGACAAAAGATCAACCTCTACTTCAACCATCAAATGGCCAAACTCTAGATTAAGTTCCACTAACAAATAATAATGATTGAGTAGTTTAGAGAATATTATGTTGATCATGAGGTAAATATGACTTTTATAGATTAACACATTTTTTTGTAGTGATGACTATTGGTAGTAATTTCATTCTAACTCAACGAGATGCTCATGATAAGAAGTTGAAGGAACTCTCATCATTACCATATTATATGATGGTAGCATCTTATTTATTGTTTTTTTCATTTACTTAACTTTTTTATAAGTTTTTGGTAGAGCACACTGAGGCATTGTAGGTGTCTTTGTTGGCTCCTTTAGTAGATTGCTAATATTTTTCATGGAAGATAACATGAATATAAAATTTTACAATATTAGTTTGACCATTTGTGCCAAAAGATATAAAAGCCCTTGCTCCTAGTTGCAAGCTTCATTTTCTTGAACTTTCCAAACAGTCTTTTAGATATTGATAGGAAAATTGAGATTGAAACTTTCTCACCAATAACCATATACATAATGTGTGAATAACCCCAATTATTTAAACCCAATAACATTTAACCCTAAATATCCTAAAACCCTTAATTAATTGGAAAATGGGGTGAACTCTTGTTTATATGCTTTTCCTCTTCCTCAAATTGGTTACTTACAATTATGATGCATATAATGGAAGTTTGTTTCAAGTTATTCTCTTCTAGGTGGATTATGGATCTTGTTCCAAGGTAAGCTTGAAAACATAAATAGGTATTCTATATTATTATAAAATTTCTAAAAAAATTATTTTCCAAGTTATGATGTGGACCATCATGCCTTTTATAGAAATACATATAATAGGTTTCATAATAGCAAGCATATAGCATGTATTTTGTCTAGATATGATAGTTCCACTAACATCATACCCAACCTTATGGATATAACATATTTCTTATATACCAATTCTAAACTCCATTAAGGATGCAAGTTTTGCTTGAGCTTTATTGCCCATTAGATGGTGTTATGATTAATTGCACAATAAGTAATAGTTCTATGATGGAGGCAACATAGGACTCTAGGAAATCAATATTTGCTATTGAAGAATATCATGTCTTTAAATGTCGACTCAAAGGATTTTGTGAGCTACCTCCAAGAAATTATATTTATTAAAATTTCAATATATGTTTAGTTTAGTTTTATAGATCATAGTCACCTAGAGTTTCTAGAGTTAGAGGCTTGAGGAACTAGAGTTTCTAGAATTTCTAGAATTAGAGGCTTTGGAAGTTTCCTTAAGTATGTAAAAGCTATTGCAAAGTGAGTTTTCTCTAGAATCCCAATGTAGGATAAAGCATAGAAGAAACTAATATATTGATGATGAGGCAGAAGAAAGTTAAATGAATCTTTGCTTGAAATTGAAAAGCTTGTCATATATCAAATATCATAATTATAGATTGGTATTCTTACTTACAACCATTTGTAAGTTCTTGAATTTAGACTTCTTAAGAGATCACCTACCCTAGCACTATTCAAACTCAAGGATGCTTAACCCTAAGTATCCCAAGACCCTTAACTAATTTAAAAAAGGGTGTATTTGTATTCATATGTAGTGCACGTGGTTTTAACCCTTTATCCTATGGTGATTTACCATAAAATAACCATGAAGTGAAACATAAACCCTCTATATGCCATGTGTCACATACTATGTGTCCAAAGGACAGTGGTGTGGAACTTGAGTTTCAAGGCCTTGGGCCACTGAACAAAAGAATGGAGGCAAACTCCTAAGCATAGAGTTAATGAGTGAATGAGTGAAGACACTAGAGCATAGAATGACTCTCGAGCATACAACCTAAGGAGCAAAGGGCCAAGAGCACGGAGCAACTTGGAACAGTCTTAGAGCATTCAGCATTCTAATGTTAGAACTAACACGTAAAATAGAGCCAAATGGAGTTTGGCACTATTTTAGTATATAGGTAGCCTAAAGGATATAGGTACTCCACTAACTAACATAGTGTGAAATTTGGGCTTAGACCTAATCTGGACACAAAACAAAGACAAGCATGCAAGTGGGAGTTAGCCTATGCCTCAGGTTGGTTGGCCATACCCAACCTACCCACTATCCCTATTATACATTTGAAACCCCCTACAATGCAAATACTAACTTCAACATTGAAAATAACAAGCTAAAATGCCTTTCTCTAATAACTCTTAATAATAATTTAAAGAACCAAAAATTTGAAGAAGCTTATAGCTAAGTTTTACCTATCAATGATCAGAAGTTTCGCATGAACCAACTTCAATGTTAAAGAAGAAATCATGGTACAACTCACAATATCTTTCTTAACACATCTATAAGGTAAACATAATGTAAAGCTAATGAAGAGCATTTATGCATTAATCCAAAAGCTAAGCATAATAATGCTATGCTTAACAATTGATCACTAAATGATCCTCTGTGAATCCATCTATAGTAAGATATAACTTAGTTCATAACAAGTATAAAAAAATCATCAATGATCGATATATTCTAACTTAAATCCAAAAAAGATTCAAATATTTCAATATTGATCATTAACTCTTCCTCTTGTAAAGTTAATATAGTCCATAACTAAATCATGTTTCAAGGAAAAGCCCAAACTCAACCCCTACTAAATAATCTTGTCT